TTAATAATTGTACAACTTCCTAAATGCTATTTATTCATTTATCGTAAGTATTTACACATGATACTATATAACAAATTATTGCACATTTTAAAGTTTATCTACACATATATCTCAGGCTAAATTGTCACTTGGTGGCCATGATAATGACCACATTGCAACTCATAAAGAAATACTACAATCTCGGACTCTTATTTTCTAGGGTAGCTTTCTCCACTTTCTAGCCATGAATGTACTTTCTATTTGCTTGTATATGTATAATTGATATAAATATATTTGCAGTCTAACTCCATTGTCTAGTTTTATCTACACTAGGTGAACTATCATTTTCAGCCAACACATGTATTAGTACATATAATGTATGTTACATGTAAATCAATATTTACAATTTGGGGAATCAATTATAAAGTAATATTGTAGATCTGGACCAAAAAACTTAATGTTTTTTTTATATTATGATCAGCTGATTATGATGAAACTGGAATGTAGCATGATAGTCATTAGAGTATCACAAAGTGAGAGTATCATGTTCCTATGGATATCATCTGACCATCCAACTAGATGATAAGCCTGTTTTGTTAATTTTCCTTTACTAGTTTATTTTCTTGATAACCTGAATGGATTCTGATTACTACATATCATGTCAATTTTTTTGAAAATATTTCTTGGTTTAAGTTGTAGATGTTGAAGTCTTGGTAATGTAAAGAGCTGCATGATGCGGTTGTTCATTGTCAAAGTGTTGATTTATGACTGAATGTAGCTAGCCCTCTCATTTAATCTATACTGAATGAAGGCAAACACAAGTACAGCAACGTAGGCTCCTGCTGCTACAAAACAATTGTTGGAAGTCTGTCTATATTGCGCAGTAATATAAGAGTAGCCTTCCTTTTGAAACTGCCCCTCATCAAATGGGATGTCTTCACTCAGGGCTGGGGCATTAATTCGTGCAAAAAGTCCAAGGAAGCCCTGAAAATACAATAAAAATGTAATGAACACTGAACAAGTACATGTATTTATCATGTTTTCATGGATACAGAACATGGGATAGTCGGTCATTTTTCAACTTTCAGTTTCGAAACGATAATTTCATGCATCTTTTTTTTGCATATAGCAGTCGTTATAGGCTGTCCTTCGTTAAAAATAATATACGGGAATGAACCTACGGAAACAAAGAACTCTAGGAACTACCAATTTTTAACAGTGGACGTAGCTTGAGGAAGAAATCGACTCTGGAGCTAAAAATTTTGAGGTGAAAAATGTCGTTTTTTCATTTTAATCACTTCTTTACATATTCTTCAGATTTCTCAGCAACTAGTAGATGGATTTCTACCATTTTGGGTAACTTTACTCTGTAGTGTTGTTTGAATCAGCATGTCGATTATTGAAAGGATTCCATATATTTTTACTGGATATATCTAACAATCATTTTCTACAAATTTCAGGAAGCATCAACATCGGCCACCCTTTGTATACTCTTAATAACCAGAAAAAAAAGAATTATTTTTAACTCATCGGAGGGCTTGCCCGACCCTCCAGACAAGCCCCTGTGGAGATTACAGAGTAAATATTGATCACTCAATGCATGAGTGATGGAGGTCCATACGAGGGTCATATTTTAGGGTCATATTTTATTGAGTCTACCACCTATTGGGACTTGATCTGGCTCGCGAACCGTGGCTGGAGAGGCCTATTTTCAATTTCAATATTTTCTTTATCGTAAAGGCTAGAGTACCGACAATTGTCGGTACTCTAGACTCTGATGTGGTGGCACGCTAGAGGACCGACAAATAAATTGTCGGTACGGGAGATATGCTGTGTTTACACGCTAGAGGACCGACAAATATTGATTTTCGAATTTTCTGGCGCATGCGCAATGCGCGGGGGAATATTCCAGACATCATACGGATATTTTGGGAACAAGTGCAAAACCCGGGGAGGGCATAAGCCCCGGTTAGCCGGGGATTACCAAACCCAGGTCAAAAAATGGTAGCCCGGGAACAGGGAATGGTAGTAAACGTTGAAAGGCCCAATAAAAAACATGAACAAGTAAGACGTTAGAGAGCTATTAATGTAGAGTAAACGGCTATATATATTCTAAACAGACAGGATATTTCTCCTGAGCCGATCAGGCGTAGAAAGGGGCGTTTGCTATCCATTAGATAGAAGAAAATAGCTAGAATGTTTTTTATTTGAAGCTTATGGTATGAGGTTCCATATCCATCCGCCAAAAGGTATGACTATATAGTCCATTTAAAAACCTGTGGTATCGTTCTAAATAACCCATAGTTGGCTTCTAGGGTACCTAGTATGCCACTTTTTGGTGTCAAAATAAAGAGGAGTTCAACTTTCATTTGAATTACGAAAATAGTGATGTAGGTCAAAATAGTTCCGAACGTGAGCATGTTTACTACGCGTTTGCCCGTCATATCAGAATTGAGGAAGTGGTAGCAAACGGGAGTTACAATAAACGGACGCTGATATCTCAAAAAGTAACCTGACTCCCTATAATTTGATGTAGGTCAATCGAACCGCTATATGGACAGGTGCATTTTGATATATAACACTATGGGGGGTAAGCGTTTCATAGTTGGTCACGAACGCCATATGTGCAAAGTATTGTTATGAATTTTCGAATTTGGTGTTGGATTACGGTACTCATACCTTATAGCACAATTTTTGATGGAAGTTGCATTTGGCTCCCTTAGTTATGGCCACGAGTCCATCTCGCATGAGAGAGCTACCAAACGCAAAGTAAACAGTGATATATTCCAAATGAGATATTTCTCCTGTGCCATGGCGTAGTAAGGGTAGAGAGCGACGGGGGCGAAAGCATCCCCTCCCCTAACTGTATTTATCGACCCATTAGATAGAACAAGAAAAGAGCTTTAAAATGTTTTTTAATTGAAGCTTGTAGGACAATTTTGATGGAAGTTGAATCAATTTTTGTCGAAATAAATTATGGCTCACTACAAGTTAATGCCTGTACGATTCCATACTGCAAAAGAAGCACTATGCCCCCCCCCCAAAAAAGAAAAAAAAAAGTCGGGCCGGGATTCGAACTCGGGACCGGGTGTGTTAGAGTCGTGCTCGCTAACCATTCGGCTACCAGTGATGATGTTATTTCAAGAAGTACAGTTGGGGACATAAATAAATGACAGGTGGATTTGCTGAAGTGAGGATTTCCCATGTTAAAAATAAGAGAATTTACAAGAGGCCATAAATCAGTGGATGAGATTATACAAAATGTAAGATAAACAAATTTTAAGGTGCCATGGAAGTTAACAGGAAATGACGAAACAGGAAGTGAAATTTTTTTTTGCATTTTTGGACATTTTTTGAACAAAGATAACAGAGTTTTGGTTTGACCTCCAGTCAATTTAACTATTTCCACATATCATTTACATGACCAGGATCACAATGCGCATGGTCAGAATGACCCTAAACATGATGAAATAAACTTTTTAGCCCTTTAAAAGTGTGACTGAAAAAAAGCTAAAAGTAGGAGCGTAGGGAAGGTCACTGAACAGAATCTTTTGAATTTTTCAGAAAATGTGCCCAATATAATGCTCTAACTGATACAATCTTTGAAATTTTAGAAAATTGTCTTAAACAAAAATGGCGATCATAAAAAGGATAATAGATCGCTTTTCAAATCATTTTTTTCATTTTTTTTCTTTTCCTATGAATGATATCAAATTTTCAAAGATTGTATCATTTACAGCAATATATTGGGCACATTTTCTGAAAAATTTAAAAGATTCTGTTCAGTGACCTTCCCTACGCTCATACTTTTAGCTATTTTTCAGTCACATTTTCAAAGGGCTAAAAGGTTATTTCATCATGTTTAGGGTCATTCTGACCATGAACATTGTGATGCTGGTCCTGTAAATGGTATTTGGAACTAGTTAAATTGACTGGAGGTCAAACCAGAACTCTGTTATCTTTGTTCAAAAAATGTCCAAAAATGCAAAAAAAATTGTCACTTCCTGTTTTGTCATTTCCTGTTAACTTCCATAGCACCTTAAGGGATATGTATCTAGACAATATTTGAAATTATGGGCTTTCAGACCACCATAATTACACTGGTGATCCACTCGATTACGCTGGTTACCAAAACGAATCGTTTTGGTAACAAAATGTCGGAACGTCGAAGGTACGATTTTTCTTTTTTCCTTATATCATGCGTTTTAGGCAGAATTCCCACGATGTTTTTATCACAAACGTGTATCAGCATCATATGCTTAAGAAAATGTACATATTTGCGAACAAATAGTTCAGAAGACAACAGCATCGTCGATTTAATTACTCACTTAAGTTACATAAACGGTTTTTCGAAAAACGGTTAGATCTGCACTTTTAACCCAAACCGTTTATGTAACTTAAGTGACGAATTAAATCGACGATTCTGTTGTCTTCTGAGCCATTTTTTCGCAAACATGTACATTTTCTATAACATATGATACTGATATACGTTTGTGAGAAAAAAAGTCGTGGGGATTCTGCCTACAACGCGTGATATAAGGAAAAAAGAAAAATCGTACCTTCGACGTTCCGACATTTTGTTACCAAAACGATTCGTTTTGGTAACCAGCGTAATCGAGTGGATCACCAGTGAATTAGGAAATGGTGATCGAAAATCGACCTGTCATTTATTTTTGTCCCCAACTGTAAAAGTATTGGATTTATTTATGAAATTGTCGGCTCTCTAGCAAAAACACGTAGCAGCCACTTGCGTGGTTCTCTATCTGGCACTACTAGTTGACAATAGAGTGCCGACAATTGTCGGTACCCCAGCAAATACCCCTGGACTGTCTCCAGTACCGACAACTGTCGGTCCTGGAGCCACTCCGTTTTTTTATTTCTTCAGTATTTTTGATCACAAATTATTTTGCTTATAATCAGTTGTTTACGTCAATAAGAAGCCAAACTTACCAGCATTATGATACCCCATACACTGAGAATGATCCAGCATATCGAACACTTTGGTCCACAGATAGGCATGTCGAGAATTTAGAAGAAATTGGTCAGAAATTTTGTAAAAATAAGTCCTCCTTCTTTTTTCAATGACAGTCTCGGAGATCATGTGATTTCCGGTTTAGAATAATGATTCATATCTCTGATTTAAACAACAAAGAGTTTCATCTGTGAATTATTAGGATAATTGAGAATTTATAACATATTGTAATTCATATATTTAGGATGAAAAACTGAACATAAGAACAAAAATTACCAAGCAAACTGAGGTCACGTGATTTGTTCAGTAAAAAACAAAATGGTGGACCGACTTGGTAGGTGTAACACTTTTATTTTAGCCTTTTATAAGTGTGTTTTGTGGATTTATGATAGCTCATTTCAAGTCGCAAAGATTGAAAACAATGTACAGGGTGGTCCAAAAAAAAGTGAACCCCTGCAACAGGCTACAATTTTCTTAATACATGCATGAATTGGCTCATGTTATCACATGTTGTAGAGAAAGGTCTAAAATTTTGGTTGATACCATAATTTATTCTCAGTCTTAAATTTTGAAGAAATTACAAGCGTTTAACAAACATGCCTGGAAATTAGATATTGTACAAAAGTTTACAAATGTGATTCACGGAAATTGTTGAAACACATTGGATGATCTTAAACAGCTTTCAGTTATAGATACAAGTTTAAAATCCTACCATATGACAAAAGGGACACTATTCAAGTAGAAAACACATTTCACACTTTCATTGATCATTTTGAAGCATTTTTAACTGTTCAACAGTTCAGGGGTATGTTACCTTCACCAACAGTTAGAGGGGGGTCTCTTATGGAAGGAAGTTGCCCCCCGTGACCAGGAATCAGATAACCCCTTCATCAAATATCTTTAAAAAATCAAAAGAAAATCCAATTATCAATGTTTTGAGCCATATATCATTAGAATTGGTCCATGATTTATGAAGATATTGACATTTCAAGATCATATAGGGGTATGTTCATGATTTCAATGGAAAATGTTTTCGTCTGTGGAAGCTTAGCACATCTCTTTGGATCACAATAACTTTGCAACTAACAAATGTAGGATGCTAGTTTTAAGCCATAATGTGCAAGATTTAAGATTGAACAAAGTCAGAAAATATTAGTTCTTTAAGACTGCAGCTTAAAAAATTCTCGGGGGAAAGGTGTTAAAGGGTTGAAGAATCACGGATGTTGAAAATCACAATTTGTCCATTTTCAGTAATGTTTGGTTAGGGCTTATAATTTCTGCAAATTTCAAGACTAAGAAAAATGTATGATACCAACATAAATTTTAGACCTTCCTCTACAACATGTGAAAATAAAAAATAATTCCTGCAAGTAATAAGGGAAATATGGCCAGTTGCAGGGGTTCACTTTTTTTTGGACCACCCTGTATATTCGTAGAATACAAAGTCGCCTGTTAAAGATAATCGCAGGCGTTGAGAAAATCTAGGTTTTGTTTATATTTTCGATTTTTTAAAATTTTTTATTTGAAACAAAAAATTCAGGAAGTGTAAAGATTTATGGCTGTAATGCCCATAGATGACGAAACTTCAGAAAATTATGAGACAAATTATACCTCATTTTAATTGTCTTGTTATACTCTACCATTCTGACCATAGACTGTATCCTTCGTCTGAATAAATATTCAGACTGTAAGTCACCTATTGTAAAATGTGGTGTTGTATAAATGTTACAAATAAGTTTGTTTAATGATAAAATGATTACCTTATGAAGAACTCACAATATTATTTTTTCGTATATTGTCCTCTTACTGAAGATATTCATAAAATGTACAGACGCTTCTTGTAGCGAAGCCATTGATTAGGTCAAGCCATTTTGGCAATGCCAATTCTCACGATAAACGAGATTTAGCCAGTGACGTCAGTCTATTTGTAAACAAATAACACGTGGAGCGGGAGCAACATTACGGAAGCGTATTGATAAATTCCATTTGTGCGGGAATTTATTAGATCTAGTCATTTATTATCATTATCCCGATTAATTTTCTTCATTTATAGTAAATAGAGCGGAAATATTCATGAAGAAGGCCGAGGTAATCAAGTGGTCATGTGTTGTCAAAGTTCAAAATTTGCATATCTCGTTTGGATCTCGTGAACTCAAACGTACTTGACATTGATTTCGCGATCTACTTATGAACACATCCTGAAGTTTCGGTGAGTCTGAACATTTCATTATTTTATATCAACTTGTACCCGCCTTATACAAATATTTTTGCTTCTAGTTTAAGATGAACATCTCTTCAACATATTCACCAATTTTCAAGGTGAACATTCTTATAATAAACGAGAAATTAAGGCGACGCTATATTAAATAAAAAGTACAAAAAATGACTGCAATATTTTTTTGATAAAGACACATGTTTTTAAAATCTGTTTACCTTGTATATGAATTGTGTATCTTGACTAATGAAACATGTCAAAGTTAACATCACACATAAACGCATTTTTCCAAACTATGAATTGGAGGTGCATGGATCCCCAAAGCTAGCATGAAGAGTGCGAAGTGAGGCTATTTTTTGAAAGTTTCAAGGAGTAGCCTTGCAACAGTCACACATTTGCAAGAATTCAAAATTTCTAGATATAGTCTTACCTTACCAAGGAACAACGAAGGAGCACGAAAATGTGTACTTCTTGCATTGTTAGAGTATAATAAAGCTCAAACCATTGTGAATTCTAAATATTTCATGTCCACCATTTTGTTTCCTGGAACTATTTTTTAGTCCAGAGTTATCTTCATTCATGTTTCCATTGTTTATCATTCATAAAGCCTCTATCATGTATCTATCATGATAATTACACTGTAATAGATAAAACATACAAGTGATAATCCATGCCACTTGGTGTAGTCACAAAACTTGCATGAGGATTAATCAGGAAGTCTAGAAGTAGTTCCGGCAAACAAAATGTGGACATGAAATATTTAGAATTTACAATGGTTTGAGCTTTATTATACTCTAACAATGCAAGAAGTGCACATTTTCATGCTCCTTTGTTGTTCCTGGGAAAGGTAAGATGATTTGTGGAAATTTTAGACTCTTGCAAATGTGTGACTGTTGCAAGGCTACTCCTTGAAACTTTCAAAAATTAGCCTCACTTCGCACTCTTCATGCTAGCTTTGGGGATCCATGCACCTCCAATTCATAGTTTGGAAAAATGCGTTTATTTGTGATGTTAACTTTGACATGTTTCATTAGTCAAGATACACAATTCATATACAAGGTAAACAGATTTTAAAAACATGTGTCTTTATCAAAAAAATATGGCAGTCATTTTTTGTACTTTTTATTTAATATAGCGTCGCCTTAATGTGCAAAAAATATCACCGCGATTTCCATAGAAAATATATCAATCATAACAGACCGAATATTATATTCGGTCTGTTGGATACATACTAATTCTGACCACTAAGCGGTTTTCACAATATTGATATTTCATCAGCGGGAGCTTCCACAGGATCTTGTAGCACCTTATATGGTATTGTTTATGATGACTGATATGGGGCTTTATATAGATAGAGAAGGATTATAACGCGGACAAATTTCGAAAACTGGAAGTAAAAAAAATATATGAATTATTGGTCAGAATTTTATAATTAGGGTCTCATTTTGAAAAAAAATCTTTCTTCTGTAAGATAAATGTCACTGCCTAACATTTAGATAAATTTAAATAAAAGAGTTTCTTTACTTTCTGATACACATGCTAGGGACCGTTAGGTGCTGTACAACAAAAACTCACCTTTATAGCGATTTCTCCCCAAATCTTTCGCCAATCAACTTGTCCTTTACTCGTAGAATCATTGACCCACTAGAGATTTGTAGGGATGCTGCGCTTATGCTGTTCAGCCTGTAAAAATATGTTATTTTGCCGTTTTAAAAATGAAATGTGATTTCGTAGATATTTTGGCAAATTCTAGCGGCCATCTTTGTGAATAATTATGACGTAAATTTTGAACCAATCAAATTGCAGAACCCCGGAGAAGAGCGAAATTCATAATATCTATTTATGATTTAAAATAGATTTGGGCAGTAAAACATTAAAAAAAACAAAAGATAAATATATATTTTTGTTTATTAACTATTTACATAATTTTTAATAGCCCCTTTCTATATAGAATTATGAAAGGTCAGACGGGTCAAGTTTACTACGTCATTATTTCAAGATGGTGGCAGAGATTCGTATCAAACAGTCGTATTTTTAAAATTAGTATGCTTTTACACATTTTTGAACAATAATAGTACAATTGGAACAGCGTATACCATTGCGTATGTGTGTATTACAACTGGATCAAACCAGAGATCAATCGACGAAACATTGAGGGAGAAATCGATCGATAAGGTAAACTATGAAAAATATGTCTGTACAGGACTTCATGGTCTGATGCTAAGGTAACAGATAAGACGAAAAAATCATATTTGCAGCGTGTCTACAAGTAATATAATGACATGTATGTTGCCGCTAAATAATTTTTCTTAAAAATGAGACCCTTATTGTGGAATTCTGAACAATAGTTTTTTTTATTTTTTCATTTACAGAACCCGGAAGTAGTGAAGTGTTATTACCCTTATTACTTATACTATAGGGCCTATCATAGTGCTCATCTCATATCATAGTGCTACATGTCTCTGTGTCCAAATCTGAAGGATGGCTTCAATGATTCAAAAAATGTGACCGCGCATAACAATGATATTTGGACACATGGCTCGTGGAAAAAGATTGGGTGTCCCATCTTGAATGTTTACTGAGCTTCTGATCCTAATCTACAAAAGAATTTTGCTATCATCCATGGTAATGCCCACTGTTAAAGTTGCGATGCATTAGAAATAGCTTTTCCCAGAATCGTAGATATTTCAATAGTTTAGCCTACAGATTCCAACCATATCGTTTGTTATAATCTTTGTCTCGTATCTAGATCTATCTGTAGCTCAAAAAATCATTTGAATGTTATGGTAACCCTGCAATTCATGAGATCAGACTGGTGTCTTCACTTCGAGAACATACATGTCCATGATTTGGGAGGCCTGGTTAGTTGTTTTGGTGCATGACATTTGTCCTCGTCACTTATAGACAGTATTTTATTATACTGAGCATGCAACATTTAACCAAGTTTCTGGGTACCACAGAGAGTATACACAAATATAACAACACATACATTATAGATTCCATAGCCTCTATTACATCTGGAAAAGAATAGTCGGGGATACTCTCACTATCGTTTGATAAAGAAAGACTCAGAATGCCTGTATTACTGTACTCTGTGCGCATCTAGTTGCTACGAGTCTAGTTATAAACTACCCTCTGCCTAGTATAGATAATATTACAGTTTAGCAACCCTGCCCCCACGATCGGTACCTGTGACAGCCGAGGTTATAAATCTTTTCAAATCTACCATGCTGACCTTTTCTCAATCAATTAGCGAACTGGAAGGAACACATACTAAATGCGCGGTCACATATAGAAAGTCATCCATATTTTGACGACGAGCTCTGATTGGCTCGGTGAGATCAGAGACTTATTGTAAACGGAAAGAGTGAAGATGAAGCTCTCTTTTAAGATATGAAGCTAATGAATACAAAGGGTAATATTACTGGTACTTTTCTAATCTTTATTTCACGAGTTGTAGGCAGAATTTTCTCAATATTTTTATCACAAATATATGTCAGTATCATATGTATCAGGAAATCTCCACATGACCAACCAGAAGTACCATACTAATATTTATTTGTTGCATTCAGAATTTGGTCAGACTTTTCCCGATGTGCATCGATGTTTACTATTGAAAATTGTGATGCATCGATGTACCATTATGGCACATCGCAACACTACTATTGTTACATAAATTGAATGGTGATAGAAGCGTTATTTAATTTTTGAATTATTTCAATTGTCTTTGTAAAACTTTATTAAGCCACAGTGTTGGAGGATACAAAATGACTTTAAAATGATGTGAAATATAAACGTTCAATCAAAAGTTAGTTGTATTCGCATGTTTATATTTAAATTACAGCAAAGTATGAGTCATTGCCAATCAAGGAAACAATATATTTCAGTTTCACATTATGATCATGCTATAACTTTGTGTGAATAGCGATGCAAGTAACCTTTACATTCCTATTCCACATGCTATGCTTTTCTTTTTATTTCAATGACCGACACATAATCATACAACTTACTTTGAATGATGTTTCTCATTGCCCACGCTCTGTGTTTTTCATGATATTATATTATGAATGCCGTTTGTCATTCCCTATGATGAATGTTTGGCCTTTACCCGAAATAATAAATGTTGCTTGCACATCTTAGTCATTGTAAATGCCAGAATAATTTTATATGGATTCCAATGAAAATGACTGCATCCATTGCAGTCTTTAATATTTCACATGCAATATGAGCAACATGCCTGTAGCCAGCTTTTTGTAAAGGGGGAGGGCTTGAACCCTTCCCCCTGCCCATAATAAAAAATTCCATGCTAAACCAACAACTTGGGCGACCCTGAAAATTCAGAGGGTGGAACAACAAATTCTTTTAAATAATGCTCAAAATTCAAAACAATGCCCAATAATTCCAGTTTTCTATCTAAATTGTCATATTTTTGTGGAGAGGAGCAGATTTTAGGCCCCAAAATTAGAAAAAGAAAGAAATATGTTCAAGATTGCACGAGCCCCCAACCCTCCTCCCTCCAGTCACCCTGGATATGGGCCTGAGTAATACAAAGACAGACGTCAGACAAAAATGTGCGTGCACGTTATTTGAAAAAAGAAATAACTTCAGTAAGCATGATGGTCTTCGAAAAGGCTCTGTTAGATTAGATGAATCAAAGCTACAAAAACCAAATTAAGTCTCCTGTTTAAAACGCCCTATTCTTCACTAAATTGGTTAGATTCTAGGTTTGCTCAGTAACATATTTCTCCTTATATCGAGAATGACCAGAATAGTGAAACCAATTGTTAAAAATTCTTAATACTTCTGGTAGAATGCGCATCAGTTTCTTTATGAAAACTAAGACTTGACTTCATTATCTAGCTGGTAATGAAATATATTTTGAAAAAGATATACTGTCTGTTTGTGCAACAGTGGTTGATATTCTTCCATATTACAGAATTTACAGTGTATGCTTAGGCAAATTAGACAGGTGTACTGAATTTTATGTATTTTTGTTGTTGTAGTAAACAGTGAGGCCAATGCTAGGCGAATAAACCTGGTAGAACAGGCATTTGGGACCTCAGGACAGGTAAGCAACTTTATTCACTTCATCTTCACATTTTTTACTATTATAAGTGAATGATATTCACTTTTGCGAAAATTCAAAATAGTAGATTGCAACAGTCAGAGGGTCGTTTGTTTCACTGGTGAGTTTTCACTGTGCTTGAAACAAAAGTGATCTCAGTGAAAGGAATTAAGGGCTAAAGGGAGCAATTCAAGAGTCTTAAGTCAGATTGCCATATAAACTACAGTTATTCAGTAAGTGGAAGTCTGAATAACATTTTAGATCAATGGATTGCCCCATACAGTACTGTTCCCTGGAGAATATTGTTAATATTTCAACTCATATATAGCAAAATTACTCCAACCAGCCAAATTATTTAGAATTATGATTTTAACATGGAAATACCTTCCTGCTCATAAAACCCCTTGTAATTGGAGCAAATGTAATTTGTAAGTATATAATTATGTATATGTTTCAGTCATTGGTTCAGACAGGACGTGTGCTCGTTGGGGAAGGGGTTCTTACTAAAATGTGCAGGAAGGGAACTAAACCAAGGCAATTCTTCTTATTTAATGATGTTTTAGTCTATGGCAATATTGTGATAGCCAAAAAGAAGGTAAGCTATTAAAGCAGTAGTATTCATACACTTCATGTATTTATTAACTTGGTTTGTTATGTCACCACCAGAAGTGGTTATGTATTGTCTCCTAACTTTTTTATGGACAGTGTTTGGCATTCAATGGTTGGTTTTCAGTGGTTAGTGCTTGGTGTCTGTGACAAATGGCAGGTGATGCATTTCACATGTCAATGCCTTCTTATGTATTACATTATGCTGTTCAATCTTCAAAACTGTAAACATCCAGTGAACATGTTACATGATTTACAAATGTACCTGTCGAATTGAACCCGTCCCAATATTATTTTTCATAGAATTTTAGAATTAAATCTGTGTAAAAAATGTAAGTTTGATCATAATTTTAACATCTCAGAATGAACCCAACTATCTGTAAGCAAACTTACAGCTATGCATTTAAGCCAGGAGATTCAATATTTTTCTGTATATTACAGTATAACAAGCAGCACATAATTCCCCTAGAAGATGTAACCCTCACCCCAGTGGATGATGAAGGCAGTAAGTGAACAGCATACACTTTCTAATTTCATATTGTCTAATTATTTGTGACTGAGAAAAACTGTGTCTAAGGTCGATTGAACTAATTATTTGAAAAATCAAAATACATGTAGGAATATTCATGCTTATGAAATCTAGTGCAATTAACTCACTCGAAATGTTGAGACATGCGCAGAGCTCTATTTAGTGATATTTTCATTTCAAATATGGCGGCCAATCCGATATCTGACGACCCTTACAAAGAATCTAGGCAGTGTGCATTTTTACCGCCTGTGAGATAACAAGTGGAATTTAGTAGTTGTTTTGTGTTTTATTATCATTCTGCATCGTAATTCTATGTGATGTGGTGTTGAAATGTCAGCAGAAATACATATCCATACGATAATTGAGTGAATCAGATAACAGATTTTTCGAAAACCCGTCTCGTGCTAAGAGTGTAAAAACTTGTATTAACATGCTCATAAGTGCCAATGTGCACATCAATGTCAAGCTAAATCAATGTTGTGTCTAAAACAGGTACCTGATCTACTCAAAACAGCTTGTCATTCACGTATACACGCTTAGCAAACACGGCGAAATGATCTGAATCTTAGAATTTCGTTCGAGAGCTAGTAATGTTTGCTCCTGTCTTCGTCATAAGTGTTCATCAGACTTCACGCATGCTCATGAGAAAAACCATCAACCAATAACGTTTATAAATCAATTTTGCGCATGCGCCTTACAACGGTAAACAAATTCGTATTTATAAACGAACCAATTTGAGATAACCCGATGTCAGTCGGAGAAATCTGACGAACTACGAAAGTCACTTCAAAAAATCAAATGCGGACTGACGGCGCATTCTACTATGTTTGGATCTAAGATTTTCAGTATAGATAAAGTCTTTTATGATCTTTCGAATGAGGTTAGTCTCTAGTTCGAAAGACAATCGTATCAACTTGAACAAAAGTTGAGTTTTGACGAAAAATTTTAACATGCGCAGAAGTCCCATTTTCGTTGTACCATATTGACTGAACTGATTTCTCATTTCCTCTTCTACTTGGTAACGACCAGACTTAGGAAATAGACTAAATATTGGGCAACAAAATACAGTTACTTAATTCACTAGTAATCATTTACACATGCAGAATGGAAGGTTAAGACTAAATTGATCATTGTGTTATTACTTGCCTTTTTAATTGAGAATGTGCTGATATATTTCAGATTTACGTAATGGTTGGCAGATCAAGAGTCCGTTCAAGTCATTCACAGTCTATGCTGCTACAGCCACTGAGAAAACTGAATGGATGGCCCACATAAACAAATGTGTGCAAGACCTTCTCACTAAAAGTAGGGAAATCTGCTATTAAATTGAGAAATGTCACAAAAAACATTTATTCACTTTTTGAGATCAGATCACTAAGAGGGAAGGAACACCTATCAGTATTCTAATTGTAAAATAACAAATATGGTCTCAGTACAATATTAGGTAATTTCATGTTTTTTTATGAGGAGGCAGGAATGTATCTGCAAACCATCCCTTTCCAATTCAAATGCAAGAATTTAAGAAAATTCATCGAAACTGTTTTTGTCTGAAAAACATTTCTTGGCTAACTGGTCCAAATATTGACCAACAATGGAAACCCAAATTTTTCCCTGGCCTTACAGTTTCCTGTTGTATTGTAGGAGGCAAGGCCAAGTCAGATATGGAGGATTCTCCAGTGTGGGTACCTGACAAACAAGCCACACACTGTATGCACTGCAAGAAATCTGAGTTCACTGTGCTCAATAGGAGGGTGAGTGAAATCTACTGAAAAACATTAACACATTCCTTGGAGGTTGAATAAGTTGGAAGTGATTTGAATAGACAAATTTTGCTTATTCCGAGAAACGAAGCGACACACAATTTTGTTACATTTTAGTATTTCTGTTACTGATTGATCTGATTAGTAAAGCAATAAAAAATTCAATTATTATGAGCTTTGTGAAATCATCTTGATAATGCCTTTATGCAAGCCTCATTCCTGTTTCAGCATCACTGTAGGAAGTGTGGAATGGTTGCATGTAGCAACTGTACTAGTAAAAAATGGCTGTTTCCCCAACAGTCATCCAAGCCTCTACGTATTTGCCTCACCTGCTATGACCAACTTGCTAATGCTCCCAATGCTGAGCAAGGTAAGTTTTATGTCATCACAAAGATGTGATGACATATTGTTATAGTCACCATTTTTGAGACCTGTTTGTTGTCACCATTTGGTATTTGTGACATAATTCATTGTCTCTGAAGGAGAAACCTTGGTATTTGCGATTATTTTGGCAATAGACTTTAAAATGCTTATACAAATTAATGCATTATTAGACCAAACATCTTTTTTGATCTGGGATCATAAAACTGCACCAGATGATCAATTAAAGTTGCCGCTAATGATTTTTATAAAACTTTTGCAATCGATTGCATGTCTATTATTGTTAACTGAAGGAATAAATATATGTATATTAAAAAAATCAACTCAAAGTAAAACTATATAAAACTTTATTCACAACTGCTTAATTTCATACTATAATATATTCCAGAAAAAGCTGCCCAAGCCCCTGCTGGCCAGAATTATGATTCTGATTCCTCTGATGACGAAGATGATGACGTACCTAATGATGCAGAAAATAGTGATCAGGTAGAATCTGTTATTTATTGTTATAAGAAATAAGCTTAGGGGGTCATCTCATATATTTTGCAGTTATAACCTTAATCATGTTTGTTTATTGGTAAGAGGCTTTTTGTAAATTAAATTTTATAAGGGAGAGCATTTTCAACTTCAAAAAAGTTGATTCACAAGGTTGGGTGGATGGATTGTTCAGCACTGTTCATAAATGTGATTGAATTATGTCATCTTACCAAAGGGTGAAAGTTGAATGAATTTAATAAGGATTTTATTACAGATTTTACAGTTATATTGTGTTACACCATTTTAAATCTAACTCTTGTGATAAATAATGAATATATTGTATGACATATCCTTTTTCAGCCAACCTTTTATGAAAACAAAAATCACGGAGCTACAAAAACGTGATTGGACAGGAACAAGCATTTATAGGCAAGATGAAATCATATTTTAATACAAGGCCATCATGTATAAATGAAGAACATATTTTGTTAAACAGTTGTACATAAAATAGTTAATAACATGGCCACTATTAACATAAGAGGTTGGGCAGTAATATATTTAAGGAAGCATAAACATAAATGCCTGCTAGAAAATTGACATTTACGTTAGAGGTGGATAATGCTGATTCAATGAATAAATGTTTAGAATTTAATGTAAAATAAGGACAGATGTACCAATGTTAAATATTACAAACAGTTTATTGAATTGTTGCTGAAATATACAATCTTTATCGCTTATTTATGCAATTATTTTATTGATATTGTTACATAGAGATTTGATATGTGTAATGCAAAATCGGTGCTTGTTTTAAAGGTATTGTGTTTAAAAAACTTAATGGATAGGAAACAAGAAGTAATGAAATATCTTTGTTCTGTACCTAACAAGAAGGTCTCAATACTACTAGTAATTTTCAAAACTCAGCAATGAGTTTACAGTAAAACCTTTCAAGTGGAACACATCCATAAATGAAACATTTCACTGCCTCATGAAACTTTGACTTAGGGAAGCTCTGCACATTCACAAAAAAAGTTGAAAACAAAAAGTTGGGAAATGGAATTTCAACATTTTTTGAATATTATTTAAAATTTTGATCATGCAGAACTGCCTTAATTTTCAGTTTAATTGCTCTTCTATAAGAGAACACCTACTATGTGAATAAATTTAGCAGAAAGGTTGTTCCACTTATTCAGGTTTCAACATACGGTAGTTGTTCAGATGTGTTTGTCAAGTCATTACATTTGTGGCCTGTGGGTTAACCCTGTATGTGAAACAAATATGTTTAATGTTTTCATCAGAACACCCTTAAATTCCGATCCGATATAAATGTATATCATGTAACACTTGGAAAACATCTCCAGAACTAGGACTTCTATTGATTATTATAAAAGGAAAGAGAATGCATGGCCTTTCCACAATGTATTTAATATGTATATACTGTAAAAGAATATACTGTATGATAACATTAAGGACCAAGAAGATATTGTTTAAAAGATTGGCTTTACATTTATTTACCATAAGTATAATCATACTATAAATATATCAGGTATTTAAGGATAATTAAGTACATTATGTTTGGGTATGACATAAGGAAAGTTCTCACATACATGACATATTGCAAAATGAGTTTTGATAGAGAATTGGTGATTTTGTACAAGTTTGGCCATTGATAAGTGTGATAAACTAAAGTAAGTTACAGTTTTGATCTTGTCTGTTGTGAACTCATGGAGAAGAGCTTATGCCACACCCTTTCTCTGGGTTTCATATTAGGCTGAAAATTGAGATTTGAGATGCAAAAGATGTATTATTATAAATATGGTGTTTTGTTCTACTTCAGTATTTCATTTATTTATTTTTTCTTTTAGTTGAAACTGAAAAAGTGATTATACCATATGTGAAATATTCAGTGTCCGGGCTCAAGGGTTAAGAAAAATTGCATGGAACATTTTGTGAATCAACTTTAGCTACATTTTCTCCTCCATCAGAATCAACTTTATTTTAGATGCAAAATGACTTTGTAACACAAATAAAAACTTATATTTTTGTATAACAGTTGTCATTGTCACCATGTCATTTTGTATCGTAAGTTTAGGATGTAATTTTATTTAAGTAATTTATGGTCTAATAAATTTGCAAAGTTAATTTTATTTTTTGCAACTGTATGTTTAGTGAGTTAGTATGTAACCCATCAGAGTTGTATATACTGCATTTTGAACCTTGTAATAATGAAAATGTTTTGATTAAAATTAATAAATGAATTCTGTACAAAGAACTCTTATCGGAATGTGATGAATGCATTCAGTTGAAAATACACTGGAATGACACTGATGCAAGAGAAGAGTTCTTTTATCAACAATAGACCTTCCCAGTAAACCCTGCCACCCTTTGGTACATCAAAGAAGCTACAAGATGTATTGCATGTATTGGTTAGAGTGATGATGTCATTGTTTAGAGTGATGATGTCATTGGTTGTACTTTTTAAAATTAGCCATAAGTTAATGCGGTATGGTTTATCCTAGTTTTGATTGGACAAATTGCAACCTACAACATGTACAACCAATAAAAATCTAACCGTTATATTAACAGATTAAAGCTACTTTGATATATCAAAACGTGGAGGATTAATTGGAAAGGGTTATTATGTTCTGTCACATTTCCTTAAATATTATGAATTGTACCTAATTTTTCAAAACATTGCTGCAATTTTAATCAATTTGCCAATGGTGTATATATGTAAACTGCAATATAGGAACAAATTACTGTGTAATTAATCAAGAGAATCTAGCAAATAATATGAATAAACAATATGTGAAACAACAGATTAGTGTCTGTGTATTTCTATTTCTTCAGCAATATATCCATCCTCCATGCCATATATATGTATATATTATTATTCACTGAAAGAGACTGAGAAAACACCTGAATATCCATCCTAATGTGACATTCACATTCACAAGTTTTACTACATTTTCCATGTTCTGTTCCTACTATTCTGCATGTGACACCCTTGAGAGCAATTGCCATCACGAACTTGGATAATTAACCAAGTATTTCAAAGTGTCAAATCATTAGAACTTTTGAAGGGACTAATTCATTTTCTCCACGAAGCCCAAATAAGAGAACTTCTTTTGCCAACAGTGCTTTTTGATACACATGTGTCATTGTATGTATGCATTGTATTTCTGATTTAAAGAACCAAGTTTTCTTATCTCATTTATACATTCTTCCCGAAAGTAAAGAAAGTAAGATCCAAAAATTTAAATCCTTACTAGCCCATAGAGTATCTCCATATTGAATATAGCCGATTCTGAAATGATTGCACATACATTATTTGAACAATGAAGAAGGTACTGTATGATTGGTTTGCATTTCTACAAGTACAATGCGACTCAAGAGAGCAGTGTATGAGTCTGAGCTACTGTTTATGTCATCCCTATTGATCATTGTATCTCTTGTGTCAGATGTCTTAGTGGATTTCACTATGAATGCCTAATATATATCAGGATTTATTCCCAAGTATATTTCTGTTCATAGCTGCACTTGTTTTATAATTAGTCAACAACACTCTCTTCCTGGGAGGAATATCATCCTCATCACTAGATTCAGAGTCACTGTCTTCTGACTGTTTGTGTCTTTTCGTTGCGTCACCAGTCTTTGTATCCTTAAACTCTTTACATGTATTCTCTTTGTTCCCCATCTGAAATAGTGAGGTACATGAATGGTAAAAGGCTGGGTTAAAATATCAATGTTTTAGGTACTAAACTAATTTAACAAAGGCTCAGCCCCTTCCCATTCTCCCTCTATCCAACCTTGAAGTTATATTTAATCCCTAGCTGTTCAATATTTTTGATAAAAAACAAAGCTTTGACCCTGCACTCAGGGAAGATTGATTTAGTATATATTGATCTCTTACTAGGCCAAACTGTACATGACTAATAAACTGACCAGAGAAACTTGAGGATGAAGATATTAAATATCACAAATATATCAATATATTTGTTGCCTGTCACTGAATTCAAGCATTTGAATTTGGAAGATCTTGAAAATTGGGGTATTTCGACATTTTTTCAAATAATGTTTTGTTATTATTTTCCTGTGTTTGCATAACTCATATTTAAACTCAAACAAATGAGATGTTTTTCCAAAAATTATGGAATGAACAAACCTGTGAATCCTCCATTGCATATTTTTGTGTCCATTGCCTTGCCTTCCTCAGGAACTCACCCTTGTTAAACTGGTACTCCTCAGACTGGAATACAATCAGAATGTGAAGGATAAAATACCTGCAGAATGCAAAATGTCACCACCTGCCATTTGTTACAGATGCCAACAAGTACATTTATTCTTTTAGTATCCATTATTTGTGATCTGAACTTCTTACAATTTCAATGATAAGATCTTTTAGATTAAGTCACAAACAGTTTTGTATCCAATGTCATGAGTTGTGAAAGGACAAGTTTTTATTGAGGGAGAGGGTAAATTGTGCCTATGTTAAGGAAAATGTTGATTTTAGAGTCAATTAAACAATTTATATGTAATATGAGGGAGGGGGATGTTTTAACCATAACGTAATTACTAGTAATAACATTTTTTCCACAACTTTCAAATCAATATTTGGACATTCCTTACTGCTGATTAGAGTACAATTGCAATCAATGCTTCCCTACATGTATTATCAACTATACTTACAATGTCAGTCATGAGTGGATCATCTGGATTAGGTTCATTCATGAGCTGTTGGATAGATGTCAGCACTGTGCTCACATTCAGAGCAGGACGCCACGCTCCCTACAAGCAGGTATTTATATTGTATAAGGCAAACTGGAGATTAAAATAACACCAGTGTAACATAATTGAACATTTAAAGTTATGAGAAATTTGATGTAAAAACCTCCAAAAACAAAATTACATTCACGTAAATATAACACAATGTCATACTTGAACTGACCCCTTATACCATAAATCTGTTTGTTCTGGAATATTACACTGGTGTATTCTTAAAAGACTGGCCTTTTAGAAGATGAATATCCAGATCATTTCTGGTTAATTTAAGTAAAATTGGTAACCCCAGTTGTATATCACATGTGATATAAATATTTTTTCAGTTAAACAAAAATCAATTCACTATTAAGTATTCTTCAATATAAAATTCATATAATACAGGTTTTATTAAGTTTTGCCCTGTGGACAGTTTTTGAACTTACATATACTTTCCTATCTTTATCATTCTGAACTCTTACTCCAACAAAATATTGTCAGGTGGGCTACAGTACTAACCTTTGGCGGCATTTTGAGGCTGTCTAGACAGATCCTCCCACCAGAGTCTATATTTGGATGGTATATGGGGGTAACAAATTTCATTTTAGGTGGTTCGAAGGGATACCTCTCTGGTATATGGATCTCAAGTTTGAAAACACCTTGTGCATAGGGAGTATCATCAGTTCCTATAATTCCTGGAAAATATAGGATAGAGTAAGTTTGATGTTGGGGACATCAGAACGGAACAGGACACACAAATTTTAGTGTGTTACGCCCAATCAGATTGTAAATACACTGATGCTGTCCAAAAATCAAAACATTTACTATGAGCACATGTACAAAAATAAATGTATATGTAAAATATATGTAAAACTCAAAATAGTAAAAATTGGAAGGTTGTTAATGTTAACATCATACATCATACTACTTAGTAGAACATTCTTTAATCTGATTCCTAATTCTGAAAAGTATTCTGTACTGAAGGCAAGTCCTGTTAAACATTTTGTCATCTTCCAAAGAAATATGAACAAAATTGGTTCAGTAGTATTTGAGTAATTGCCAAGAAAGATGGACTGTTGAATGATATGAGTGGAGACTTTCACATAAAATATCCATTCCAAATTCATCATTTACGTTAAAACAGACTTAATAAATAATGTGCCATCAGGAATTAACAAAATGTATTCTCCTAATCAATGAGCCTTACTTGCTTCAAGTTCTTCTATGCTGTCATTTTTGTTCCAGCATGATATACCATGAGGGGGACTTTCACTGAACAATTGCATCTCACGCTTCATTCTTGCTGCACGCTGCATTCTTACACCTTGTTCCTGGTATGTAGTAGATAGTAGATAGTGGACTGATTTGACTGTGGGGTCTCACTGGATTCAATCTTTGCCTTGTGATAACGATGTGTGTTACAAAGAACTGCAAATAAATGCATTTGTAATGTAAGCTCATTTTTAACAACAAAAGTAATTCAGACATATAGACTGTATTGTAACCAGTGAAGTTTGGATTATTCATTAAAGGCCCACTTTGCGTATTTTCAAACCTTATTTTTCATTTGACACAACAACAGCTCAAACAGACCACATCAAAGCTTTCTATCTGTCAAGCTTTACACTGTTCCACAACTAGTCACTTTGACGGAATGTCAACGTAACAAAATGGATGAACTTCAAAGATACGAATTCTTCGTTTTCTCGATTTAAACCGTCGTATAAGTCATGTTGCAGATTATCATTTGGCACAAAGTTACACAGTATAGTCTAGCTTTTAGAAATGCGTTCGGTTTGGAATTTGATTTTTAAATAAAACTGTAATTCATGCATTTAGACCATCACTTTTGTTACATTGACGTAAGTCGTCAAAATAACATACATTGGTAATATAACGGACTTTCGTCAATGTAACAAAAGCGATATATGAATTGCAACTTCATTTACAAAACAAATTTCAAATCGAAGAAACTTATTAAAACTAGACTATATTTCTAGCTTTGTGCCAAATTATAATCTGCAACTTGACTTATAAGTAGGTTTAAACCGAGAAAACAAGAAACTCGTAACCAGGAAGTTCATCCATTTTGTTACATTGACGTTCTGTCTAATATGGGACAAACCCCGCACCTAGTGCGACACTATTAAAACTCTGATTGTCAAAGTTACTAGGGGCCACCTAAGTGACTGACACTAGTGACAGTGCAACTGACATCACAAAGGAGAGACGCACAGTGTAGGTCAAGAGGAGGGAAAGCCCGAGAGATTTTTTTTTTTTTTTTATTTATTTCATTAAAACATGATAACATTTTTACATATTCGTGGTTGTGACACCTACATAGGTATATAATTGACCACATTTAAAATCATTATTCTAAAATTTTCAAGAGCTTGAAAGTTTAACACAACATGACACTGGGTGAACCATAATTTGTCTCATGAATTAAAAACATTGGTAAAAAATAATGTACAATAAAGAGGATGGAATTACCTTATGTTTGCAGAACATCAAAATCAGTATTTTGAAAAAGTGTCATCTTTATAAAGACGTTTTAGTTTATAAATATTATTGGTAAGTTTAATAGTATTAGGAATTTTATTCCAGATAATTTCACCTTGTACTTTAAAACTGTATCTTAAATAATTGGTTTTGAATTTTGTTACATGAACTTGTTCATTCTGTCTAGTGTTGTGTTGATGAACACTATTGTTTTTTCCAAAGAAGTCAATAAAAATGTCACTTGGAAAAGAATCGGGTCTGTTAATACATTTGTAAGTTAGTTGCAGAATATTAAGGTCATATATGTCAGTAAATTTTAGAATTTTGAATTGTTTAAAGAATGGCCCGGTATGTTCTCTATCAAATTGAATTTATCTCTATTGAATTTAGAGACAAATGTCTCTTGATTACCACCTTCGTTAGTTCGAATTTTCACTGGCTATTTTCCAAATACTACATTTTGATGTGATTGATGTAGGCATACAGTATTCCGTGCTGAACACCTTTCTTTATATTGATGTGAAATAAGAAGCTATGATATAGGTTAACAAGCCAGAAATGAACATAATATTATTCAAAGCATAAATATGAAGCCGCCATCGAATCGTCATTTGTTTGTCGATTTTTGACCAATCAGAGATGTAAGTTATGTCATCTCAATACAGGTTTACTTTATAAGCGTATGTCATCTTTGAACTATGGGGTCATTCCCCCTCTGGTGTAGATCTCTTCTGTGAGTCACAGTGTCACATCGCGCCATGAGTGTGATCTGAGATTGTCAAAACATTTGGTCCTTATTTGAATAGATTATAGTATAATTTTAAATGTTTGGAACTTGTTTGAATCTAAAAAATAAGCAATTAAAGGATCATATTGAAACAGAATATGTAAAAATAGAAACATTTACAGGGTGGTCCAAAAAAGTGAACTCCTGCAACAGGCTATATTTTCCTTAATACATGCATGAATTTGCTCATATTATCACATCTTGTAAAGAAAGGTCTAAAAATTGTTGATACACATTAGATGATCTTAAAAAGGCTTTCAGTGAGAGATTATACATTTAAACCCAACCATATGACAAATGGGACACTATTTGAGTAGAAAACACATTTCACACTTTTATTGACCATTTTGAAGCTGTTTTAACCATTCAACAGTTTAGAGGCATGTTACCTACACAAACGGGTAGAGGGGGCAAAGTTACCCCTTGTGACCCAAAATCTGAGAAGCCCTTCATATATCTTACAAAAATCAAAAGGAAATCTAATATTCAGTGTTTTGAGCCATATTTCATTAGAATTGGTCCATAATTAATTAAGATATTGACATTTTAAGACCATATAGGGTTATGTTGAGATTTCACTGAAAGATGTTCTCGTCTGTGGAAACATTGAACATTTCTTTTGATCACAATAACTTTGCAACTAACAGAGGTAGGATGCTAATTTTTACATCATATTGTGTGGGATTCAAAACCAAACAAAATTAGAAAACGTTAGGTTTCCAAGACTCCAGCTAAAAATATTTCCATGGGAAGATTGTTGAAGGGTTGAAGAATTGCAGATATTGAAGTTCACATTTTACCCATTTTCAGTGATGTTTCATTAGGGCTTATAATTTCTGTAAATCTCAATACTAAGAAAAATGTAAAGTACCTTCCTCTACAACATGTGAAACTATGAAAGGATTCCTGCAGGTAATAAGGGAAATATAGCCGGTTGCGAGGGTTCACCTTTTTTGGACCACCCTGTATATGTCCTAGCTTTTGTATATTTTAGTTTGTTCTGTAGTTTAGCTATCATATCTGTGGCCTCTTATCAGGGCTGTCAACTTGGGACCACCTAATATGAGTGACTTCAAAATGTTGGACACCTAAGTCCAAATCTGAACACTTTTGTCCAAATTTTGAACACCTTTAGCCAACTTTTAAACACCTTTGGCCAAAGTTTGAGCACCTTTGCCAAACTTTGAACACCTCAAATTTTTCGCGCTCGCTACGCTCGCGATGTCGTCAACGGGGGGGGGGGGGGGGGGGGGGGGGGGGGGGTAGGTACGAAAAATTTCCAATGAACATGCGTGACACATACGAGATTCGCGTGACAAATCCTAACAAATTGCGTTCGGTTTTTTCCGGCGTTCGTATTTTTACCGTATCGTAAACATATTTCGAAAAAATTTCTACAGAAATATTTTTGCTTGACAATTACCAGGTAAAATGCGTATTTTGCGTGACATTTTCTGTCACGCAAAAAAAACTTGCGTGACTTCAAATTCTTCAGCAAATGCGTGACAAATACGCAAATTGCGGGACAGTTGACAGGCCTGTCTTATATATTTTGATGCTTCTCTGCCATGTTATTTTCGAAAAAATAAACATGGCTGAAACTCCCTAAATTACAAAAGGCCACAGCTGAGCTTTGCTGCACATTATACATAACTATCTGAAATATACAAAAGTAAGGACTTGTACATATGTTTCCATTTTTTTCATACTGTTGCAATATAGTCATTTGATTGCTTTTCAAATTCAAAGTAGTTCCAAACATTTAAAATTTTACTGTAGTCTAAGTCTATGCATATAAAGTGGGAGACATTGATAAACCTCAACCATCAAAAGTTGTCACAATGAGCTAAATTCTAAGTTTCGTGTCTCAAACTCTCCCAAGAGGTAGAAAAATAATTCCTGTTCACTTTAAGTAGCACAATAAATGAATCCAAAGCTTCATACCTGCAAATGATAGATAAATTCCTACCAAATCAATCGAATGTTTTCATGGATCGCCATGTTTGTGATCCAAGGTGGATTGACTCCCAGAATGCAACATCAGTTAGAGTCCATTTCACTGCTTCATTGCTTCAGTAGAACAGCAAAAATAAGAAATTGGGAGACCATTGTGCAATAATATATGGAAAGGTATATTCATAATGTACATGAATGACATTTGCATATGTCAGAGTTTTAGTTTTTTGTGCAATAAGCCATATTGTAATTTGTAATTTGAAGACCTTCAGCCATGTTAATCTGATTGAAAATAACATGGCAGAGAAGCATCCATATATAAGAGGCCACATACTTTAAGCCAAACAAGAAGCAATCCAAGATATACAAATGTCATTCATGTACAATAGGAATATAGTTTTCCATATATTATTGCAAAATGATATTTTGATTTCTTATTTTTTTTAGGTTTTACTGACGCAGTTAAACAGTGAAATGGACTCTAACCTTATTTACTCGTGGCAGGTTTCAAAATGGCGGAACAGCATTTTGAAAGCTAGCACGTGTCATGTTGCAGTCTGGGAGCCAGTCCTCCTTGCAGCGTAATCGGGCTCCAAAATCACCTCAACATATGAAGAGTCGGCATTAACATGTGAATATCACTTCAAATTTCTAAGTTCCTATTTGTCATTATGGACACAACTTCCACTATACTATATTTGTACGTTCCTGGACGGAGAAAATAGAGCACTCAATTCACTGAGGTAAGAATTTATGATATATGTGACAGAATGTATTTTTCATAGTGTTAGTAATTATTTATGTTCACCACTAGTACAATAACATCATTTCGAAGGGCAATATATTGCCCACAGAAATGACGTTATTAGTATTATTACCGCCGTTAATGACCAGGAATGAAACAACAAGAAAATCTTACGCACTGAACGATATCTAATTTCCCGGGGAAAATTGCTGGTCAAGAATTGCATTCTTGAGGGCAATATGGACCACCACTATGGCGTCACATATTGCTCAGGTCAATATCTGATATAGTAAAATGAATGCCTTCTAAAAAGAGGGGGAGAAATCCCAGGGTTCAAAGATGACATACACTTATACTGTAATGTAAATATGTATTGAGATGACATAAAAGGGGGCGAAACCCTAGACTATATCCTATTTAGTCTGAATTATAGTCAGTCTGTTGGATACATACTAGGAGAAATCCCAGAGTTCAAAGATGACATACGCTTATAATGTAAATCTGTATTGAGATGACATCGTCGCTGATTGGTTTAGCGAGTCGATCGTTGATTGGTTTAAAACTAGGTCAATTTGAAAACTTTGAAAATCAAGATGGAGGATAAGTACTTCTGGGAAAAGAGGTGCGCGAAGGAGGAAATCGTATGTCATCAATTGAATAATGGGGTTTTCCCTCCTCTTAGATGACATCATCGCTGATTGGTTTAGCGAGTCGATCGTCGATTGGTTTAAAACTAGGTCAATTTGAAAACTTTGAAAACCAAGATGGAGGGTATACGTACTTCCGGGAAAGGAGGTGCGCGAAGGAGGAAATCGTATTTCATCAATTGAATCATGGGGTTTTCCCTCGTCTTCCTTCTAAACTTGGCCTAGCACTAAATACTAAAACCCCTAGAAGTTAGAACTGATATATTATATGATATGATTTGCCAATGATTGAATGCATGACAGGGCTCTAGTGTAACTTACAAATCTGTCGTTACTAGAACAGTTTACTATCCTACTTACCCAGTTAGCACATAATTATTCCTGAATCACTGGAGATATTTACGTAGATTTGATAAGAAAAGAAGTATATTTTGGCAAATTTTGTGACTTTTATCTTCCCCGCCATGAATTTGTGTACACAGAAACTGATGACGTACTTCACACCGGAAGAAAGTTTTTTGCCATATATATCCAGAAAATGTTATAAAATACCGAAAATATGCAGTTTGTGGAGGAGAAAGAACATGATACTGAGCCAGTCAAGTCTTTGAATGCAGATCTAGAGTCATACGTGACATTTGTTAACAGGTCACCTAGATACGCGGATGTTTTCTGGGTGAATTATGGAGGGGAACTTGTACAGTATGCAACATTGCCTCCCGGGACAGAGTTCGAGTGCAACACATTTGAGACACATCCTTGGGTGTTTAGGGATGCAGAGCACAATGCTGATGTACTTATAGGTGCATTCATGCGCCTCTGGGCCTTTATATATATATCTGAGATTTGTCATGGCCCTAGAGGCGCATTACCAAGCATTAAAAACCCTAGGCAAGTTGAGATTCTGAAAAACAACGGATCGGTTGTTTTTGCTTTTTCTCGGAGCTCCTTACCTTAATCTTTAAGATTTTTAGACCACTATGTAGCGACGTTGTTTGTCTTCAAATTGACCCTAGTTGTAATCATGTTTATCGTGGAAATTATATCAAGAAGTGTCTTTGTATTTTTCAGGGGAGAGAAAGTCGAACGAATTCTCAAAATTGAGTTGACCTACATAATTTATGCGCATGCGTGATGTCACAAGTCACGTGACTAAATGAATCTGCATATGGTCTAAACAATTAAGAGTCACTTGTTTGGTATTCCTTATTAAAACTAGAAACTATAATAAAAGTCACTGTCTATAATGAGAATTCCTTAATTAGACTTCAACATGTGTGATTCACTCCCGGGGATTAACTGTTGAATATTTCTTACTATGCAGTCTGATTGATATGAACTTTATGTAGTAAAATAGATGGCATCGTATACATTAGGGTATTCCCTATCTCTTCTCGCGAAGTCTCGTGCCGCTATAGAAAATTTTGAAATAATTTAAAAAGTGATGATTTTCCTATAGTATCAGCGCAATTACATCGTGCATAACAACTTATGTATGGTAAGTTTAACAATTTATCATATAACATTACATTGGGACAAATATATTAAAAAAAACAAATGGGAATCAAAAGAAATCAACTCCAAAGTAGCGCTGGGTTCAAAAAAATTTAATTTTCTGAAGTTTGAGGATTTTAATACAGGTGCATCCACGGCTCTAGTGACCCTATCAAAACTCCGAGAGTCAAATAAGTCACTAGAGCCGTGGATCCACGTCTAATGTACTTATGGCTAACAAGTCATCAGTATTTAGACCGAAAGCTTGGCAAGGAGAGGAATCTCGAACAATTGTGTTCATAGATTTGCCAGGTTTGTAAGATCACAGAAACTTATCCTGTGCCAGGACTATAGTCCTCATAGCCGTAGGCAGCGGGGGTTCGGTGGGTTCGAACGAACCCCCGGTCAGGATTTCCCAAAATATCATTTTGCGGAAAATTGCCTATAACCAGAAACATTAAATTACTGTGCTATTTGAAAATGAATTGATATTTGTTATGGTGAACACGAGAGCATTATTTTGTAAAAAAACATGTCATCATGAAGTTACACTTCCCTCAAAACGTTTGGCAACCTTAGGCACGGGATGAGATTTAATTGTCGGAAGACCCCAGAGCATTAGATTCTACATTTAGAAATAACAATAATTTCGCACAATTAACTTAAAAGCTGCTTCTTCTCGGACAAAATAACCCATCTTGGGCAATGGCTAAATCAGTCCTTTGTAGGAATTTTTTAAGCCAGTTCTGGTCCAATTCGAAGTTATTGAAAGTTATTGAAAACAATGCAGACGTCCCATACTCCAAATGATTTTTACAACATTGACGAATAAATATCTGGAATAGTCGTAATATTGATAAAACACATGTTCTTTCAAATGTGTAAGCTTACATCTCTGGTTTGTTTTATTTCAATTAAAATTTAAAATATTTCTTGGGACGTCCCTGGGGCTGGGAAGTCCCCGAAACTAATTGTGTTAAATAATTTAATTAAAAACGTTGTGAAATGAATTATTTAAAAGCGTATATCATTTATAAACACAAGCATTTGTTTTCAAAGTAAAAGCGATCAGTGCAAAAAATGATTTTGTTTTTTCAGATTTACTCCACTCATCTTGGAGAGAGTATAGAATTCAAATTGTTATCGTTCCAGTTTACTTGCTCTCCATTTTCATGTTAATGTCATGATATGCTTAGCAAATAAATTACATAATAAAAAACATTGAAAAATCATATGGTATTTTAGCTTCAAATAAAGAAGCCCTAATTGTCATCAAGCCGTCTGAATTTAACAAAATACGAACAGTCGCTTGTATTTATATAGGATTTATATCCACCAAAACGTTTTTATTATCAATTGCAGTTGATCTGCTCCGGGGGACTTACCACTGAGCTCTGGGACGTCCAAAGAAATATTTTCGACTTTTTAAAACAAAGCATAACCGAGACCTACTTATTTGAATAACAGATGAATAACAGATTACAATAGATGTTTTCATCAGTAATACGACTATCCCGGATAGTTTAAAAAGCCTTCGTGTAAACGTTGTGAAAAGTTGTCATAGAAGAACGATCTTTCGGAGTATAGGGTGTTTGCGCCATTTTCAATAACCACGCATTTAATCCGAACTGGCTTCCAACAAAGTTCCTGCAAAATAATGATAAGCCATTGCATGAGGTGATTTATTTTGTCCTAGATGAAGTAGCTTAAGTTAAAGAATAAATTGTTGATATTCCTTGGTAACAAATCATGCTCCAGGGTCTTCCAGAAATCAGACGAAATAATGGTGGATCCGGGGCAAATCAGATTTCAGGATATATATTCAGTAAAAGATTCACCGATAAATATTTTGATGCAGAAAATTAATTATAAGTTGTTTTTTGCACGTTGCCTGTTTTTTTACTTTGTGAGCATTAAAGTTACAAAGTAGTCTTGCTCAAAGAATGTATCCCCCCCCCGTCACCTTCACTCTCTTTACCTGGCAATATACAGTCTTGTATACAAGGTCATTTTTGAAAATCATTTTTACGTCCTGTGTTATTTCAATGGGAGAGGTGTCTTGATGAAGCCGATTACTTTCAGACTTTGCTTAACGTAAATAAAGACATCATTTTTGTTAAATAAAATTCAAATTCAATTGTCTACTTGATGAAGGTATTAAAATGAATTATATTCCCCCTCCCAAAATAGTTTTTTCTTTACAAATTATGCATATAAGAATTCAAACTTAAAGATGCTTTAATACATAATCCAATGGGTTAGTTAGGATTGCCAAACTTTTGGAGGGGGTGTTATTGTACAAATTGCACAAAAATTTGAGGAACCCTAATGAAGGGGGGGGGGGATTTGTGAATAACATAAAAATAGAACCCCCGGTCACCAAATCCTGGCTACGCCACTGGTCCTGCACCGAGCGCAATCTTTTGCCTGTACTATTACAACTTGGGAGAATTATCTACGACCCTTACACTCGAGATATCTACTTCAATAGATTCCTTGGTATTTTAGCATTCTTTTAGTGTAGTTCTTTTCGTGTAGTTGACTGGAAGTACCAATAAATGGAGGAATTTGACAGTTGAAATATTAAGTTAAATATTACACGCAAATATTGCGATCAAAAACTAAAATCTCTTCGTTCTGCTGATAATCCCAGACAATTGTGGATTCAACTACACGAAAAGAATGCTAAGTGTAATGGGCGTCGATAATTCTCCCAAGTTGTAATTGTGCAGGCAAAAGATTGGGCTCAGTCCAGGACTATAGTCCTGGCACGGGATAAACAGAAACTTGTATCACTATGATATGCTTATATGCAGAGTCTCTCTATAGCCTATATTAGACTACTGTGTCTCTAGATCTCTCTCTATTGAGTCCTTATAGAGCCAGCATATCAAAACTAGGTGCTACGAGTTCCTGTGAGTAAGATCCACAGATGGCAGAATTTTTCTTAGGAAATACATAAAGAAAAACTACAAAATGAGGAAGGCTTTTTGAAAAGGGTTCAAGGCTTGAGTTAACAATGAAAACATACCACAAAAGGATCGCAGCATTGTCAAATTTTCGAAGATTGTTGGAGAGTTTGAAATATTGATTGTTGTTCTTCTCATACGGCCAGTGTAACCCTCGAGATGTATCTCTGCGGGTGGAGGGAATTGCGTCTAATGCGTACCAACTTCGTTTGTGCAAATTTTCACCAGTTAGTTTTTGAATATAACATGTCGTTGTGATGTTTTTATCGTTGTTAACATATCCCTTACACTTTTCTTTATCTTGATGTGAAAATTTTGAACCACCATATTTGTTTACCGATTTGGACCAATCAGGATGGTATGTTATCTCAATACTAGTGGAACAAGTAAGTTTTTCAAACATTTTGCTGTTTATTCAGTATCACGAGGCTCAATTATGACCAAGAATAAAGTTAATTTGTTATAAAAAGACCGTAGAAAACCGGAAGTGAAATTATATCAATTTTTTTCAAAAGCCTACCTCACTTTGTATTTATTTAGGATGTATTTCCTAAGAAAAACTCTGCCATCTGTGGTAAGATCATACAGATCATCATGTAAATTAGGAGATGGGTAAGATTTACTTAAGTCTCTAGTAGCTAGCCAAATTACTTGGCTAGAAGACATGGCACATGGACCAACATGCAACTGTAGTTTAAATGTTTGTCCTACAGAAAAGTAGATTTAATGTTATTTAAAAATCATACTGAGAATATTTCATCAATACTGTAAGAATTGAAAGATACACTGTCCTTTGTGAGATATTGTTAATGTCTAACATTATAGCTGGTTATAGATTAATAAGAAATTTGAACTAATACATTGATCACTTTGTGTGTGTTTTTGAGGTGATAAGACCAAAACTCCCAATTCAAATTGTGAAGTGAAAAAATGGCAGCTTGTTTTTTGTTTTTTATAATGTAAATGAATAAGTGGGAAAAAATGGCAGCTTGTTGATTTCAAATTTTATGATCAAAACATGCCTGGTATCACAGGCTAGTATCGAAAGATTTGTCCGGTGTGACGGAGCATGCTATTTTTCATAAAAACATTAAGAATACTTCACGATTTATTTTTTAACTCGATCATATGTTTCGTTATATCAAAGAAAATTACTTACTCCATGCAATGGATATATCATTTGCGGGTCCTTCACTTCTGTTTGAAGTCCCATAATGCTGGGAGTAAAAGCTATTGAAAACGGCGCCAGAGTATCTCTAAAATGTGTGGTTTTCTTAGCGTTTTTATGAAAAATAACATGCTTCGTCACAGTGGACAAATCTTTCGATACCAGTCTGCCTGTGGATATAAGGCAGAAGAAAAACACACAGGGATTTATGATTGGCATAAGGCTGCAATATAATGGAAGCCTTAGACTAAGGTAAAATGATTTGTGCCCAGGGCATCAAGCTGTTTAGCCTTTGTCCTGCACTGTTCAGACTTGTGCACCCCTCATAATTATTATAGTTTATGTAATTTACCTTTTAGAAGATTACATGCTTTGAATTATTTGTTTTTCAGTATTTACCCTCAGACAAAGATGCATGCAAGTAGTGCGTAAAACACATGACTTAGAAACTGCTGATCAACTTGATATTCCATTTACATTGAAATTTGACCTCATTGTCAAAAATAAGTTGAACTTCAATGTGTATGAACACTACTATACGCCTGTAAATGGAGAGGAGGATAATAACAACCATGCAATTGATGACAACTAACATCCACAGGGCAATAGTGAATATGCATTTGAAAATGAGTCAAATGACCAACATGTATTGGCCAATAGTAGCCATGCTTTGAACAATAATCAACATGCACATCAACGCAATAACAACCATAGATTGGAAAAGATTGCCCTACAAATGCTAATAACAATGACAGTATGATTGATGTTATTAAAAGTGGAGAAGGAGTTGAACATAGTTATAGGGACTGACGAGTTTCATAATATGCAGAATGATTACTTGGAAAATGAATGAGCTCATAGAACTATCAATAGATTACTCTCATATTAAAACAATGTAATAGTCACCTTTTGAAAATTACAAGAGCACTAATCTGAACTAGTCAGGAACCAATTTATTGAAAATATAGTGTTTTCAAAAAATAGTCTATGTGCCAAAGTCTATGAGCAATACAAATCACAGGCTGTTATGGTATTTGTAAATGCTTAATAGGACAAGAGTAAAAAGAGTGAACCATTTTAATGGATAAGTGATCTTAAATAGCATGAAGACTGCTACAACGTTTTACTTTCACCATACTTGATTCTGCTTTATTTCAATTTTATCTTTTTTGAAATTATTGTTACACATATATATCATGTGTTAGGAATATGAGTAATCACAATTGGAAGTTACACACATGCTATAGAATATAGTTGGAACAACTGACTTGAAATAATGTAAGAGCTTTTGAGAGAAAAACATGATATTGTACATTGTGAGAAAAAAATTGTAAATTTTTAATACAGGGTGGGCCAAAAAATGTCCATATTTTTATTTTTGTAATATCTTTCCTGATATGTTTGGAATATCCATAGATTATATATCATAAGAAAGATAATTCACTTTCCAACAATATGATGTATGGTTAATAAAATATGAATGGATATTGGTGACTTCATGATAGTTTACATATCATGAGGTAGTAACAGTCGAAAACAAGATTTTGCTATATGTTTTGAGCTTATTGCATAATATCACACTTTTAGGCTTTTACAAATAAAGAAATGATAGATTGATTGATTGATAGATACATTGATTTTTGCTTCAAACAAGTTTTGCAAAGAAACTCAATTGAAATTTTCCCATAATCCATAATATGGAATAAATTTCTATTATTTCCTCTTCTGGTGTCTATAATTACATTGTCTGCCATTTAAAATGTCAGATAAGTTAAACAACATCATTTTTGCTGATTTCATGATAATTTTAGCCTTAAATAGGCATTGTGTCCAAAATGTCTTGAAAATGAGTAAGTATTCAACTATTTGATACAGACTGCACTGCGTTATTTAGCTTATATTACCAATACCTATCAAAATGGTAAAATAACTCAATAATATTGTATTTGTAAATCAATTTTCTTTCATTTAATACATTAACCAACAATTTTTACCTTCTATAATTAGAATTAGAAAACTGACATAGGGGCTATATCTCTCTGGTCAGTTCTTAGCATTCTGTATTCTGCAATTGGTAAATCAAGATTTTGACCCCTGTGGTAATTGAAGTGATATTTTAAGATGAATACTCCTTTATATGAAATGAATTATATATCATTTTGTTGGGAATTGAATGTCTTTCCAATGATATATGGTTTATACATTTGTCTGTAATATCAACAACGTTGTAGCATAAACAAAATATGGACGTTTTTTAGCCCACCCTGTATATTCCACAAACTTGCCTCTTATCTTTGTTGCTTAGTTGCCATTAAGTTTTATCAGATGAAGTGATTCTCCTTTTTAAATTTTGTTTAATATTTTACCTTCTGAAAGGATGGAAACAGGGTTGCGTATGATTTGAGATTTTCAACTTAGAGAGACTTTCAGATTTTAAACAGGGTGCAGCACGAACATGTAAATGCATTTATATATTTTATTTGTGTTAATATTAGCGAAAATATAATGTACATGCAGAAATCCAATGGTGATTTAAGTTATGTTATTTCTTGTCCAAGGTCTGAAATTCCTCTATACTTTGCTGTCTACTGGGGCATGGGCCACAGGATTTACAACGTACATGTATCGTGCAACAACAAGAGGTTTAATTATCATTAAAAGAGATACGTTTGAATTTAAGATGTATACTTTATTTATTCAGCAAGTATTGTACAAAACGTGCAACTTCAGAATTTAAATTCTTCGTTAATTGAAAGGCAAGTGGTGCATGGCTTATTGCACTGACGTTAACAAATGTTGAGAATCTATTTTGAATAGATTATCACATAAACTGGCATTGGAAATGGATTTATAGTATATAATTACATGTTAATGTGCAATCGTCAATATTTTTTTGTTTTGTTTTGAGTATAAGTGGTCAATTCAAAGTTTTTTAATATAATGGTATTTGTGGAGCTGATGATGTCAGCTTATCAACTAGCTTATGTTTTTATGTACTGTAGAAGTACGTTCTAAATCGTCATCAAAGGTGTCAGTCATATCATCAAATAGAATTAGCCACTTAAAATTGTTCTTTTGGAGAAATAATATCAATTAAATTCAAGACCAGAAATAATGATTTCAGCGGAATTGTCAATAGCAAAAATGCATATAATGCCAATTAAAGTATGTATTTTAATGCAATAATCCAAATTAGTTAATCTAGGTGGATGTGCATTTCATACTTCATCGCAGTCGTCATCACTTGAGTCCTGGAGAGCAGCTTTTATTCCTTGGGTCAGCAGTTTCCATTGGCGTTTCTGCTGCCATATCGGCGGAGTCTCAGCTTGCACCACCTTTAAATCTTCGATATTATTGTAAAATGACTTTAATCTCTCCTCGAATGGTCGCCTGCGTTTGCGTTTCTTTGGTGATTTCATTGCCATAACTTCCATCATTACAGCCTCGTTTCCGAAACCAGCAGACGTATAATTTGTGGGTGGCGGAATATCACCAACGTCAGCAAGTTCAATGATAGGAGGAAGATGATCATTTTGGTTGGATTTTATATTATTCTGTCTTGAACTACTGTGCTCGGTTTTATTATCATCTATTGAAAGTTTGGCAAGGCCATCTGACGCTGGTTCCATCCAGCCGACCCGTGTTCTTCCAGGCGCCGTTCCGATATCCCTTTTATTTATATGTTCATTTTCAGCCTCTTCTGAAGGTTTCTCGCTTCTGTTATGATTAGCAGGTGCTGTAGATAAAAACCTTCTATCGTTTCTGAGCATTATTTCTGGAAGATCTTTATTATGGCCTCGATTGTCTTCGAGTTTGTCTTGATTTGTAGCGCCTCTATTACCAGATGGAGTGGGCTGTTGGGGAAGCCGTGTCGGATGGGGTGTAGCCGGTGTCTTTAAATCACGTCGTTTATTTCTACTTTTCTTCCCAAAGTACCTGAAAATATAACATGATCAAAGATAAGTCCATTTCGACCAACAAATTCAAAATACATTTTCTTGCCAAAAATATGTTATTTTCAATTGTCAATGTAGTGGATGAATAGGATGCAGGAATAAGTTCTAGTTTATACGTAATTCTAGATGCAATTGGTAAACTTGCTCGTCCAAGAAGTTCTCATTATTATCAACGAATGGGTTCAACTTACTTAACATGCTCCATGGTCAAATCTGATTCACACTTCCTGATCTGCTTTAGGAAATCATACTGATCGTATTTGTCTTTGTCAATGAGGGATATGTTGTGTGTTTGCTCTCTATTGAAGCCTTCCAGTCTCCTCCTCAGATACAACTCTTGGATGTTGTTCTTGTTGTTTACTCTCTGTAGGTTCCGCATAGCTTGAGCATGACCGCCGTCAGCGGGTACCCCTTGTGAAGACATCGGACTCAACTTTTCACTATCTGTGCTTGTGTTTTAATTGAATGATTACTCCTATTTGAATTATGTTTATTTTTATTCTAGACCTTGGATTTAATAGCCTGTCAGTAGACTCATTTTTGAAGTTTACTTGTTTTTTACTTGAAATATAAAATTTATATGTTTCTCAAGTTGTCAACATCAAAATCCCCAAAAGTCATGTGATACTATATATCCGTTTTGTATTTTATATCGATACTCCATTTATTATTTAGTCTTGGAAGAACTAGTTTAATTGTTCTCTCAGTTTTTATAATACATTGGTTCTGTTTTAACATGTATGACTATGAATAATTTACATCCATCAAATATGTCCTTCATGTCATCCCAAGTCTTTCTCAATGTTATATTCCATTAAAGCTTAATCATTTCAATCCGTATGAATTATGTCGATAACCTTTACACCGTCCATTAATCTTGCCTCTTTGATTATGGCATTTATTTTGATATGTAACCTCGACTGTTGGTCATTTCTTTATTATGCTCCTTTGGAAACCGTGGATTAACCAACATCGGTCTTAATCTCCGCGCTAAGCTCATTGAGATGTCATTGTCTGGAACAATAGGGGCAGCACTTAAGTACTAATATTAATACAATTGGACCCCTTCGTGGAGTATTTAGGTGTACCTGGGCTTTAGACGATAATCTCCATTTATACATGTTATATTGTTATTTATAGATATGTTATTCACTATTTTGTTCAAATTTTTTTTTGTTCTGATAGCATGTTGTGGGGGTAGTTGTTAATGCATTTAATCGTTCAAGTTGATTTGTAAGATTATTATCAATGATAACTTGTCCAGTTATTTTTCCAAGATGACATTTGACCTCCTCAACTGTCCTCTTGTAAAGAAAACATTGGTGTCGGAAGGGGGAAGGTGTTGGGGGCGACCGCCCCCCCCCCCCATTTTCCCAGGTCTTTTTAGATTTGAAACCGAGCCTAGAATTGAAAGCTCTGGAGCTAATAAAAGTCAAAGTGTAATAATGACAGAAATTATACTATGTTATAATCTTGTCTTTATCAAGAGTTTTCTAAATAAAAATTTCTTATTTTTATTATTGGGAATATTGTGCTGAGATATGTTCAGAATGCACCAGAGAGATTCTTTTGAAAATTTTCTGGGGGCATGCCCCCGATCCACGCTTCACGCACGACCTACCCAAAACTCGCCCCCTCCCTTGGCAAATCCTTCTGACGCCCCTGAGAAAATCAATATAGTTTTTCATTTCTGATCTCATTTGAGTAAAAGTACTTAAAAACGTCTAAATTATGGATGGAACCGGAGCGTAACATTTGCCAGAATTATCCAGATTTTCGCACAATTTAGTTTTGAACTTTAAACTGTTTGATCTTGTACAAAATGAACAACCCCATTCAATGACAAATGAATCACTCTTCTGTGGGAATTATGAAGTTATAAAGGATCGTTTTTCTATTATAACTTTTAAGACATTAACACGAAAGCTTATAAAAAATATCCGAGATGACCAAAATAATGAGAACTATTTATATTTAATTTAGATAAAGGAGAATGGCAAATAACAATGTAAATATGAAAATGATAATTTATGATCTTATATTGTATGTTTATATAGCCTTACAGTCTTTACACGTTCATTGACAACTTTGAATCTTTAAAATAAGTGATTTGAAGGACCACATTTCAACGTTTTACGGAAAAATAAAAACATTTGTACCTGCCCTGATATTTTGGTTTGTTTTGTAGTCTGGCTATCATACTTTTGGCCTCTTTTATTTTAATGTTTTTGTCATTTTATTCATCCAAAATAAACATGGCCGAAACTTCCTAAATTACAAAAGTCCACAAGTACCCCCGGCAAGTACCTATCTTTTATGTACAAAAATTAGAACGGACACATAACGGTCCTTTGTTTGTTTATTTTTTAGATTCATTATTCTCAAGGAAATTGTACTGGAAGAGACTGTTACACCAAAATCCAAAATGTGCATGATAATAATTGAAAACAGTAGATGATTATACATTTCATCCTTTTGCAAAGGACTTCATTTATGCTTTATTATAAATTGGGCTTTTTAAAGAGATGGGTTGAGAATAACTTTCAAAAGAATTGCCACTGAATCAAGGAGATAAACGTCCTTGTCACAAGTTTGCAATATTTGTGCCGCTGCGACCATGGTCTGCAGACAACCGATTCTGGTTGATGTTGTCGAATATGGAATATGGCACGACGTTCTTCTGCAATGAAATTAAGCTCATCAGATAAACAATTCAAGTGTACATGCTGAGTAATCAGAACTCCGCTGTGAGCTAAGGTTGAACTATTTGCATTACTTTGGGATCGATAAAGTGTATGGTTAGTGATGATGCAGTGAACGAAACGGTCATGTCATATTCTCTTACTATTGATTAACATTAACGTTTGTTTACCAGCTAAAATGTAATGGAGTTTTGATTTATGGATATTGTTAGTGAAAAGACAAGGGTTCGTCTAGTAGTGCTCCCATCCTATACTTTGATATCAGCAAAGAGCATCACTCCACCCCCCCTCGCAATACAATTCTGATGTTTCATTCTTTTTCATATAATTTATGTTGATTACATCAGCATAACTAACATGACTAACAGTAATACCTGGCAGATAGGTGTCGCTACTAGTCGCACGAGGAGAGGCTGAGAGAGGTAGTAAGCACAAAGATACAGAGACGATGATCGCCTTAACAACAAGCGCCATATTACCAACCTACAAAGGATTATTCTACAATCATGGAGTGTGACTTTAAATACACGTCATGATCATTTTATGATGGATATATTTCTAATCAAATTATAAATGTAATGTGTGATGGATTTTTTATAAAGATTCCTATATGGAAAGAACTAAAGATTGGCTATTATTAATCCCCATTGTTCTTGAAATGGGAACAACAGGTAAGATCTTTTATTATACGCAGCCATATGACATTGTTTATATTAAATTCCGCAAAAATATGAATATCGTAGCTTGGCAAATGAGTCAAAAGATCATATTGTAATTTTGTTTATATTTGTTTTTAAGAAATATGAGAGCTAACCATAACTAATGTATACGTATATGTATCATTTACACGCGTTTGATTGCTTGACCATGTAACATAAATAAAATGAATAAAGACGTTGCCATAGCTACGGTGATGCTGAATCTGAGGATGGAGCAACTATTTTCTACTTGAAATAAATCAGGGTTGAATTTCCGCCCATTATGGTTTCAATTACGGAAAGGGGACTTTTTAGTAAATCAAGTTAAGCATGTTAATAGTCCCGGGGTTAGTAGTGGTCATTTACGGTCATCTTCTTCCCTTTTCAAAAAACTCACAAAGGAATACAGAGTCATTCTTTATTGGAAGTGTTTATAATGGAAAATAATAGAATATGAATATAAAATAGTTGTATGACATCGTCACGAAACGTGTATACAGGGTGTCCCAAAAGTAACAGGACTGGTGCTGGCATTTTGTCAATTCTGCACCTAGTGTCTTCAAATTTTCACAAATTGTACTATTGCAACTAAAGTTTCAGAAAAAATGATATAATGCAGGTAGAGTTATGGTTACTATAGTAACATGACATCACAATACCCGGGGCAACTTTTCATGAAAATGCGATATCTAGCATTTTTGTAATACTGAAGAAAGTATCTAATTCACCTGTAACAATACAACATTTCTTGTTTGTTTTATTAATTTCTTCGTTAATTTCTTCTGGAATATCACCCTGTATAACAGTCTGCACAATTCAAGGTTGAGCTTTTGAAAAGACCCAATTTGAAGCCAGTCATCCACATTGATAACGCGCCTGCCCGCAAGTCAGCATCAAAGACCACTGCAGCTATAGAGGAGCTACATGTAGGTCTAGAGGTTTAAGACTATACACCATACTCTTCTGATCATGCAATAATCTCATTTTTACTTATATGGATTATAGAATGTTAATCAGCGCGGTAAGACCTTTAAAGATGAGAATGATCTTCTCCAAGCTGTCAAAAGACCTTGTGTGACATGTCCTCGAATGGGTTCACTTATGTGTTTGAGTCATGGATACTGAGTGCTACTCTTGTACTGACCAAAGAGGAGCCTATACTTTTCAAAGTAGAAGATGTATAAGAATATATAATGATGTAAAGCAAATGTAATTCCCACCAGTTGTTGCATTTCAACTTTGATATGGGATGTAAAAAACTTTAAAAGTCTCTGTAACTTTCTGCGTGGAATGTTACCCCAGGTATTGTGATGTCATGTTACCATAGCAACCATAACTCTACCCGAGTTTCATAATTTTTGTTGAAACTTTGCAATCTTAGTTACAATACATGAAAATACATTATGTCAAATTTTGAAGACAATTGGTGCATATTTAACAAAATACCAGCCCCAGTCCTGTTACTTTTGGAACACCCTGTACACTGGTGGTACGTCAAAAATCATGTCTTGAGCAAATCTGTGGGGAAACCCAGAGAAATACTAAGAATGAATACTGAGACTTCCACTCCTTTATAAAAATGGCATTGTCCAGTTCTTTTTGAAACCATTATAAAAAATGAAAAGAAAATGAATAAAATATAATATAAAATTCACATATAGCTATAAGGTGTGTCCGATTCCAGCCAATCCGAACACAGTATTTCATATAACTGTACACGGTTTATAACCAACAAACCACCAAAGTTTACTTGTTGAATGGTTGTCAAGGTGACAACTTGACTCTTCAAATTGAAATTCATACATGATTGCCCCTTATCTTTCATAGATTTTTGGACGAAGCAAAACTGTCTTACTACGCACTAGGCTTTATCCGTCAAGGATTATTGTTGTATTTCATGGATACTGTATGTAGGGGAAAATGGTTAATTTTATTGATCGTTTTATATAAAACTCGTGCAATTCAAACATGATGGAAAGTTTTATACCATGATCATTATACCTCCCGGTGAATATTCGCCAGGGAATATACTTGATATCTCAAACATCGCATTCACCTGGTCGTTTCCATATTGAAGTCGTATGCTCTGGGGGTTTCGTTTATGTATACGAAATTATCTAATCATGTTCAGCTATTCCTATATTCTGAAAATGACAATAAGTTCTTTAATGCATACCAATAGAGAAAATCTTTGAGTCTAACAATACGCCTTTTAGAGGCTCCACTTTTTATGATTTGTTACAAAATGACTCCGAGGGGAGCAAGCCCAACTCGACTAATGCACCGGCTCGAACATCATCATATTATAACGAATACAATGTTTTGTGTGGCCATCAAGTTCGTACACCAATAGCGATAGGCCTATATTGATATTTCATCCCATGGGATACATTTTCACAATTTTACATCTCTCTAAAACTATCAAACGGTTCACATGGAAACACAATTGCCATTTATTAATTAATTCATTGATTAATAAATTTTCTCTACTAGGGGATCATACGCAGGTGATAGAGTCTCTTGTTTGAAAATGAGATAAAAGATAGTTGATTGATCACACATGAATGATAATGATAGAGTTGGTAGCTTTACAATTAAAGTATATTCAAATGTGCTTGATTAGAGGATTGATATAAACGATAGAGTATAAATATCAGTTTGGTCGGTTTCTGGATACACAGAGGTCTGATTGTGCTACTAATGAAAACCAATTAAACCCCTCTTAGATAGGTAGCTACAAAATAGAATGAACTGTATTTCATTTCAAGGAAAGACAGCTGTAACAAAGAAGAGTACATTCATTTTCTATCGATTTTAAAGAATGGACTATCAAAAACCAGAGCGGTACAAAATACGATTGACAGTTTTGATAGTTTTCATCATTTAAAAATGATATAGAAATATGAATGTACTCTTCTTTTGTTACTATGCATTTATTATTTTCTGTTGCAACCTACAATATTGAGCTAGGCTAACCAGAGACATGTCTCTTGGCTATTTTACAAATTTTCCTCCGTATGAAGTTTGTAGTTAAAAAGTCCCAAATATAGTATAACGGTTAACAACGGCAAAGCTATGTGTTATATTGTAACAGTGTCTCTGAATAACAGACCAAGATGTAACGATAAAGTGTAACATTATATCTGACTCCCAATCCCATGATATATGACAAAGTGTAACAATATCTCTCAAAATTTAGCTCACGATATAAGGTATAATTAGTAATAATTACGAATCACATCTCTAACTAACTAGTGTTGACCTATGAATGCTATAGGGTAGCAAACATTCTCCATTTCCTTCAATGTAGTCTAACCCACATTGTGTGGGTTAAGATTAAGTACACAATCAATTGAGAGAGGCCAGGGATATCAAGTACAAAGGAATGTCTTTTATAACAGCAACGTGATTATTGACCAACTTTGTCTTGGATGTTCATTTTTCAAGGTGAAAAATGACAACCAAATCAGTCAATCAGAATCCTCATATTGTTACGTACATTTCTTGATGTCATGCTTCTCCGTATTTGTTTATGTCAAAGCCAACCATTAACGTGTGTTCGTTTATCTACCTGAAAGGGATATGTTTTATGATTGTTGTGACGCCATACAGGGAACCATTAATGGAGTGTTATCGTCTCTTTGTGGGTTACGGTCGGTAAATAGCAGTGTCGATATCTAGATCGATTCTATTGGTGTTGTTTTTAGATCGTGCGAAAAAGTATTAAGAATTGTGTGACTATATTAATGATGTACTAGGTTGCTTGGAGAATTATCGAGTGCACTTTTCTCATCTTAGTAAACCTATATTTTGAAATTCGGTAAAGAACTCGAGGCTGCTATCTCTTTTCTCTGAAATACCAGTATTATAAATAAAATGCAAGAAGTGGATTAAATGGTTACATATGGTACACAATACACATTCAAAATTGTCCAAGAAGCACAGCGTTACAAAACGCAACACAACCCCGGGAGCACAACCTGTCAGAGAACAAACCCTATAGTTAGAGGGTTTAAGGTTTTATATAAAATCAAAACGGTAATCTATCAATCACCCACAAATACAGATACATGGAGTTTTCTCACCTAAATAACCGTTCGGTTTCAGTGTTTTTAGACTACATCGCAGCATGTAATATCGCCATTGATAGTACTATAGCTGGATTTCCAATACATATTTTTAAACGAGCTGATTTCATATATTTGGAGCTAATTCATTATACTTTACATTGTATTCTACAATGTATCGAAATCGAAACCATAGTATGACAAAAGAAACGAGTATTATGATTCCCGTTGACACCAACGTAAAAGGATGGGTATCGATGTGGTGAACTTTTTGAACGCACGTTTCTCTTAAACAAGACCAGTCACCACCAGTCATCAAAGAATTTTGAAAATTTGACACATCGTCAATTTAATCGTCATCTTTTGAATGGTAGCAATATAATTTGAAATAAATATATATACTTTCCTCTATATTATTTTAGAAAACACATCAGACACTTAAAACATGAAAACAGTTATATAAAAAATATATAAATAATTTTCGCCTTAAATCGTTTTCAATCAGTCAAAATTACATAAAGGACCGTGTTTTTTACAGAATGTTTTCAATAATTGGTTTAAGCGAAAAACATTGTTGAATTCAGTTTACCATATCGATAACAATCCTTTGAAATTTCCTGTTCTAAAAACGAAACCCTGAAACTGAAGTAGACTAAAAGCGCTTGAATCTCAAATGAAACTATATGCGCGCTCGACACTGATTCATGTACTTTTCGTTCACGGTTACTTTGTGAAAAGCATTGCAAGCTTTAAAACGCTCTATTGTATGATACAGATGGGATGTATACTTTTCTTCATCCTAGTGTGTACCTGAATGTGCGGTGCACTTATTTTGTGATGATATATTGAATTTTTAAGCATATAGTGTATACATATGTTATTCTGTTTTCAGAATCTAAAACGTGCCTTAAAGATGAATCACTAGGTGACCAACTAGATATTAACTTATATGAATGTAACGACCCATGGGCGACTGAGTGCTGCGTGGTTGATAACGAACCAGACTGCTGTCAGTCAGAGAGTATTAAAAACTTGTAAGTACATTAAAGTAGCTCATACTGTAACTCCGATCGTAAGTATTCCAACGGGTTTTAAAATTTACTAAATTAAAATACCAGTCGTGTTTTGGCTTTTCGTCACGCTCTTGTTCAAGCACACACGTTGTTGGTTTGTTACAGAATTGCAAAAAGTGACCGAAACACAATAACAAAAGGTTCAAGGTCAAAGAAAACAACCATCTACATGAATATTCAGTTAATGATAAAGTTATAACTCATCCGTTTCCCAGAGAGCATGTCGACCAATAATTCAATACCAATGTCTCCAATTTGTCTCTAACGTCCAAATGCCTTTGTCAAGATCTCAATTGTAAATATAGCTCTATGCCGTTGAATAATCCATAGTTGTATCTGTCATCAATAACGTCGTCGCAACGATAACAGATTCATTTGTTCGAACGAACAGGACACACAATCCAGAAAAATGACAGATATAACGGGAATAAACATAGTTTCTCCAAATCTCCAGATATTTCCGAAGTTTCTTGTTTTCTTTTATCGATTCCACTAAAATTCTTATGTTCTTAAGCATTTAATGGCGAAATAGAAAAATAATATGAAAATTTAAAGGGGCAACAAGGACTGTAGAGAGAAAATTCGAAATCTTTTATTTTTTCTGAGTTATCGGGTCAATATTTGGCTTAACATCTTCTTTGACGTACGTATTTTCTTAAAATGTATGGATAAACTATCAATATCAGCATTAAGAAGTGTAAATTCAGTTCAAAGCTTCTATAAAGGGAGTCCCACGTATAGATTTTTAAGATCCACCACGTTCAAAAAGAATATCAGGTGAAATAATGTTCATCCAGGGGGTTTCTTTGGAGATAATAAAAATATATGATAGCCTGATGAAATATTTAAACTAAATATATTTTGACACTGGTCCATGAACGTTGAATGGCCCCTCTGCACAATTTGTTGCACCTTTAACTTTGGAAATCTGATTTAGAAGGAGTCTCAAATAGCTATACAGGTCCAAAGAATTGTGTGGAAGATATTTTTCTTCGTCACAAATATGTAGTTTTTTACGATGATATACAGAGAGTTTTTATATCAGGATAATTGATAATGTATAATACCTGTAGTACCATTAAAACTAAATGCAATCTAGCTAACGTCATTATACAGGAAACTAGATCACAAAGGGCTTCTGACATAAAAACCAACTTCAGTCTAACGAGAGAATAGTTTGATTAATCAACGCTGGTGCTCTTGCTCTCAATAAGGCGATCACAGGTATGATAAATGCTATATTGAACTCGATTGTCCGTGATAAAAACTTCCTATCATGCGAAAAAACAGTATTGCCTTTGTCTGATGATGCTACAGTACTTGAGCTGCATTTGTCAATTACTCCTCTAGGTATTGTTCAGGGATTCTTGTTCATGTCAGAACTACATTAGTGATGTATTTCCTGTCATATATACACATAATCTATGATAAATTGTATTCATAAAAATTCGATCCATGAAAGGTAGAAAAATAAAGGTAACATTTCAAAACAAAACAAGTCCCTGTATTTTTATGTTACTTATTTGTTCTTACTAATTAATACTACAGTGCTGCACGAAGTATCAACTGCAGAAAATGACATAGAGAAGTTTAAATGTAGGATGGTTAAAATATCCCTTAAAAAATCACTAAATATACCTAAATCGACCGCTGTTTCTATTGTTCTATTGTTATGGGGGTCATTGCTGGACGGCTCGATCATTGGTGTCATCAAAGCAGCTGCATTGCGATTTATTTTCTTGCTCCTATATTTTTTACATCTTGGATGAAATTGTTGCAGTTGGACAACACAAAGTGGTCCTTAAATTCATATATTCTTTACTTCCAGGCGGGAACGGTTGCAGTTAGACAACTTAAATGGCCCTCATATAAAGGACCACGGAAGGTATCGCAACAGATTTCAGACAGTCATAGGTTGGATTTGGCTGTTTTCTTATGATTTTAACAGGTACATATGTTAGGCCAATGCATTAACTCCAGGAGAAGAATTCTTAGATATGATAAAATAATTTGTACTTTGAAACAGAGAATGTGCAAACACCCAGTCTATATATTTTTTCTGAAATGTCCTGATTTTCAACCCTTTCCAAACCTGTTTTCCAATGCTTGATGCATCAATATGTTGCGTTTTAAGAGACGGTAACCTTTTTAAAGAAAAATTGATTCATGCAAAATAAAGCTGAAAATAATTGATCGCATGAGGTAACTCTGTCTCGAAACGTAACATATTGAATTTATTGATACATCAAAGATTGAAAAAACAGGTGTGGAAGGGGCCGAAAACCAGGACAGCGTTTCAGAAAAATGTGTTTGTGGGGTGTTTGTACCTTCCCTGTCTCAAAGTCCAAATTACTTCCATGAGTGCTTGCCCTGGAGTTAATGCATTGGCCTAACATATGCACCTGTTCAAATCCTCAGAAAACAGCCAAATTCCAACATTTTACTGAATTATGTCTTAAATCTGTTGCAATACCTTCCGAGGTCCTTTATATATTCTTTACTAGGCTGGAACAGTTGCAATTAGACAACTTAAATGGCCCTTAAATTCATATATTCTTTACTTCCAGGCTGGAACAGTTGCAATTAGACAACTTAAATGCCCCTTAAATTCACATATTCTTTACTTCGAGGTTGGAATAGTTGCAGTTGAACAACTTAAATGCCCCTTAAATTCATATATTTTTACTTCCTGGCTGGAACAGTTGCAGTAAGACAACTTAAGTGATCCTTAAATTCACGTATTCTTTACTTCCAGACTGGAACAGTTGCAGTAAGACAACTTAAATGACCATTAAATCCACATATTCTTTACTTCGAGGTTGGAATAGTTGCAGTTGAACAACTTTAATGGCCCTTGGATTTATATATTCTTTACTTTCAGACTGGAATAGTTGCAGTTGGACAACTTAATGGCCCTTTAAATCATATATTCTTTACTTCCAGGCTGGAACAGTTGCAGTTATGGGGCTCCATCGTTGGTGTTATTGTAGCAGTAGCTATTATATATATATGCTGGAGGAAAGACAATTTTTGTGGCACTAAAAAAACATTAAAGGAAAAACTCAAAGATTGCTGTTCTGGAAGGCAAGTACCCCAAGTACGTTTTATTAATTTAGGCATGCTATTCGCATGGTGGAATAGGTAGGTGGTTATTGACAGTAGTATTGGCATGGACGGAGGGGGTAAATTTCATGTTCTTGATAGTTGTTGTCTATTTAAAGTGTCACTTCCTATTGATTTGATCTAATACTATATTCAGAATATTATTACAAGTCAGATGTACATTGATTCTTATTCGAGGTTGATTTTCTAAAATAGGCATAGTCATATTACTGTAATATGTTATTATCTCAAAGAAATATACAACCCACGTTTTTATGAACTCTAGAAAAATGAATAACTCAGCAATACACTCCACCATAAATTTAAACATGCTGCGGATCCAATTCCCATTCAAAGTGGGATAAAAGGATTATTCAAATTGCGCTTGCCTTGATTATGAGAAATCAAACCAACCAGCGCCGCAATGAAGAAATAAACAGTAAAAGCATTTAAACATTATACAAGTTGCTCCAATGCACTGAATGCAGTATATCATGCTTTATATGCCATTATCGAAAGAAAAGAGCAGTGTTGTTAATCCCTCTAGAAATTTATGCCCAGGACACATACTTATTGATCGTTGTAAATTGTTCACCCATTTACAGGTACCAACCGTTTTATAGATTTACGACCTCAAGGTATGAAGGCATTTCATCCAAGCAAAAAATGGTTGAGTCAAAGGCACTTCAAGCATACAAATGGTTTTGAATGATAGCACGGAAATAAATAATGTGTTTTAAGAGGTTATCCATAAAGATCTTTGTTTGAACAATTACACACAACGATCAAATAATGAAACATAGTGTCTCTGACCTGCACAATTTTTCGCCTATCCCCAGGCCCAGAACTAAACAAAAAGATAAATCCATTAAAATGCTTTGAGTAAATTACACTAGATCGATACACCTCTTAATTAAATGAATACCTGCAAATGCAAATATTCAGGCCATGACCATTACGCTGCATGCAGCTAGCTAACACTAGCTATAGTAACGTACCATATAAAATTATGGATTAATTATGCCATCGCTAGTTCAATACCCAGACCTAGTATTTCACTTTTGATTTAAAACTAAACGACAACTGAATGGATATTTTAAAATGAACCACGTTGAACATACTTTGAGCTATTTACTTCTCTTAATATCCCGATACAAATACACGTACACTTACATTGGCTTCATTTTATCAGATTCAGTTAACTTTTTATTTGTAAGGAACGCACTGTGCGAACTGCTACGGAGATCGCTCGAATCCAGATAGGAACCAATGTTTGTAAAATATTAGATTACGAAGAGACATTAATAATATTGTCCTCAATAATCAATTTTCAATTGTTCAAGGAAAGTAAAAATCACAATGAGAAGATAATATTTCAACATCTGATCTGTAAGTCGTTATGTAGAAGCAATAGAGAAAAGACTGACGATGTTTTTTTCATCTTACTGAATATGCAGCACTAAAATCATGGTTATCAAAATCAGCGATCTAGATCGATGAAATTGAAAGAAATATGATTCGATATTATATCCAGAATGAAATATATAATCCACACCCTTTTCAGATACAGTTTGCCTTCATTAATCTTGCTTCGAGACGGTGGACCTGACTCCCTATCTTAACAACAGAGTTATTAGAGTACAGGTAGTCCCGGGTCTTGAAGCAACACTATTGGTAAACCATGGCATCTCATTCCCTTTTCAAGTCGGGGATGCCATGATATAATGAGCACCCTTTTCGATTTTCCTTTTCAAGTCGGAGGACGCCATGATCCTTTTCGATTTTCCTTTTCAAGTCGGGGGATGCCATGATCCTTTTCGATTTTCCTTTTCAATTCGGGAGTGCCATGATATATTATGAGCACTTTTTAGAACTTGTTTGTATATTTGACTGAAACTGCAAATCGCAGCCTATTTACAAGGTTTATAACCTTGGTTCTATATTCTATGACATCCACCATTCATACAAATTTTTGAAACAAAGATTTTATCCTACGCTATTCAAACTTGTCAAATTCAGTGCATTTTTTATCACAATTGGTCTTATATTCAGCAGTTTTGTATCTGGGAGAGGAGGATTAACTATTTTATAACTTGTCCAGTCTTAGGGATTCCCAATACTTTTTTCAAATGCTTGAGTGTCTGACTGTTATGGTGGTAGATGAATAGACGATACTTTTCTGCTTTTGTAATTGTGTCTTGCTCCATTGACGTATAGGCCTATGTGTGGTTGGCTTGAATCTAATTACTCTGTGAGACCACGGCACATTAACATTTCTGAATAGACGCATTCGTAAATGTTACGTTGCTTGTGGGTTTTATCTTCTGCTTATAAAATTGAAAAGTTTATGATTTCAGGAACAAGAAAGCAGTTAACTCCACAGAAAAGACCGAGTTTACCAGATTTGAGCACACTGAGTTCACACCTTCGGTCACTCCAGATGTGAACTTAACTAACATGACAACAGTCCAGTCAAGCCCTACAAATGGTAACATGATTCATACTGACGTGCACCATGATACCACACATACCAATGAGAAACTAACAAACTATGACAATGGCATAAATGATTTAGATGCCAGGCCTTCTACTAGTCGACACAATGATGTACTGAGTGTGGAGAACTCAAAAAGAGGCTCTGCCGGATCACATCATTTCTCAGATGATTCTCATGAATCCAAACAGTCAGATACAGCACTCATTAAACAGAACAAATACAATGACAGTATTGAGATGCAGGACATGGGAGGGAGTAGAACAGATCTACCTGCAAAAACTGCCAAAAAGAAAGGAAAGAGTGCAGGGGGAAAGAAAAATGGAACAGCAAAATCTCGGGCTGAGCCAGAGTTAAAGACGGAAGATGAAGAGGAAAAACCTTTAAAACCAAACAAACTTAAGAAAAAGAAAAGTAAAAAGGGAGCTTTGTCGAAAACGACTAGTTTCCCAAATGTTGAAGTATGATAAAAGTCGATATTTAAGATAATCTAAATATGGAATGGTTAACCAGTTTTAACTACAGATTAAAGATCCAATCGGAACATGTGATGATAGTAGTTTGAATCAAGATACGTTCTATGTAGACGCATCTGGATATATGTTCATTTTGCAAACTGTACCTATCTACAGTACAGTATGAGCAATGGTGGGTGATGGGCTTTGAAAAGCTAGAAAGATCAAAATTAAAGGATCCACGGGGTCCTATATGGTGACGTTTTGAAAACCTATGTGACACTATTATTAGGCTATGGGAATACCTGTTGAGTGTAAAGAATATTTACAATGCATGTGGTAAATGTATTTTCTTTAATATTCACTATATATATGATCATAAAGACAGTCTCATGGTAATATTTTATGAAATCAATGTACATAAATATTTTCAGCAGTTCAGTCATTCATTCTCATTTCATCAGTCGCGTTACGTTAGGAAGAACAGGCAGGTTCTGACATGATTGGCATATTTTCAACGTATAGAGGTAAAACGTTCATGTATTCATGCATTTCTGTGATTAAAAATCTTCAAAGACTGTGTACAATTAATTTCAAACCTATACGACTATACATCACGCGGGATAACTTTTTAAAAGTTTTTTTTCTTAAAATCTATGCGAAAGTTGGGAGGTCAGAAAGCAATTGTAAATGTTCATTCAATACGACTATCTCTAGTCTCAATATCTTATACCGAGCTGGGATTGTTTTTTTAAACGACTTGAATAAAATGTATGGAAAATGAGAGGCCGGATGAGAGGTCAGATTCAACTCAAGACCGCCATGTTTGATGAGTTTTAGCATGGGCTCTCTTTAAAGCCCATGGTTTTAGCCTCGTTTTTTTATTTTTAATTCCAGATATTCTCCAGCACTATCTATAGTCAGACTAAAATACCGATGTGTTCGACTAGCCATTATTAGACGTTGTAATCCACGGAAACTGCGTTAATGTCACCATATTTTAACATACACCCCCTCAAAAAGTTTGACAACCAAAGGTCCCCATTAAAGAGCGTGTCAAAAGCCTGCTTACATTTGAATTTAAATTGTGTCCCTCGGTTCATTAATGACACATTTAATTGATGAAATTATCAAATCGTCAAACATTAACGGACTTATGACTTCTTGTTGCCAATTTCTGGAGGGAAGTGTAAAAAAGCAAATGTCATCCATTGATTTTCAATTATTTAACTCAAGTCTAAACGACCGGAGTTCTTAGACAAAGGGATGTCAGGCAGCAAGGCACAGACTGATAAATGATGTAAAGTTAAATCATAAATTACATATCATTTTTATCATGCAAAAGTTGTTGAATATTTTGGAGAATGCATTTTATAAGAAAGGTAGTGCTATAAATTAGATGACTTCAAAGGCCACTTTGGGACAAGGAACGCGAACTTGGGCGCTTAATCAAAGAAGGTTGGGTGTGGGATTGCATCTCTTCCCATTGTGATTTAATCTTATGGCATTTTCTAGAAAGACGTTGTGAATCAAACTGAAATTTAACAACTAGAAGTCGCGTTACATTTAAACAGAGCTATGTAATAACATTTTCAAAGAGCTTTAAAATCAATTTTTTTTTAATAATCATACACGATGACCTTGACCCACAAAACAGATTGACCGTGTATGACCCCGATACCGAAGAATTAGTAAGATTAAGATAACAACGAGATTTGCCTTATAGGTGACTGACATGATATTTAGGCGATCGTGTCCTTTATTAACTTAACATCCATAGTCTAAACCCCATTGATATTTATGTTGAACTTCATTACCTTGACTGTCTATGACTATTTTGACTGAGACTTAAAATCGTTGGGTAAGACATGTAGCCTAGATAAGTGAGGTGATTATGATAGTACATGTATACTACTATTCAGCTTACGATTTAACATGTAGTTCTTGTTTCTCACGAATGTGAGTCATAGAAAGATAGGAATTGATATAAATAATTGTTAAAATGGGAGTCAACAAGATGGAACATAATTTATAATGCGAAAATGTGTGAATGTGTAAAAGGTGGGGAACGTGTAAACCCGGAAGAAATGTTTACCTCGTCAGGTTTATTTTTACATATATATTTGATAATTTTTGTTAGAAATGCACTTTTAAGATACAAGCATATTTCTTTAATTTGGATATTAGACTGCACATTGGCTGATACAAAGGAAAAGACTCAGACTCGATATAGTCAGTATATATTTTCATATTTTCCAAAGTGTATATGGACATATTGGTATCATACCTATCCCATAGACAAACCATTTATATCTCTGTCAATCGTCCAAACGGATGGCTACAGAATTCATTCACAAGTTGAGGAGGTTATTCGGGATCGTGCGTTCGGGGAATGAGAAGTTCCCGCTTCCAGTAATGTAAAAAGAATCGTCTCAAAAGTGAAACAATTACATATTTTATGAATACCCAAAATAAATAAAACTATGGTTATTCTAATCAGATTCAGTTACCACACTTTCACTGTCTTGCAAATAGCGGGAATGAAACGTATACTGTATCATGTTTCTGTTCAAGATACGTCAACCCACCCGGGCCAACCCAACAAGAGCAAACATGATTATTCGTAAATAGATATAGAAGGCGACCATGGGTACTTGGGCATTCGTGTGGGGAGGCACTTTCAATAGAAGTGGCAGCCATTTTGTTTTAACAATGTATAATATTGTTAATATTAAAACTACATGTATGTAAGCTACTTGCACAAAACAGATTTCTTGCTTTGACATGTTTTTGCCGGAGAAAACAATATCAAAATTATCATTTATAGTGATATAGTTGTATTCCATAATTGTTGATGGTAAATAGTAAGTGAACCATAATATGTTAGGTCTACATATACCATATACATATTTATATTTATATTGTTTTTCAAATCATGAAGTGCTCTTAAAGTGCATACTAGATAGTATCTGATATTACATCTTGTCGACCGTAGAATTTTACATGAGAAACAATGTAGCATTGTACATAATTGTAGCGTGAGTTCTTTGTAAATAAAATATATGCTATTTAGGTTTAAGAATACGTTTTTCAGTTTTTCATTGGCAGTTTTTAACTCACATGGAGAGCTTTTGCAATCGCTTACTTTTCCATCAATCAAGTCCGTCCATCAAGTCCGTATGTCCGTCAGTCCTGTCTGTCTGACAACAATAGTGATCAATACAGAAAACCCCACTATAATGACTCCTGATTCAAAATCTCGTCTATTTTCAAAGGGGCCAACATTTTTGTCTCGCAAATTCACTTTTTGACCAATTAGCTTTCCAAATAATTCCAGGGGTCTTGCATTGTAAAAACTCATATAACTGTAGAAGTTTAATGAAATAATTTTGCAACAAAAATAAGCAAAGTATATATATTTGCTCGGCCATTTTAGTTAGCATTCATCACTTGTCAAACTGTCCGTCTGTCAACAATAGTGCCACGTTTGGCTTTAAAATGCACTGTACATAGGATTCTAGTTTTAAGTTACTTTTGTAAATAACAATTTGGTTAATATACAACAACGATCCCTATGACTTCTGGTTCAAAAGCTCGCCAATTTTCAATATGGCCGCCATTTTTGTCTCGCAAATTCACTTTTTGTCCATTTAGTAGTTTTATAAGTAATTCCAGGTGCCCTGCATTGTAAATGTTCCATTCTATTGAGGGAATATGATATCAAACATTCAATATTATCTTTTTGTCTCTAACAAAACTTAACATTTTTCGCCAATGTCACTCTTGTCTTAACAGTCATGGTGATGAGTTCATGGCTATCTCATTTATTTATCATTCGCTTCATCACCAAAAACACGCATAGAAAGACGAAGCCAAAACATTTTAAATTCGTGAGTAACTCACACAATCAATAGACTTAGTCATGAACAATATTTTCTAAAATATCTGAAAAGTAAAAAAAAAAGTAAGCAGTAAGTATTATGAAGAGTTCAAAGATATTTTTCAAAGAGATAGCTTGGGATCATTGTATATAGGATCGCGATTACAGCTATTCATTTACTGTCCATCAATATGGCCGCTAACTGGTCATATGAAAAAAAATGAACGGATGCAAGAACAGTTGGTTAAGGTGGGTACAACCGAAAGAGAAGTGGATTTTGATTTTGTAATTGTTTTCCAAAAACTAGACATGACACAAAAACGATAGAGAAACAAGGCATCGTTTTGCAACAAATGAAACTGACATCATAGCCACAAAAACAATGAAGTTAATTAAAAAGTTGAATTAATTTAAAAAATCAATTCGAACTTGTACAGTGACAAAGGCTTACGACAAGAATTGAAAACCGGTTCAGGAAAACAACAATGATGACACTATGAATACTAGAATAGAAAAACTGAAAATGGCAAGACGGTCTCATCACATGCAGATATTATCAGTTGCATTGGGAGTTTGCATCCTTTTGTATCTCTATATTTTCTCGACGATACGGACGGTTAATGTTAGCGTCTACTATAAACAAAACCAGCCGCCATATCTTGGAGTACCCTATCATAAGAAACACTTAGTATACGATTACGAAGAATATGATGAAAAAATAAAGGAATATAAGACTTTGAATACGAATGAATCTGTGAAAATATCAAACTTTCATTTCTCAAATTTGAAGTCTGTCATGCCAGATAACCCTCTGTATAAAGAGGAAAGGAGGTCGTTATGGCCAGTTGATCAAATGCAAGGTAGTTTGGACATCAAAAAGTCCCCTGTGATAAATATTCTGGCATGGACAGTACACCACGGATCACCAGAACATCAAGGGATGGCCCCCTTCCACAAGTGTCCAATATTTCGCAATTGCAACATCACAAATGACAAATCTCTACTGGACAATACAGAATATCTGCTCTTTCATGTTTCTAATATAAATTCCGAAATTCTTCCACCACATCAGAAACCAAATCAAAAATGGATCATGCATACCAAAGAACCCCCTACTAGATGGTACTTCAAGAAAGTCTTGCTTGTGAAGGATCACATTAACTTTACCATGTCATATTGGGCTGGAAGCGACATATTTGTGCCGTACGGCTGGGTGATACACAACGAAACCAAGCACCTAGACCCGAGCCACCAGATCCCCAAGAGTATATTTGAAACAAGGACTGGTGTTGTTGCTTGGTTGGTGAGCCACTGTGACACACCCAGTGAGAGGGAAGATTATGTGGCTGAATTGGCAAAATACATACAGGTATAGTTTGATGATAATATATCCGGACTCTCACAGAGTTTTTTAAAAGAAACTCTTTGACTATCCCAGAACCTTTCATTTCGTTGCCAATAGTAACCATTACCTAGACCAGAGTCTGAATTTTCGATAAAACATGCTAATTGTTCGAATTTTAACTGAGCCAAAATCTGATAAAATGTGATAATCGTTAAAATGAAAGTCATTTTAGGGAAGCAATACAATATTTTACTAAGGCAAAGGCAATAGTTGGGCAACTTTTATAGCATAGGCCTACATTTTAGCATATTTTGTAAGCATAACATTTATGTTGTTTGGAAACCCAAACGGCCCAGATGAGCGATTGGACGAAAAAAGAAAATAATATCATTACAATTTCAGGTTGACATCTATGGAAGGTGCGGTAAGCCTTGTCCAAGCGAGGGAGACTGTCTCAAGATGATAGGTATTGATTAAAATATTTTAATATATCTCAGCAGAACATTCTGCTATATAGACCACAACTTGCAAAATTCACTGAAAATAAAATTGCATGCAAAAGTCGAATGAATATAATAATCTTGAAGGAAGTAATGTGTTGCTAAAACGTGTACCTTGCGCGTTTATCAGTTTAATGCGTCACCTTATTTTGGTTCATAGTGGCCCCTCTAAATCGATTTTTTTCAATAAAGTAGTCTAGCCCACCATTTTTGCAGTATAATAATACAAATTACAAAAATTAACGAAACAGAAACATCATTGTAAAAAGTATATTTTCCCATCATATGGCATATGTTCTTAATTTCAGGTGAAAAATATAAGTTCTACATTGCATTTGAGAATGCGGACTGTCAAGATTACATTACAGAAAAAGTTTGGCGGAACGCTTTCAAATATAAAATGGTCCCTCTAGTGAGAGGAATCCAAACTTCATTTTCCAAACAACTCCCGCCAAAATCCTTCATCCATGTTGATGACTTTTCAACAATCAAAGATCTGGCGGCTCACCTTCAGTTTCTGAACACAAATCAAAACGAGTACCTTGAATATTTAGAATGGACGAAGCATTATGATATAAAAACGTATAACAAGGGTAACTTTTTCTGTAATATTTGTCGGATGTGCAATTATTATGAAGGCAAGACTCACACAACAAATCTAGAGTATTGGACAAAAGTGAACAGCCATTGTACGTTGAGCGAGGGATACTATGAATCTCTAAAAGGACAAAATAGAACAGCGGAAGAAATGACATACGATGAATGAGATATTAGTATTTTAAAATTATGAAATGTCCCATGAAGTCCAATGTGACCTAACTCTTATTTCCGGTCACGAGGTTTCAATACGAGCTCATCTTATCTTCACTGAGGCACAGAGCCCAATGTACGTTAGTATAGACAAAGTTCTCTTTTAAATAAGGAAAATCAAACTCATGGAAAAGGTACATTTATCCCATAATAGGAGAAAGTCTATGTTAAGTGGCCAAACTCCCCAACCACAAAACGATTTCTCATCTAGGCCTATCGTGTTTCACACGCTGGTGATCAATAACAAGACTTCGTTCGGAGCATCACATGGTACTTTAATGAATAAAGTTACAAAGTGAACGCATTTAAAGGAGTAGTATGTCCGAATATCTTCTCTGTCCATATTGCTTAAACAGACCGTGGACGACAGATTTCACTTAATGTCTTCTACATAATTTTGGTTATAAATAGTTTTAAAATGATATAAAGAAACCTGCTATGGGCTGCCATTTTGAATTTATGATTTCAATATGGCTGTTACAATAACTCAATTTAACATTGCAAGTTTGAAATTGATATATTTGAATCAATCCCTCTGGAACCTCTACAATATTAATATAACATCATTAACTCAAGTGACATTCTACTTCTGAATGTGGATGTTTTCATAAGTATGGTATCAGCAATTTTCTCCAATAAATGTAATTTTTAAAGTAAACTGTTTTTGTGTCCATTTTGATTTCAAACTAGGCCAATATGATGATTCTCATAAATCAAGAATCAAAGGTCTTGATTTCGCATTTAAGTACATGTGAGTCAAGTAATGTGCAAAAGTTAACAGCATAAAAAGATATTTGGCATAGCTTTCCTTTAAGTCCATCAAGTGTAAACTAGAATATATAAAATGAATGCAGCAGGCGCAGGCACTAAATAAGTAAAATGGGCCATGTTTTAAATTTTAATATATACCCTTTTACCTTTTATACTCAAGAGGAAATTAGTAAATACTACCCTGCAATCCTCTGAATAAGACGATGTATGTAATTTTCATAGCTACTGGTAAGATCTTAATTACACCGAAAAAAAACTATTTTGGTCTTTCATTTACTTATGAAGTACCCTTTGCATTCGTCTGACTTCACTTCTTAAAAGAGAGCTTCGTCTAGTTTAACTAATCTCTGCACGCAGGGTATGAAGGTAGAGCGTTCTGTGACTGTAATCCTGATTGTTAAGACTAGATCAATGGTTTTCCTCTCATTCAAAAAGTTTTAAATGAAGCAAAATCAGACTACCGATAAGGGTATATATAACCTCATTGTTATCAATCTAATTATTTTGCCAATACTATGTAAATACAAGACAAAGTTGATAGTTACCTTTATTACACCATACAGATTATAATAAACACATTGCCAATACCCCATTTATGCGCAACAATAGCTTATAAATTTTCCAATAAAACATTGTGTATTGTATTAATGTTATAATTTGCCTATTGTTATGCCGCGTGATAAGTGAATTAAGTGTTTTCATTTGTCAAAACAGTGGTAAGGAATAAAAACAGAATTACATAGGTCAAGGTCAAGGCCACAAATGTGTGGTATTTAAATCAGGTGAGCTCATTAAGATTGCCCCAAAATATATCATAATGGGAGTTTGTAAAATAGTAAATTATGATGAACCTTACCCAGCTGGAAATCAGTTACCATTCAGTGGAGAATTAATGGAATTTGAAAGAATAGAGAAAATTAGAAATGTCTGAGAACAAATTCTCACTACTCTACGTAGAACAGTGACATTACATTATTAAGCAGATCAATATTTAAAATAGCAACCATTGTGCATCTGTTACTGAGAGACACTCGTCAACAATAGCCAATCAGAGACAGGAGAGATGGTAGATGAAAGTACATAAAGAGAATGCAATCACTTTGTAATTGCTATTGAATCATACAATGGCATTATCCATTAGTGACATTACACATTTTCAATAATTATATTCATACATGGATATGTTGCCTGGGTCTACCTGTCATTAATCTGAGGCTTAAATTATAGGAATGCTTATGAATAAACTTTCATTCATTAACTTCTGTGTGCTTATTAATAATTTACAAAAGTAACTATATCGTGCATTAATCAAACACTCAACAAAGCCCAGGGATCTGAAAAGTACCAATAGAAAGGTGTGATGGGTCGGAGGTTATTTGTCTGAAAATGCCAATCTTGACCATAAGGGTCAATGTTCATGTGACAAAACAAAAATGTTATATCTAACACAATAAAGGTCACTCAAAGGGTCAAATCTCAGTGCATGGGTAGACTGGTAGATGATAAATTTTAGAAATTATAAAGGATAACTTATAACCTAAACCCATCAAAGTATTTTCATTTATGCTTTGCTAGACATGCGCCGTTATCAACATCTTTTTTCAACTTAGTCACAATGACATTTATCATAGTTTGTTAATACTGTCTATAAAGTGCTAGCTGCAATAAATGTCAATGTTATTGTGAATGAAGATTATTCTAAGCCTTGTATTAATATGTAGCATCTAATAAATCCAACCATCAAGCAGCGACAGAAAGGAGCTATAAAGTAAGAACATTTCACTCAGCTGAAGGTTCTTATAATTTACGTCCTCTTTTGCATAATCACAGAAATAGTAAAAGGATGCGATGAATAATATACACATAATAAACAATGTAACACTTCGATATCATAGTGATGTTGGTTCATTCTATGGGAATGTAATATGATTCTATATTTGAATGAACTGAACTCCAATTGAACATGTTTTACTCAATTCTTATTCTTATTTACCTTTCAAGTAAATTGTACCTTTTGTTGGAAAATCCAAATGACACATATAGTTTCTTCATACTGAAATAACTAAATTCATATAACTTATACTTTAAATTTGTAAAGGTAAGTCAACCCTAGTGTCACACAATTAGTTTCCCTTTAAATGTATGCAGCACACTTTCATTAATAAGGGGCTCTAATTTTTCAGAACGGTTACAAATTGCTAACAAGGCATTAACATGACAAAATGTCACCACCAGATTTGTATTTCTGAGAACTTGTAGATGATTTTGAAAAAAATTGGTCAATTTGAAGCAAGATGAAAAAAGTCCCTTTTAACCTTGAGAATGTCTTTGAAGGTCAAATCTTTTTTGACCTTGAGAATGTCACTGAAGGTCAAATCTATAGTCAGATTTGAACTGTTGAGAACTCGTAGATGATTTTGAAAAAAAATTGGTCAATTTGGAGCAAGTTGAAAAGACCTTTTTGACCTTGAGAAGGTCATTGCAGAAGGTAAAATCTCAAATTTAAAGTCAGATTTGAACTTCTGATAACTTGTAGATGATTTGAAAAGAAATTGGTCAATTTGAAGCAAGATGAAAAATGACCTTTTTGACCTTGACCTTTGTCATTGAAGATCAAATTCTTTTTGACCTTGAGAATGTCATTGAAGGTCAAATCTTTAGTCAAATTTGAACTGTTGATAATTTGCAGATGATTTTGAAAAATAAATTGGTCAATTTGAAGCAAGTTGAAAAAATACCTTTTTGACCTTGAGAAGGTCATTGAAGGTCAAATCTTAAATCTAAGGTCAGATTTGAAATTGTGATAACTTGTAGATGATTTTAGAAAAAATTGGTCAATTTGAAGCAAGATGAAAAAAGACCTTTTGACCTTTTTTACCTTGAAAAGGTCATTGAAGGTCAAATCTTGAATATAAAGTCAGATTTGAACTTCTAAAAACATGTGGATGATTTTGGAAAAAATTTAAGTCAGTCTAAACAGTATTTGTTCAGTTATTGGAAGTTGTAAGAATTTGTAACAGACCCCGATCGCCAACCACTAACCGCCAACCACAGACAAAAAAAAACCGGAGACCATAACAATATGTCATCACTCTTTGGTGGTGACATAAGAATCCTGCCAATTTGCCAAAAATCCCACTCTGATTTTAAAATGTCAAAGACCAAATACAAAAACACTAAAAGTTATTTCAAAAGTACATTGTGGTACATATATATTTTAATTATTTCATATTTCTCTCAAACTGCATCAAATCAATGCAATAGAATCAGGAATAAAGTGTAGATTTACATAGTGTGATTGCACAGTTTATAGAAATCTATTATGCAATCTTTATATCGATCATGCATGATCAAACATCATTCATCATATGTCAATTGTGTAACAGTCATTAAAGGTTACCTTATTGTATTATAGAATCACCACTTTTCAATGGTTACATACATAGCTTGAAAGTCTTTGGATCAAGATTATAAATTGTAGTCCAGCTATTTTAAATCCATTTCCTGTATTGAGTTATTCTAAGTTGTCCGGCTAATTCAAATTCTTTCATCATTGAATAACTCAATTCCTGTAAATTGCTATTTCAAGTTTGTTTCATCAGTTTTTTCGGGTCGTATATGTATCTCTTAAAAGCTAGGGAAAGTGTTATAGTCACTTGGGGTTCCTCTGTGGCAGTTGATGCTTCTGTTGACTCTTTATTCTTACTTTTTCCCTTGGCCTTTTTCTTACTTGTTAGGGCTTCCTTTGTACTAGCCTCAACTCCATCTAAAATACATCAGTCTTGCAACATTAAAATATTCAGAAATAAAGGTATTTACGGGAATATTATTCTCACTGGACACATTTTATATCATCTTTACATGGAAGGATACTGTATTTAGGTGTGAAATCTGAACAAATAAAAGAGCTGAAAATTTTAAATAAATGGCTCTCACATCAAAAGATTTACCTTTTACCATGAAAATAGGTTTTGACGAAATTAAAAAATGAGATGACAGGATTCTAAATTATATATGAACTATCTAAAAAAGTTATCCCAAAAGGTAAATGTTTGTGTTCTAAGTCAAAGGAAAACCATATCTCTGCCATGGCAAAATGCAATAACCTTTTGATGTGAGCGCTACCTTTTGACAATGTTAGGTTTTAAAAGAACAAAGTCATTTTGGCAGAAAAATATGGTCTAAATAGACCACCATAACATGTAGTTTACCACAGACTATAAAATTTAAAGTAAATCGAAATGTAATTATATCCCATTTATTCTTAATAGATAACATTCAATAAAAAATAGGTCATACTGATAATTACTCATCTCAAACATTAAATTTGCCATTGTACAAAATAGTGAGTGTTGGTTTCACATGTGTTAGTTGAAATTGTTCACTAATTTTTTTCATTTTTTTCCTTGTGTTACCCCTTATGTTTTACAACTTAACATATACTAAGAAAACAACAGGAATGGTTGCAGAAGTCTCCCCAGCATAAATGAGTAATGTGCCAACCTATCAGATTTGAGAATAGGATTGTGACATGTTTTGGCCAATTTGTTCAGATTTGAGAAAAAAAAGAAATTTGCAAATGCTTGAAAACAATTTTAGGGACAAGGCTGCTTTGAGTTGGAAATAATGCATGCTTCAAGGGAGATACAGTAAGATAAGTTCTTTCCTTTTTTTCATAATGAATTCCACTCTCAAAATGTCAATGATTCAACTGATCAACACTAATTCATTCAATAAATATATCAAACAGAACATCTGTTTTTCAATTGCTTACTTGGTATTCTGACTTTGAATTTGCCACTCTGTCCAAATCCTCCTTCAATGGTTCCTGACTCCCCAGTTGATAGCGTCACCTTCAGCCCAACGAACAACTCAATATTGCTTTCCTTTTTAAACAAGCCACGACATATCACAGAATAATCATCAGCAAGTCTTTCCACAATGCCTTCCTTTAATTTATTTTTGTAAACTTTTAACTTAGGAAGAATAGTTTCAGGATATTTTGGATCAGTGATGGCCTCCAGAAGTTGACCATGGAATGCCAAGCGACAGGTATTCGAGTGAATGTCTGTGTCTAAACGGGAGCCAATCACAAGGCAGTTTCTTGAGCAGATAACAGGTTTTTCAAGTTCGATTAAGGCGTATTGGCAACTAGGTATCAGAGAACTCTCTTCAGTGCTTCCTTCATTTGACTTTTTATCACCCTTTCCATGAAGTTCATCCATATACAGATACTCCTTTGTATAATCTATGGCTTTAACTGAACCTGATGTATCAAAAATATTTTCTGTATTATTACCGATTGGTGTCTCACCAAAGAAAGATACTCTTCCCATTACAGTTTCATGTCCCATGGTGATATGAAATTTTGCCTTGGTTGAAATGGTCCCTTTAAAGTAGGGAATTTTCTCTACTGAAACAATTGCTGCAATGATTGTTGGTAGAACCCCCTGGGTACAAACAAGGCCTCTTTCCAGCAGCTTAGGATCAAACTGGGTGACACAAACACCTGCTCTATCACCCTGGAAACATAGAGAAAATAACTCTTTTATGGCATTGTAATCTAATGAGTTGACGATTCCATGTGAGCCGATGATATCAAATAAAACTCAAATAAAAATTCAATTTTTATCTTCCTTAACAAATTTTCCTGTATTTGACTAAAGTTACCTATACTAGTCCTTATAAATATTAAAGCAAAAGACACTGAGTAAATTTCTTGAATGGATTTTATCATGAACAAATCTCTGGTTTTCATAATTACCTGTTTAATCTTATCTATTGGTTGTTTAAACATCTGCATAGACTTGATCTTCTTAATTACTTTCATGGATGGGATTTCAACAGTCTAGAATTTGGAAAAAGCATCACATTAAGCTACATATATAACAGTGATCTGACATCCTCTGATCACAGGGCTTCAAAATCCAGAACATATTCTTTCTTTTTACCCCTGCAATAAGCAGTTACCATTTCCCCGATTAAGAACTCGCAATCTGATTGGCTGTCGCAACACTGCGACAGAAATCATGTATAAGTCATTGCGCATAATTAGATCACGTGATTCAGTTAAATCGGGCGCGTCCAAATTGATTATAGCAGGGGGAAGAAGGAGGTACGGATTCTGGACACCTGCTTAGGAGGATGGTGATCTGATCACCTAATGATTTTTCTCAACAGTATGCAAAATCCTATTTTTAGAAAATCCTATTATTTTACCATTTTGGCAAGCTGCATTAAGAATTTCAACATGGTGATATGTATTTTTCTGCAAACGTTTGAAACAAGTAATGAAAAACTATACAATATAAAAATAAGTCTTTTAATCTTTATTCCTCATGATTATGAAAATGATAAATACATTTATTCAATAATATTTATTATTGCACTGTATATTTGCACTAACTCACATCATTGACAGCAATGCTCCCATGCAGAACAGTCCCAGTCATAACTGTCCCCTGGCCTCTAATGGAGAAACAATGGTCGACAGCAAATATAAAGTCCCCCTCAGGGCTACGTTGAGGCAGATATGTGTTCAGCTTCAGTGTGTCTATGAGTTCTTGAACTCCCATACCTTCAGTGTCTGTTCCCTGGAAAAGATCATGAACTCCATTTGTTGACCTGTGCTGTGTGAAATTCAAATATGTTTATAAAGTCTCTTAAGCATAATTATTAAAATGAAATACATTTGTACTGGACTTTTTTAAAGCTGTGGAAAATTAATGTTTCAGTGTTTGTGAAGTATTTTCCATAACTATGCAGTAATGTTTGAAAGATATCATAAGTAATATGGAATAGATGCTATTAATAAAAATTTGACATCTCTAAAGATAACATTTAATAACTCAAAAGCTTTTAAAGTATTGATTAAATCAAATAATTAAAGTTAAGTTATTTTAAAGGCAAGACAACTGTTCTGAAGATAATTGATAAAAGCTATTTCAGGAACTGTAACTTGCATATGTGCATGTACATTTACACTGTACATGTACTTATACAGTACAGGGTGGGCCAATAAAAATTGGAACATTTTTCTATTTATTCAATTTTCTTTATTATTGCAGTGAAGTCCACAAATATTCAGATAATGGTAAAATGATTATTTGTGAAAATGTTAAGATAAAAATGTGTATGTATGATTATTTTTGGCTAGTATTGGTCATGATCTGTATACTGCGTGCGTCATGAAAAATTTCCAAATTTTCTCTGCTTGAGACATCATTTCTGAAAAAACAGTATCTCATACCATACAATATATGCCCTTCAAATGGTCTCAACACAATCTACATCAATTAAAACATATGTAGTTATCTCTAAGAGAAGCTAGACATGTCTCCCTTGGATAATATAGGTTAACTGGCCTCAGTTTTTTTCAAAACTGGCACAATATGGCTCAAAACCTGTCATTCAACCCATGCATAACTGTCAAATACAGCCCAGACTGATTGTTCAGGTGAGTGGGGGACATGTTCAGTAATTAAACATTGAGCTTGTTTATTGTATTGTATTGTATATTTATTTACCTCTAATTAATAACAAACAAATATAATTTAAAACATGTTGAATAAGTGAATAAATGAAATAAGAAATCTATAGTTAATAGACACCGCTATAGTAGAGATCAAGACCATCTTCCCATCTTATTCATATTTACACAACCTGTTGACAATGAACTGTTTTTAAATTTCTCAAAGTATTGAAGATAATACAAGACAAACCAAAGAAAAATCAATGGAAAAATGTTCCAGTTTTTTTACTCAACGCAAGGGTTTCCTGAACATGTCCTCCGCCCACCTGAACAATCAGTCTGGGCTGTATTTGACAGTCATACATGGCTTAATTGACAGGTCTTGAGAAAACTACACATGTTTTAATTGATTGAAATTGTGTTGAGACCATTTGAAGGGTACATATTGTATGGTATGAACAATACTGTGTTTTCAGCAGTGATGTCTCAAGCAGAGAAATTTCATGACACACGCAGTATACAGATCATGACGATGACAAGCCAAAAATAATCATACATACATATTTTAAACATTTTCACAAATAATCATTTTACCATTATCTGAATTTTTGTGGATTGAACTGCAAAAATAAAGAAAATTGAATAGAAAAATGTTCCAATTTTTATTGGCCCACCCTGTACATGTACCACAGCATATTTGGTACAGCTTGATTTGTAGTCATATATCATATATACCTCAGGTCCACCAGGCTTGGCTGCCACAGGGACAATTGGGCATCCTGCAAATTTTGTATTCTTCAATGTCATTGTCATCTTTTTCTTCATCTACAAAACCAAATTTTCATTGTCAAATCTACACCAAAATGACTTCATACCCAATACCATGTAATTCCATATGGGTGTCAAAGATAATAAACACACAAGAAATTCACATTTATAATAAAGTTGAAGTTTTTGCCTCAAGTGTTCATGAGATATAATGACTGAATAGTGAATGTTTTCTCAGAATGTTTTTCAACTTGATGCAAAAATTCCATCAGAAATAGAAATAGTATCTACAATTTTTTAACTTAAATGTAGCTTTCATGTCATCATCTTTCAAATGCAGCTCTCATGACACTATAATGGAACTCTAATGTGATATAAATGCAAGCAACTTATAGGCAGAAAAGAACGTGTTTTGAATTGCCAATTGGAGTCAGATAACATGTCAGGTATACAAGAAAGTTCCCTTAAACTTGAATATTCATCTGTTCATTTGAATCAATTTTCATAATACCCTTACATGATTATCTGATAGTTGCACAAATGAAAATATGCCAGAAACACAAAACAATATCAGTCCAATAAAATTAAAGATATTTCATTTTTTGTAATTTTATAACATGGGGTCTATGGGGGATCTCCCTGGGCTTTAGTCACACTTTCTAAGAAATTAATATTCAAAATAACAAACAATTTTTAACCACATTTCTAGATGTAATTTTACATGTAGATTTCAAAATATAATATCACTTTGACTGAATTTTGAAAATTAAGTGATTTAGTGAGATTATTTCTACTCACATCTAGTCTATTGGATTTAAACTAGATCAGCTGAATTATCTCTCATACAAGTATGTAGTGTAGACAAAGTTGACCATAAGCAAAGGGCAATACCTTTTCTACTGTTGCCTCTCTCTTTGCCTCTGGAATCAAGTCCACTTTATTGAGGACGACAATCATTTTATTGCATGCTATCTGACCAATGACAAGACATTCTGCTGTTTGAGTTTGCATCCCCTTGACAATGTCCACCACAAGAATCATAAGATCTATGATCTGTGCACCTGGAAATCAATACATAATCAAAATTAAATAAATACTTTAGTGATATTTAATTTGACGAATTTATGGTTAATATGCATTTAAGAATAGAATGTAAGTTTTCCATCCAGGATGAAATCAAACCTGGAGGGTAACATAGAATAAACCCTAAGGATAATGTTGGTTAAACCTTTAATAGATAATATAACATGTCGGATTAATCCTGAAGGACTGGGATTTATCTAGTGGATACCAGGGAATTACATCGAGGAATTTTACAAGAAGATCATGGTGGGCATTGCACATCATTAAGGAAGACAAAATGTGTAGCCAACTTGTGTGGGACACAATAAGACAACCTCGATAATATTATAGGAGGATATCATGGGATAAACCCTGAAGGTGTCATGATATGACTACATAAATTGCAAGTCAATGATGTCAAAGAAGAATCACAGGTAGGATTCATGGGATAACCTCTGATGGACATTTTTTGAAAGTACATGTATGTTTTTATAGACATCCTGCAGCTGGGTCAATAAGTATATTGAATCGTATACCACAGACACCAGAAGAGATAGTACAGTTGTCTAAAAAGAAAATGCCCCCCCCCCCACTCTGTGTACCAATGAAAAGTCTGGGGACAATCACAATGACCTGCAGGAATCCCTCTATATAAAAAATTATCATAAATATATATTATATAGAGTATAGTAAATGTTTTATACAAACATCATACACATATCATAAGTGATGAGCATAGCAGGGTGGCGATTGGTGCGCCCCCCCATGACTTATAAATTAATAAAGCAACAATCGCACCCTCCATTTGGATTTGCTTATGCGTCGATCGCACCCCTGCACCGCCCCCCCTGCCTGAAAGCTGACTACACCCCTGCATATGATATCTGCAGGCCTGTCGACTTGGGAACACCTAAAATAAGTGACTCACAAATGTTGGTCCAAATCTGAACACCTTGGTCCAAATTTGAAGCAAATGCATGACAAATACGCAATATGGGTGAAAATCCTGAACAAATTGTTGTGGGACAGTTGACAGGCCTTTATCTGTGACCACAGGAACGAGAGTTCATCCCCTCCCCCCTCTCACTACGTACCTATGTACAGTGAGGGGGTTGAACTGTTGTTCCTGGGCCTGTAACAGTGTCACATGATCTACCTCCTATAATTGTCCTTATCAGTCCTGCATGTCCTGGGCAGTCAACTAATGTGTACTGTAACTGTTCATGACCTCCCCCTTGTAAATGTTCTGGAATTTCTACAGTGAAACTTGAGAAACCCAAATCAAGTGTTATTCCTCGTTCTTTACTCTGTGGATTTTTGTCAAAACTTGCTGTACTAGCTACTGTGCTCAGCGCCTTGGATAGACTTGTTTTACCACTATCCACATGCCCTAAAACACCAATATTGAAATTCAAAATATTTTTAGCCATGTTGCAATACATGATGACCCACTTAGCGAGTGCGCATGCGCCAGTTCTACTTCCTGAGAGTAAAGTGAGATTTTGCTGAATTTCTCGTTATTATTTAGAATATCACCGTTAATATAAATACTTGATTGTGCATAGTTTGCTATAAGTAAGAATCGATTATAAATAAACATTTTATTGTATATATTCATGTCTCTGTCGTTCTGGAAAGGAAATAGATCGAATTATACGCTGATTATACGTCGAAATTTCACCTAATATCGCCCATATATATTCACATTTTCAGCTTCATACTTGATACTGTCTATGTTTGTGATGACTAAACACGGGTTTCTCTTAAAATTATGAGTTATATAGGTGTCTGACATTCCCTAAGAATTAAAGTAGCCTGAAAGTTTATTTTTATTGCAGTTCAACACCGTCAGAAAAACAGAATCATGCCCAAGTACAAACCAACAAGGGCAAAGAAGTACTCAGACCCGAAGACATAACCTCATTTGATCCTTTGGTCTAGGTTACTCTAGACCTTACCCAGTAGGTCAGTAGTCCCTAACAACAACATGGTCAGGATGTCTGTCTTATACAAACATTGCTAATGTGCACTACCGAAAATAAAGTCCCTCAGTAGGTCTAGGCTCTAATAGAATGGGACTGACCCCGGAGGGTTCACTTTAAATAATTTTGGAAGGTATGTGCAGCACGGCCAATTTTGGCTTTGGGCATCAACCATGGAAATTGGCGAATCTGAGAAAAATGGAAAAATTGTCTAAGACTCTACGAGAGTACCTTTTTGAGGTCAAAAATCAGTTCTTCTACAAAAAATGGTACTAAATTGGCTAAATCAGTTGCTGAGGGTCGGGACAAATCAGCCGAAAAGTGAATTTTTAGTCAATTTACCAGTATTTCTGAAAATTTAGTCCCAGCAAACTCCAGAGGAATTTGACATGGACATCTATGAAGTTGAGAGGAATAAAATGGACTTTTATAAGTCTGAGAGGAATTTAACATTGAAAGTTTCAAACTTGAGAAAAAATTAACATCGAAAAAATGCTTAAAATATTGAAGTGAACTTCCTAGGGACTTACCTTATCGATATTTTACAACCAATAATGGTTGTACATGTAAGTACAGTACACATAACAGTGATCTCCAAAGGATTTTTTCACATGAGGGTGCAAAATTCTCATTTTCACAATTAAGACCAAAATTGGTCAAAATGTGCCCATTTTATGATTTTTGTCATTTTCATGATTTTTGTCATTTTCAAGTGGGTGCAAATGGATTTCCAGGTGGGTGCAAGCCTATTTTCAAAGTCTCAGGTGGGTGCTGTGCCCACTTCCTTTAATGCTGGGGAGATCACTGCATAAGTCTGTAAGTTGTACAGTATTGAATCAAAAAATACTTTTTGAGTTTTAAAAACACCCCACAGACTGAAATAACCTACCAAATATAAATTCTTGGGTATATTTTCACGGGGTGCCATCGAATAATTTTGGGGTCGTACCGGAGAATGACATTTTACTAGGAAATGGCAATAATTTAGCACAATATATTTTTTAACTAGAGTTCTACTTTGATTTTGACAAAAGTAAGTATTCCATGCAATGACTATTACATACATGAGTTTGTAGGAATTCTGTTGGAGCCCAGTTCTGATCAAGTACGAAGTTATTGAAATCAGCGCAGACAGACTTTACTCCGAAAGATGGTTTTTTGATTATAACTTTTTACAACATTTAAATATAGGCTTTTAAAAAATGTCCGACACAGTCCTTATACTGTTGAATACTCCTGTTAATTCTGATTCACACGTCTAGTCCTAATACTAGATAGTATAAGAGGCCACGCATTTCATTAGCCAAACCAAAAGCAATCCAAGATATACTGTTATTTAAAAGTGGATTTCCCCTTTTTGAGCTGAATGTACACTTCTTAATGCTGAAATTGATAGTTTGAGTTTATCCTTATATTTTAAGAAAATAGGTATGTCAAAGAAGATGTTAAGCCAAATGCTGCCTTGATAGCTCAGAAAAAGTTGAAATTTTCCTATTTTCTCTCTACAGGCCTTGTTGCCACTTTAATTTATCAAGTCATGAGTGTCATGCAAAAAATTAGCTTTCTTGAGTAGATTATTTTAATTAGCCTATTAATTTGGGAATTCATGTGAGAGCTTGAAATAAAACATAATGTCTTTTATAATATACAAATATCATTCAAAGTCATGTAGGCTTCACTTGCGGATCCAGAAGCCAACAGAGGGGGCACATTTCATGTCGGCAAAAAGATTTAAAACCAAAAATTACGGCCTTTTTTTTATAATTTGGCCCAAAAAAGTCAAGAAATGCTAAGTCATGTGCCCAAAAATTTTTGGGACCCTAACATTTTTTTCTAGGCCCACACTAAGGGGGGAGGGGGCATGGCCCCCCTTGGATCCCCCTGGATCCGCCAGTGCACTTACACCATGGCACTAAACATTCCTTGGACTGGGTTTGATTCTCAAACAACTTGATATTTGTAATACATTTCAATTATCTTGAATTTGATAATTACCCAGGCCAGGGTTACTGAACACTTCGAGGCGTACACTGATTTTAACTAAACCAAATTTAAATAAGGGTCAATTTGATATATTACATCAATATCTTTATTTTTCTATCTACAGTTAAGAAAACGCAGCAGTTTTTAAAGATTATGAGACCGATGCAGAGTTGTTGCAAGTAGCAGAAGATTGGTCAGTGGTCATCCAAGTACTACCCAACCATCCCCTATGGTGAGATAATTATTTTAAATACATATTTATTAGATTATATTTGTCTCAATGTATAACTTTTAAGTATAAAATTGAAGAATATTCTGAAAAAATATTTATTGAGAAATGCAAAGGGAAAAATTTAAATTCACAATTTTTATATGTTTGTATCTACTCAACTAATTTTGTATTATTTTATTTTTCAACTCTGGCACACCCAACCTGATTATGATTTCTGGCGATCCCACGCAACATGACAATGAGAAAGAATGATGGTGTATGATCCTGGCACACTCCACCCAACTTTGATTTCTGATGATGATGCATCAAGCTGGAAGTTTAGTGTACACCAACACACATATAATGCTACATCATGTACTTATCTTTGTTAGAAGGTCCCATGTCATTGTGAAACCGGAAAGTATTTTCAAGAAAAAGTCAAAAGTAATGTGATGTGATTATACAAATATCCTGCAAGTTGTGTAGGCTTACACCATGGAACTAATCATTCCTTGGATTGGGTTCAATTCCCAAATGACTTGATATAGTATTCACATTTCACTTTTATTTTGGCTTTTTATAGAAGCATATACATAGTTTCATCTAAAAAGTTTATTTTTTTATTTATTTATTTGCACACACTTTTACAGCAGTGGCACATGGGTCCTTAAGTCCCAGTGCGGCATATTACATATTAAAATTACATAGTATAATATTCAAATTATTTAAAGAACAGTTAAAGGGAGAATCAGATCTATTGGGAGAGACAAATTGCAAGCGACATGTACAGTTGACCTACCAATACATGTACATGTATATTCCTTCAGGCTCAAATTAAAATATGATACTATATCTCCCTAAAGATCCATGATACCTGTATGTTATGAACTGGTGAAATTATCAATTAGGATTCAGTGTGCCAAAATGGGGAAAATTGTTTAAATTCTCCCAAATAAAAATGGTAACCATAAAATTAAAATAGAATGTATTATTGTAAAAATCCTAAAGTTTTTCTCAAATAATACAGCTGAGCTACATGTACTTTGGGTATTTTAGAAAATAGCATGGGCTTTCAATAGAATATAGGCATGACAAGGAATGCTATGAGTCCAAAATATTTTGAAACTAAACAATTTTTGTAAAGAGTAACCATCTGGATTTTGCTAGATCTGCTTCTGCCTTTAAATGGTGCTGGAATAAAGTCCCAATGGTGCTTGATTGATGCTTGGCTGTGCTTGGCAGTGCTTGAATCACAGGGTAAGACTGGTAATTAATTGTTTTGATGTCCTTTTGGCTTAAATGAAATAAACCACTGGAAAACACCAGATATATTTATTAAATAAATTATTTATTTAATCATATGCACTCAATGACCCCAAGGGGTTTCCCAGGGAATTCCCTCCAAAGGTGTCAAACTAGCTCAGTACCAAGGCATCCAGGGCTACCAAATGTTGTATATTTAAGTGTCATTGGCTCAAATAATAGGTTTTTTAAAGACTATCTACATGATGACATGATAGGGATACTATGAGTTGATGAACCACTGCCAGTTGCCCGGGACCAGTTATCAATGTCAACGAAAAGTCGTACAAAACGTCTGCTCCAATGAGGGGGTATGTTCTCTTTTATTAATGGTGTAAATTTCACCAATTTAAGGGAAATGATACATAGGGATCTTATATCAATATTGAAATGTAAAATAAGCAACGAAACAGCATGGTTATGGCATATGAGAAGAATTTGTGGGACCTATTTTGAACAATTTTACACTGACTTCCTGTATGAGAGTAAACCGGAAGTTGATTTTACTCTCATGCGCAAGAAATGTGCGCAGGAAACTTAAGTGGGTCATCGTGTATTGACCTTTTGATTACTTCCGGTTTCACTTTCGTCTCGCCTTGATTGAAATGAATATTGCAAAGATAAGACATACTTTTGAGAAATATTTATATGCTTTTCAAATAGTAAATTGTATATTGAATTATAATTATGTCTAATAATTGGCCGTTTTGCCTGTTTGATTGAGATATAAGCATTTTAATTATTGGCGACGTAACTACCGCCAGTGATTGACAGTTCAAAATGGCGGAAGAACTGAAAATAAATTTTGAAGAATTTTATGGATGAAATGTCTCATTTTACAGTATAAGGTGAGTTATTCTTCACATATCGATTTTGCCTATTACAGATATACGTCTAATGCATATAATCCGTGCCATATTGTGTCTCTTATAATGAAGATAAGCATAGAAATAATCATTTTTATTCTTTGTTTTGAAAATAAATTATTTTTCCTGGACAAATTCCAGACATTTCCTCTATGAATGCAACATGGATCAATATCAAAGAATTTATTTCTTGACTTTATGATCACTTTATTGTTTGATTTCATAGCATATTTTATTTCTTTAGACTACATGACTGCAGCTGTAGATCTGTGTATTGATTTTCAGATTGCTAAGGCACAAGGTAAAGTCCATGTGATGAATTCTTCTGCAGTTTTGATCTTCCCCATCAAAAGTTTATGATATAAGGAAAATATTACCAAAACAACCATGCCAAGCACAATATTTAGTTTTGCTGAGGTGGATGTCATCAAACTTGTATCAGAATTCCTTCAAAACAGGGACTTGAACATTTCTATGTTATCACTTGAGCGTGAAACTGGGGTGATAAATGGAGTCTACTCAGATGATGTTTTGTTTCTCAGACAGTTAATTCTTGATGGACAGTGGGATGATGCTCTTGAGTTTATTCAGCCACTTGGCAAGGCAGACAGCTTCAACTTGAAGCTGTTTATGTACTTGATTCTGAAGCATAAATATCTAGAGTTACTATGTTTGAAAGAGGAGACAGGAAACCATGAGTTCACAGTTGACGAAGTTGTGACATGCTTGAATTCGCTAGAACAATATTGTCCTAATAAGGAAGATTACAGTAATTTATGCTTATTATTGACATTGCCAAAACTTTCTGAGCACCATGACTACCAAAATTGGAACCCTAGCAATGCAAGAGTACAATGTTTTAAGGATGTATATCCATTGGTTGAAATGTTATTGAATGACAGAAGAGCGGAACATGCAGTTGCAGTATCGAAAAATGACAGGCTGATTCAATTATTGATCAAAGGATTGTTATATGAATCTTGTGTTGAGTTCTGTCAAAATAAAGCAACAAGCTCGGATTCAGATTCCAGTAAACTACAAATGTCAACTATTTTGAATGGAACTGGATTTAGCGATGCTGACATGAGCTTGTTATCCTGGCTCCAGAGTATCCCGCATGATACATTTGGATGTCCATTTGAACAAAAAATGTTAAACATTGACATTAAACCACTAGAAAAACCTTCTCTTGACGCATCCTGGTCAGAGCAAATCTTGGTGACTCCCATAAAGCCAAAGATGTTTCCGCACAGTGCAGTTCCAACATCAAGACCACGCTCTGCAGAGTACATGTCTCGATCTATGATCCCACAATTTGAAGGTCTTGCCCAGGGTCTTTTACAAGGCAGGGCAGATATATTCAACAGATCATCACCAAGCAGCAATCCTCTTTCGCGATCCTATCATAACGCCAGCTTTCAGTTAAATCCTACTCACGCTCCACAGAAGCGTGACATAATGAGCACTTCTATTGACAAACTTTTCCAAACATCTGAGTATATAGATACTCAGTGTAATGTCTCGAGTGAATTTGAAAACACTCCTCCTAAGCCATATCCAAAGATGCCAACACAGTCTGTCACCCCACCCCAGAGTCCCAGATCAAAACCTTCAGAGAAGTATAACACATCCCCTGAAAAGGGTTATAACAATGGAAAATCGACACCAGTTCAAGCAAACACCCCACAATCTTCCATGAAGGAGAGCATGCATGATTCAAGTGCTGAGCTGTTCAAAGAATACCAGAAACAGAAGCTGAAACTCCAGGAACAGCTAGCGATGCAAGAGAAACAACGTTTGGAGATGCAGAAGCAACTTTTAGAGATGGAGATTCGAGAAAGAACCAGCATCGATGACACACAGTTGAATAACAGTGCAGAAATGTATACATCATACAATTCAAATATCAAACTTGACAACCAAGGTATGTTCCCATTAAGCTGCCTTAATTTTGATTTTTTTTGCATTAAAACCTTTATTTTCCTATCTCTGTGGGGGTTAACATGGTTAAAGGGTCGCAAAACTATTTTTGAGTCTGTGACCCTTTATTGTAAACTCTTCCTTAATAAAAGTGCTTACATGTAGTACATTTTTTGAAGAGATCGAGTTATATTTAATTTTTAAAATAAATTGCTACACTGTATTTTCAATCATTGATTTTCTCTTGTATTTATTGAGGGAATATCAACAACTGCTTGCTTGCTATTTAAAGATTATTTCAACTACATGTGCCACAATTATTTTCATATAGATATTGATAGATAAATTAGGCATCATCTACATTCAATTCTTCATGTAATCAGTTTTCCTGTGGGTGGAAGGTTTCGTTAACTTAAAAGTTTAAAACCTTTAAGAGTACCTTTTTGATTAAAAAAAATTCCAAAATGGCTGTTTAGTTGTAGCAAAGACAGGAAGATGGGTTAGGCGTGACATAGATTACTTGAAGAATTTAGTGTGAATGTTTTAAGACAACCTCAATTATTTTTTGAGATTAGCACTTGGTGTTTTGAACACATGACTGTATTATATGTATTGTTTTGTCTTCATTATTATCCCAACGAACGAAGTTCGTTAGGGATATAGTGAAGCCCTCCATCCGTCTGTCCGTCAGTGTTTCCATGGACTAAAACGTTAAACCCACCTATGCCCAGTCACAAGCCTGAGGAACCTGCTTTTATATCTAATGTGGATTTTTATCTTACCAATCATGACTTAAATATTAATATGGGTATTTCCTATAATTAATATATACTGGATTTTAACTTACCAAATATGACTTCAATATTAATATGGGTTTAAACCTATAATGTATTAAATACTGGATTTGATAAGTAAATAAAATCAATTATAATCTACCTATATGATGTAGATATCCAAATGTTGGTCTGAATTTATCTTTGTGGAAAGATATTGTATGCTTCAGTTGCTCTTTAACAAAACATGTGGGACAGTGTATCTATATATTACAAGATGTCCGTCAGTCAGTCAGTCTGTCCGTCTGTCCGTCTGTCCAGAAGATAACTCAAATACTAGTTGACAGATTTTCTTCATATTTAGTGGAAAGATGTATATTGGTGAATAGTTTTACGCAATAAAACGATTTTTCAAGATGGCCGCCGCTTTAAAAATAACGGGACTTTTTCGCAAAAATCATAAATTTTTCATTCTCAACCAAAGTAATTAATATTATTGTTTGAAATTTTGGTAGTATATTCACAACATTTATCTATTTCACATATATTCCGTGTTTTTCATCCTGACCCCCAGGGGCCATGTATGGGGGGTCAGGAAAACAAAAATTTTCGCTAATTTTTAGATCTTTCTGAAGTATAGCTTTATTATACTCAAATGAAAGGCAATTAAGAGTAAATCGCAAATATTGTATCTTTTTTCTGATTCGAGCCTCGTAAAATCCAAAATGGCCGTCTAATGTACGATTTCGCAATAATTTTTCGATCCCTTCAAAGTATGGCTATATTATACTCAAATTGAAAGAATTTTGGAGTAAATCACAATTATGGTATTATTTTTCAGATTTGTACCTCAGAAAATTCAAAATGGCTGCTTTGCAGGAACTCGCAATTCTAAAATCTAATTTTTTCATTTTCAACCAAAGTAATGAGTATAATTGATTGGAATTCGGTAATTGATATTTTGTTCGTTGGGATTTGCTACTCCGAGGAGTTGCCGTTATCTAGTTGTCCATGTAAACTGTATGTTGTGTGTCATATTTTGCTTGTTTGTTGATGTTTACATAGAAATGCATGCTTTGCACTTGAATATTTATGATTTTAGCCCAGACACACGCATCTCCAACATCAATGCTTGAACATTTAGAAAAAGGAGACTATTTCCAAGACACCCTCGATAAAAACTCCCCCGTCCTAAATCCTACAGTGCCAACACAATCAAAACACCTTGATCTCACATTCAGTCCTGCCAATCTACCCATCCATGGGGTCAAGAAGCATTCTGAGAAACACTCAGCTTTTGCATCCCCCGTCCCTGGTTCTGACCCCCAAGAAAAATTCTCTGATTCACCAAACGCCATAAAAAACCTTCAGAAATCATTTGAAGATGTGGAGCATGAAACGGAAAATACTCAAGAAGTTGAACTGTGTTTAAAAGATCTCAGTTCTGATTTAAACAGAGGTTTGTGCTTATTTTTATGTTTTTCCTGTTATCACACACACTTATCTACAGTATTTTTACTAAGTAACATGTTCTATATTTTCCTCAAAGTTTTTCTACATCTATTAGATACTTTTTACATTCACAATCAACTCTGCCAAATGTTTAGGTGCTTGCTGAAATAACTATACATTCTTATTAGTAAATCATAAAATCTCAAAAATTGAACCATTCATACATCCTTGAAGATTTCGATTTTGAAAGGATTGGTATCGATATGGTGAACTGAATTCAACAATGTTTTTCTCTAAAACCAATTATTGAAAACGCTCTTTAAAAAACACGGTCCTTTATGTAATGTTTACTGATTGACAACAATTGAATGTGGAATTGATTTATGCCGATTTTATATCACTGTTTTTGTTAACATTTTTTGTTTTTTAGTGCAATTGTTTTTTGTTCCTTTCTACCAATTCTTGAGAATGAAATAAAATATCTTTCCAAACCTTGTTGGAACAAAATAGCATATACAACATTTTTAAGACCTCTCAATATTGAAGTTATACAAGGGACATTTTGGTTGATTTAACAAAAAGTATTCAAAAAATTTAAAAAAAAAAATAGATAAAAATTAAGATAAACCTTTTACTTCATTAAAAACACGTTGTGTTTATGTCATTTTTTACCAATGAGGTTCGGATAGATGTTACATTTCATTCCGAACATATGATACCAAGAACAAAAGAAATGTATGTTATGTTTTCTAAAACGATATAGAGAAAAAAAATTTTCAAATTACATTGTTACCATTCAAAAGATGACCATTAAATTGACGATGTGTAAAAATTTCAGAATTTTTTGATGATGGGTTTAAGAGAAACATGTGTTCAATAAGTTCACCATATTGAGTAGGAGTAGTTAATAGTTGTGTTTGTATGCACTCTAGATTGTATTGAATTTATTGTAATTATATGCACTCTGTTAATCTGTCTATCTGTTCCCTTTAAGGCAGGCCAAGTAAAATAATTCATTTAAAAGTAAATGCATTTGGCCTTCCTTAATCTGCTTCTGTGTTTGAGATTCTTTCTCAACTGTTAGCGTTTAAATCAGTGATATTTTATTTATTTTCCGTCCATGTGCAGCTAGTAAAGTAAAATCGGGCATTACTATGAAGCCTGTAGGAGCGAGTCCTAAAGTGATGCCTCGCAGAAATCCTCTGTCTCTGACAGGTTAGATGTCAACATATCTGCATGCATAATCCCAATATATACAGTACATGATGTTTCATGATGACCCCCCCCCCCCCATTAATTATTACCAATCCTTATATATATGTTATATATCATATGAAAGCTCTTTCAATTTTGGACTTATTGAAACAACTTTAACTAAATTAAGTAGCTTTTACTTCTTGTAACGGAAAGAGAAGCATTTTCAATTATGGGATACATCAGAGTTTATCCCTCGGGATATATGGGTATCTCCCCCAGTCTCTGCATTTCATCGGGGGATCACAAATATTTTTCATTGTGATAAATCCTTTATCCCGAACCCCAAACTTTTATAACTATATCCCTTATGCATCTTCTTTTTCAAAATTAATTATGATAAAAAAATTCTTCTCGCACATTATTGCCTTTGGATCACATATGATTGAACAGGAATACTTTAATATCTGGTCATTATTTGAGTTATGAAAATACAATGTATATTGTATTAAACCTCTCTACTCTCTTGGTTATCTTTAAATGTTATTCTTTACCAAGAGGTCAATTTTCAAATTTAGAAATTGTAAAGCATTTAAATGTAGCACTGTTAGCACAGATTTCACCCTGTGTTTTTTTATGAACAAACACTCAATTGTTCTGTATACTTTGATGCCTTTTACGAAGGTCGTCATCCAAAATGGATATTCATAAATCTGGTTTACTTCCAGCAACGCCAGTGAAGAGTGAGGTAGAGAATAGCAGTCTACATATGTCACACCTGGACAACACTAACATACCTGAAGCATCCTCACCAAGGGTCACAACTCCAAGGAAGGTATGTGTATCTTCAATTTTTAGAATTTCGCTCCCTCCCCCTCTTGCTATCTCTTGTACCTAATATCAATGTGGTAACACAAACATGCATGAAACATCCTCACCCAGGGTCACAACTCCAAGGAAGGTATGTGTATCTTCAATTTTTAGAATTTCTCTCCCTCCCCCTCTTGCTATCTCTTGTACCTAATATCAATGTGGTAACACAAACATGCATGAAACATCCTCACCCAGGGTCACAACTCCAAGGAAGGTATGTGTATCTTCAATTTTTAGAATTTCTCTCCCTCCCCCTCTTGCTATCTCTTGTACCTAATATCAATGTGGTAACACAAACATGCATGAAGCATCCTCACCAAGGGTCACAACTCCAAGGAAGGTATGTGTATCTTTGATATTTAGAATTTCTCTCCCTCCCCCTCTTGCTATCTCTTGTACCTAATATCAATGTGGTAACACACACATGCATGAAGCATCCTCACCAAGGGTCACAACTCCAAGGAAGGTATGTGTATCTTTGATATTTAGAATTTCTCTCCCTCCCCTTCTTGCTATCTCTTGTACCTAATATCAATGTGGTAACACAAACATGCATGAAGCATCCTCACCCAGGTTCACAACTCAAAGGAAGGTATGTGTATCTTCAATTTTTAGAATTTCTCTCCCTCCCCCTCTTGCTATCTCTTGTACCTATTATCAATGTGGTAACACAAACATGCATGAAGCATCCTCACCAAGGGTCACAACTCCAAGGAAGGTATGTGTATCTTTAATATTTAGAATTTCTCTCCCTCCCCCTCTTGCTATCTCTTGTACCTAATATCAATATGGTAACACAAACATGCATGAAGCATCCTCACCAAGGGTCACAACTCCAAGGAAGGTATGTGTATCTTTGATATTTAGAATTTCTCTCCCTCCCCCTCTTGCTATCTCTTGTACCTAATATCAATGTGGTAACACAAACATGCATGAAACATCCTCACCCAGGGTCACCATTCCTAAGGTATGTATAGGGTGAAGGGGTATAACGTCGACACCATTTTGGGGGAACTTCGACATATGGGGTAGCTTCGACACCTTGTTGTTTATTTGCTCTAATTTCTGATAGTAGGGGGAAGCCATGTTTTTTCTCGCATGGATTGAGATATCGCAAAATTTTATTTTTCCAGAAATCAAACATGGCCGGAAACGGAAATTCTAAATTCTAATAAGTAAGTGTCAAAGTTTCCCCATTTCTCATGTCGACATTACCCCACACATAGATGTTACACCCCTTGGCCCTACTACAGTATACAAGAATCAAAACTTAACTAAAACAATACTTTCAAAATACAAAATAAAGTCCATAAACAGCTGGTGTTGCAGGTGATTTTGTAACACCTTATAACCATTTAAGAAAAGATAAATGCATAATCTCTACTGACTTTATATTACATGTATGTTTTTCATTGATCCACACCTGTGGGAAATGATGTAGAAATGTCTAAATTCATTAAAATCGAATAAGGGGACATCTATTTTGATAAAATCAAAAAAAAAGTATTTTCATTAAATGGTGACTCTTGGCATTCAAGGATTTTTCCCATCAACTCATCTTAATTTTTTGTTATACCTGTTAAAACATATCAAAAATAGAGTAGAGTAGTAGTAGTATAGAGTAGTAAAAATAGTTCATTTAAAATGATACTGTATAAGCTTATATTCACCTCTACTGTAAAAAACATCTGCCTTTGAACCGTATGTTGTGGTTCATGAGACAAGGCAACATATGTATCATTTACAGTTAAGTTTCATCTCAGAATGACATTTCTCAGTTAGAACTCATCGTGTATACAGTGTCACCATGACCTCCACATCCTGTTATCATGTATTTTGATGTCATATATACTCAAACTATTGAAAATAGAAAGTTGTCAGAAATAGATTTTGAATATGCCACTTTGGAAACTGTAGCCATGGATACATAAACAGAAGTGTAAAATCGATAAAATAGCCACTTTAGACATTCAGCTACATGGAATTGCATTGTTGGAAGTCTCACAAGTACACTGCAAGGAAATTAAAGGGAAATTATTGGATTGATATTTGTTGTGATAGATTTTCACTTGTTCACAATGGGCTTGTTGACTAGGATCCAAAAAGCTAATAAGTTTTCTTCGCTTCGTTAGCTCACTTTTACTTCTGTCCATATAAACATCTGAGTGATTGATGCATGATATCAATTACATACAGATGTTTGACATGTTCATAGATTTTTCAAGTAATTACTCAATGTACCTTTAATGCAAGTGAAATCAAAACATTTCTAATTGTTGATTGAATTGAAATTAATTTTACATGTATTTCACAACATATGTACTAGTATATAGATGCTATCCTTGAAATTGACAATTACTCGACAATTTAATTAAATTATTAAAACATACATAAATCAATTTATGATTGATGATACTCATATAACTTGTATGATCAGATAGCAGTATGATGGAAGTAAACAAGGAAGAACCCAAAAAATCAGTTGATGATAATACAAAATATCAAAGGCAAAATCCAAAGAGAGACAAAAATTTGATGGATGCTCAAAATGAAAAAATAGTAATATTCAACAATGTAGAGATAGTTAACTATATTGATGTGATTGCAAAATTCAGTAGTTCAGTTGATACAAATGAAAATGAAATTAAAGAAGACAATGATGATGAAGACATTAACGGTAATAATAAAGGTGGGGATACCATCAAGCAGGATATGAAACCAAGTTATGAAGATGGAGCTCTATCCATCAAGCGGCCAAATGTTGATGATAGTGTATTGAATGATGAGTATGAAGCTGAAAATGAAGACAAACAATTTTTAGTTAACGGTAATATTGTTAATGAAGAGAACGAAGAGGGACATGACAGCAATTATACTGTAGGTGATGGTGATGGCATTGCCATTAAAAAGCATGACATTTTACCTCTCAAACGAGATGCAGAAGTTGATACCACTTTAAATAAAAAAGACAAAGTTTTGCACTCCAAAATACATAAGATTGATAATCATAACATCCTAAACAAAAAAGACAAAAATTTGAATGTCCTCAGTCAGATGGTTGTTGATAGTCCATGTGCCATTGCTAATGAGAAAGGCAATGTTTTGAGCCTTAAACAGAATAAAGCTGAAAGTGGTGGCATTGATTTAAACAAAAACGACAAAGTGAATGCCCGCAAAGAGAATGTAATTGAATCTGACATTATCAAGAAAAAGCACAATGATGGACACATCAGAGAACAGAGCACCATTGATAAAAGACACAATGTCAATAGAAAGTCCAATGAGGGACAGGTGAACAAACAGAGTATTAAAACAAATGGTCATTTGGCCAATGGAAATGAGGGAGACCCTGATGAAGATGAAGATCTCTTGAAACATTGTGACAGATGTTGGATACTCTCAGAAAAGGTAATTTGGAATATACAAATTTTACTTAAAATTTGGAATATACAAATTTTACTTAAAATTTGGAATATACAAATTTTACTTAAAATTTGGAATATACAAATTTTACTTAAAATGTGCAACACAGTAAGAGGTTTCAGCCTTCAATCAGTTTCTTATCTGACATTCTTCGCAAGGCAAATATGGTTTGAGTATCAGATTGAAACAACTTGGACATTCTTAGATTTCAATCATTCTACTAAAACCTGAATGAGTAAATATGGTTAGGAAAATCTTTCTAGTCTGCCATGGGCCTTTGGGAAATGTCATAAAAGTAACAATCAATAACTGCTGTATTACCTTTCTTGTGAAATCGGGTCAAATTAGATATATGTAACCTTCATCAATTGCCCTTACAGCATTCTCACTGAAAGAACTTGAGAGTAGGTTACATTACAACTGTCCAATCAATTTTTGGATTAATCTCTTAACAAAAACTGTCCATCCAAGTTCATTAATACAAATTGCAACTGGAATATATAATAGATGGAGTTGCCATTTTGTAAATGGTCATGGTTTCTTTGAAATCTTACTTTTTCTTAAGTTATTTTTCATTGTTAGATACAACATATTAGTTTTTATGGTATATGTCACTAAATGTCTAAATAGTAACAAGATGGGTGGGATTCTTAGGATTGTAAGGCTATGAAGGTTATCTTGCCTTTGGTCTCTCCTGTCTTCTATACATTATGAAAATATATTACACCTTTCATTTCTGAGTATTTGTCATGATATTTTTATCAGTACTATATTCAGTTTTCGGCATTATGCTTATTGTAAGTCATTCAATATAAAATAAATATTATCTGAACAATTATGCAAAAAAAACATTTTTAGGAACTTAACATTTTGAAAGATAATATTTGAAACATATTCAAATACCATTTACTTATCTTATAATACCTGAGGGTGTAATTTCACCCAAGCAAAACAATTTATCAACAATCTCAATATTCTTTATATTTATTTCATTTTGGAGAGCTATTGTACATATTGTACATCTACAATGTCTAAGAGTAAGTAAGTTATTATTAATGCTCACTGACATTGTTTCATATGAGGATAAGGGATCTTTTGTTAAAGTTGGAGGCAATATCTAAAACATATTTACATTAGCCCTCGTGATATTTCACATACTTTGCATTTTCAAAGTATTAAATCAGGGCATGTCACTTTTTTTTCTTTGAAAGTTGTAGTTATGCAGAACAACAAAACAGCAATGATGCTTCATCACGGATTTAGAATGAATCATATTCAAGAAATCAAATATGTTTTTTGAAAATTTGATAAATTTCTAGTTAAAAAGAGCAGTGTATCCTTATAGAATTTCCTTTAGATCACAAGTTATAATATTTATCAAGCAAGTTTGTTCAAAGTGTGGCCTGACATGGTGCTTCATATTGACAAAGTGTTAAAGTGACGTCACATTACATAGTGCAACTATTCAAACTTACTGAAAATCCTCTTGGCATTTAGCTTGGAGATTAACAGAAACATCATTTCGAGTCTAGCTTTGAGAAGTGTATTGCATTATACATGTTATATGCTGATGAATAGTTCAATTCAGAGAGAGATGGAATATGTCTAACTATGAATAGGTTGTCTGGATCTAAGTGTTGGAATTACACAGAAAATAATTGATGCTACCATAAGTGTACAGAATCTTTACATCTTTATTTAGCAAATTACAGTATATTGCTTTATATTATAGAGGAATAAAGGAGGAAGAATTGAACGATTGGAATAAAAGCAGCGTCAGAATGTCAAATTATTGAAATTAATGGGATTTTAAATTATTGATGTCAAATATACTGTACCAAATATTCAGATAGTAGAATACTTAAACATTAAGACCTAATTTTCTCTTTATATGGTTGCATTTATTGTTATGACTGATGCGAATATAATTGTTTTGAAATAAATCAAGGTTAGTTCATGCTTTTCTGCCAAAAGTTATAATTGAAGTTGACATTTGATTTTGACGTTGAAAGGGTTTGGAATGGTCCACCCGCTGATGCACAATGCATACTGTGAAGTATAACATTAGAATTAAATTCAGTTTATTTCACTTTTGTGTTTTTGTCTTAATGTATCAGGTTATTTTAGGTGCATAGATATCCCCTTCAAAAATTTAGATGTGATAAGACATATTCTAGGACACTTTTTGCCACAGGATAAAACACTTAGTGTATAAATGCCAAAATGCTAAAGATGTTGCAGCCAAATCATCTAATGCTCAATGACATATTTTGAAACTCGCGACTTAGCTGTCCATCAAATGTTCACAGGGTGTTTCGATAGAAATGATGAGTCACAAATTATGGTGAATATTATTGTATTTCATATTGAATTTGATGAGAGATGAAAATGTTCCATTAATGTTTCATCAATTAATCTTCCCAAATATTTTTTCTTCAACAACACCCTTTAAAGATATAAAGAAAGATTGTAATTTCTTATCAAATTACTTTGAACTTTGTGATATGTTATTGTCCGAAGTTAATGAAAGAAATTAACACAATATTTTGAGTGATTGCCTATAAGACGAGGTGGTCAAGTATAGCATGTGTTACAGTTCATACATTAAAGGGATCTTCTCAAAGTATATAATACACATGTAGCAGATTTGCTATAATTGTTATGTAGTTAAGGGTTGGTTTTTGATGTTTTGCCTGTTTTGTATCTGAACTCAAGAAAATGTATAATGAAATGTTGTCAAATTTTTTAATCTGATTAGATTTTATGGGTTTACTCGTATTTACTCATCCCCTACCTTTTTGAGTGGTCATGTATGACATTGAAAATATCTACAAATGTTCATGATAAAGATAAAATGTTTTATTGACTTGGTTGGATTTGAAGTTTACAAAATAACATAAACTTGAATTGGATTTGAAAGATCTTGAACAAGAAACACAAATAAATAGATTTATGGTTCAATATAAGCAAAAAAGCTATTTATTTTCTACGCAAACATAGTTATCTACAAAAACATACATTCACGAAATATTTGATAACATGCAGTATTGAAAGGAACCTGAGTTTATAAAAAACAAGAATAAACATTAAACATCAACAGTGTTCTTGAACCATATAATTATTTATGAAATATATTTTGTGCGTGTAGGTATTAGAATAGGAGATCTACTGGTAGATAGAAATTACCTATGGACAAAAGATAGATGTTAGAGCCTGCAAAAAATTATCATGCATAAAATGCATTAAGAAGGTCAAATTAATTTCAAATAGCAAAAGTTGTAAACTCTGACACTTTATTTTAGACATTATAAAACATTTGTGAATTAAAACTCAAGTTCTACTGATTTAAAGATGTTTCCATGAAATATTAAGGATTAAAATACTGCTACACTTGGTGTATCATTGGATATATTTCTATTAAGTCTTGGGATTATAATATCAAGATGGATAAATTAAGTGATCTGCAGATTTCACCATCCAGGAAGGACAATTCAGTGTCTGAACATTCTACATTACTTGAAAGGGAATCGAAATCACCAAATGGAGAAGCCCAACTTAGGCAACTTTCATCTGATTCTAAACTTGGCATGACAGATACACATAAGATAAAAGCCAAAACTTCAAATCATCTGACTTTGCCAGGAGCAATGTCATTATCTCATGTTTCATCAAAAGAGGAGCATTTTAGTGAAACAAATCATGATGCTTATTCAAAAGGAGACCACATAAATCCATCAGCACCTATAATAAGTCCCACAAATCTTAGACCCAATAAACCCAGAAAGGAACTCTCAAGTCCCACAAATCTTAGACCTCATTCACCAAGAAAGGTACCCTCATCAAGTCCCACAAATCATAGACCCCATTCAGCAAGAAAAGAACTCTCAAGTCCCATAAATCTTAGACCTCATTCACCAAGAAAGGAACCCTCAAGTCCCACAAATCTTAGACCCCATTCACCAAGAAATGAACCCTTAAGTCCCATAAGCCCTAGGTCTCCTACATGTACTTCTCCAAAAAGAGAGCCCCGAAGTCCTAAAAGTCCCAAGGGTCCAGTTTCACCACGCAGGTCCAATTGTCCAATACATGGACATAAAGGATCAACTTTTTTCATGCATGACTTCACACCTGAAAGTCCACAGGTAATGTCCACAAATAACTAGATACATTCTGCTATATTTCTTTATAGGAAATTATGAGACATAATGTTTTTGCTTTTTAAATTTAATACAAAGATTATAAAACCTATACAATCATGTTACTATTGTAGAAAGAGGCAGGGGCTCACACCACATTGATGTTTTGTAATTCCTCAATGGTATTTGTATTAAAACGCTTTAAACGCTTTTATTAGACTAAATATGTATAGCAAAAGATTAGAAAACATTGTATTTCAGTTTCAGCTGTATCACATTCATTTTTATTCACACAACGAATCCTTATTCTGCTTCCAGATCCAATCTGGTGGGAATCCCAAGTTTAAACCAGTGACGAGCCTCGAGGACATGCAGGCGATACGTGCTGTCACTTTTCACCCTGAGGGTCATTTATATGCAGTCGGATCCAACTCAAAGACACTCCGAGTCTGCAGCTTCCCTAATGTCTCTAATCTTAAGTAAATAATTTAATTACATGTACCAAGTTATAATTGACAGATGTGGTTCAGTTCTTTAAAAAATTGTTTCCATACTGTGTATGTCATAGGCTATGCAGAAAGAAAATGACAATTGTGTTGACTATTTTATTTATAAACCACTTGTAAATGTATAAAACAGGCCCAATAAAAGTTAAAATTCTCAAATCTGGTACAAATTCATTGATTTCATTTGTTTTACATACATGCACAGATGTAGTGACAATTAATTCCATAATACATACATGTATTTTATGAATCAGTTCATTGTTTGAATTGATATGACTTTGCAATATTTCGATTTCTTTAACCTTACAAATGTTTTAATAGCTATTATAACGTGAATTATGATATCATAAACCAGTTAATACGAATGATATAATGTTTCAAGGGAGGATGATGAGCCTACCCAGACAAACGTCATATTTAAACGCAACAAGCACCACAAGGGCTCCATCTATTGTCTTGGCTGGAACCCTGGTGGAGATCTGATCGCGACAGGGTCAAACGACAAATCAATCAAGATTGTTCGCTTTAATAGTGACACAGGAACTACAGTTGGTAAGTTGACAACTGATGAATTGAGGTATTGATATTGTTCTAAATTAAAGACATTCTCATACAGGCAGTCGGCGCATCTACTTTCGGTTGAAACATTTAGGCTATTTTCATCCCGAAATACTCTCCAACTATCAAAGTACTCGTAACCTACGTCTGCATATTGTACTACTTTCTGTGGCATTGTTAAGACTACTTTTTGAATCACATTTGAAATGTTGCATTAACCTCAACCATTCGTTAATTATCATTACCTGAATAAATACTTACCGGTTATACTATTTCTTATAGGTCCTGATATGGAGTTGAGCATTCATGATGGGACTGTGAGGGACCTTGTCTTTATGCAGGATTCAAATACAAAAGAATCTCAGTCATTGTTGATCAGTGGAGGGGCAGGAGATTGCAAGATATATGTGACAGACTGTGCCACTGGAACCCCAATCAGAGCTATGGCAGGGCATACAGGTATGGCGGACTTACCCAAAATTTCCAATTGTTTTCAAAAATGGGCTTACCTTTTATATGGAAATGTACTTTAGAATATTTAACATCTCATTCATTTTCATTTAAAAAAGATTAAATTGCAAAAGGAAACTGTTATTGAAGAAACTGTTTATTAAGTATGTAATTCCAAATATGTACTGGAATGCAATTACTTTGTATCAACATCAGGCACTCTGGCAAAATGTATGATGATGCACGCTGTAGGTAAGGTTTACATAACATGTATATTCCCAGGTCACATCTACGCTCTTCATACTTGGCAATATGTATTACAATATACGCTGTAGGTAAGGTTTCTTATCTGTATCACTACATGTATATTCCCAGGTCACATCTATGCACTTCACACTTGGGGAGGTTGTATGTTTGTAAGTGGCTCTCAGGATAAGACAGCAAGATTCTGGGATCTCCGGGCCTCCACAGCAGTCAACATTGTTCCCAGTCCTAAACCAGGTATGTACATCTTCTGATTTTGAAGCCCTGTCTACTTTTCCAGATTGCAGATGTACTGGGTTATTTGTTTACCTCCACTGAGATTTCACTTCTTTGATGTATAGTATGGGGGTATTTACCCAGTATACCTAGGGAGCTGCTTACAATATTGTTCTATCTATATGTTAAACATTTTGTCCTTTAGTGCCTCAGTCAATACTCCATTCTGATTGGTTAATCAGAGGTAAACAAGTAACCCAGTATTCCAATTCAGAATGAACAACTAATTTTATGTAGACCTTCCAGCATAATTCAATCCTTACATTTTCTAGCTTTAATACACTGATCTGATTTTCCCAAATTTTTTCTATTTGGATGAATTGATAAGCTGTCCATTCATCCATTCAGCTATCTGGGACTTAAGAATATTTGACATTTCTAAATATTAATATGGAGAGGAAAAGGATAAGCTGTGCAAGTATTTTATATAAAGCTTTCATGTTTTCAGGAAGTCCCTTTGCATCTGTGAGTATGGACAACTCTGGTCGTCTGTTTGCATCAGGACATGAGGATGCAAATGTCATGTTGTTCGATATCCGTGGTAACAGAATCATCCAGACGTTCAAGCCTCACACCAGTGATGTGCGCACTGTACGCTTCTCTATGAATGCTTATTATCTCCTTAGTGGTTCCTATGACAATAGCATTGTTCTCACTGATTTGCATGGTGAGTAGAAATACATGATATTAATAGATTATGATTTGTAAAAAGGGGGTAGACTCCAAACCAATTGCACAGGAGCCATTTTAATATTAAGATACCGTATAAATTTAAAAATGACATTGATGTCTGCCACTTATATGAAAAAAACTCAAATAATTAAAAATCATCACCAGATCATCAACCAAATCAAATTCGTTAGATTCATTTTGAATTCTATAAAAAGTGTGCCAGAAAAAAGTCTTACATTTCATGATTACAGGTGATCTTATGCGCCCCCTGCCCAGTGTTGCAGTGGCAGAACACAAGGATAAGGTCATCCAGTGTCGCTGGCACCCTTCACAGTTGGCCTTTGTCAGTACGAGTGCAGATAGGATGGCTACTTGTTGGGCTTTGCCTGTAGTTTGATGCTGTACACATCATATAATGTAAAGTGAGATTGTCACTCAATGATAGACAGTACAGTGAGATCTAACTGAATTAGAACAGGCAGTAAAATGCAGATGCCATGTTTTACACAAAGAAGTGCTTTAAGGGGCATTCTTTGTGTTGCATGTGGTACTTTGTTTGACAATATACATATTGTACTTTTTGTGAAGATGTACAATAACACACTTATATACTTATGTACATGGACACACATGAAATATACAGTAGAACCTATTTAAACAGAACTGTACATGCTGGAAATAGCTGAATATGTGCACATTTGTTCGCATTTTGCTGGAAAAATAGTAGATTCAAATATGGAACTGATTACATGTTTACATGACATGTTCACCCCATAGAGTTGTTCCCATACATTAGTTACACTGTACCCTACAGTATAATGTGGAATAAAATATCTAGATCACATCACAAACATGTTGAGAATAAGATAATTTGATGATTGTTCTGTTCTAAAATCATATGAGAAAGTACAGTGTAGACACATGTTACAGTATCTGAGGACTGAGCTAGAACCCTCCCCAAGATCCCTGTATAAAAGCTACGCAAATCTTCAGAATTTCTTTTCAAATAACGGTTAATTCACTCATAAAGTTCCTTAGGCGTCTTACATCAAAGCTTGTTCTATTTATGTGTATGTATGATGCACAATATGTGAATATAATACACAATACAGTATAATACAGGAATGTATTACATACCTAGTGAAGCATTTGTATGGAAGTCAATGGGAAAGTTAGCGAGCTATATCCACCGATATTGCCCGATTACCCCGATATAGCCCGCTTACCTCGTTTTGATATTAGATTTCTTTAATAACCATGATAATATCATGACGTCACGTCATTGATACAAAGTAACCATGGGAACAAAGGCATGTAATACATCAGTTATGTCACTATGACGTGAAATATGCCTTCGTTCTTGCCCAAATATAGAGCCTCCCAAGGTCGGCCTATATTGGGAGAACTCAGGCATATTTCACGTCATAGTGACATAACCTCTAAATATTGCACATTATAAAGGGCATATTGATGACATATTCATATAATATCTAGTCTGATGTTGGTGTATATTGTGCAAATGTTGTTTGAACAATTACATGACAATGCAGTGCTCTCTCCTCATTGAAATCTGAGACACAGATGTATTTTGTTAAACAAAATGCTCATCAATGCACATAGATGTGCCTACTAAAATTTTAGAATGAAAAATTCTAAAATGTTGCACAAAAAATTACAAAATCGTATAATGTTGCACAAAAAGTTCCAAAATACCAAAATGTTGCACTAAAATAACAAATCCTCCACACAAAAGTCCTGGGAAGAGCACTGCAATGCTAATGCTAGTACCTCAATCTAAATTTTGATTGGTCAAAGAGTGGTCAATAATTTTGACAATGCATAGAATACAAATGCAGGAATGCAATACAAATTGGTGTAGCCTTGAGCTTGTATAACCTGATAACTTAGGATCTGTTCTATTGTAATAATATAATATAAAGAGTAGTGTTTTTCCAGTTATGACTTCTTGAAGCTCTAGATTAGGCTTCTAAACAATGCCTTGTGTGACCAAACATGTTGACTGATTAACTACAAAGACTGGCTGAAAAGATCGTTAACTGTGACCATTGTATGTAAATCACCAAATTATAAAAGCACTTCTCTATAATAATAATAATAGGGCCCTTTTGTGGCATGCATAATGTCGGTCACTTTGAATTAATTAAAGTACATGAAGTAATGTTTCTATTTAGCTGGCAGTGCAACTGTATATAATGTATATGCTTGGCTAAAATCTTGTAAAACTGCATGTATGTATGTATTTATAAAACAATATCATCTTAATTTATTTAATCTGCATAGAAGTATGAAATATGGTAAATGTATGATATGTTGAATTGAAATTTACAGGTCTTTATCTGATTTTTTATTATTGTATTGTAATTGTTTTTATGACATTGTTTTTTTTATAATTGTGATGTAAGGATCTATTTTTATGTTATGTTTAAGTTAATGGATTAATGATTCACATCAATCTATTGCTAATATGGATTATTATTAATATTAACAAGAAGAATGGACAAAGATTGTATATTTATGAAGAATGGGTATTTTGTTAATATTAACAACAAGAAGAATGGCCATGAATTGTTTATACGAAGAATGGGCATTTTGTTAATATTAAAAGAATGGACATCGATTGTTTATAAAAACATGAAGAATGGGCATTCTGTTAATATTAAGAAGAATTGACATAGATTGTTATGAAGAATGGGCATTTTTTCATTATTTAAAAGAAGAATGGACATAGACTGTTTATGCATACATGAAGAATGGGCATTGTTCGTAGTAACAAGAAGAATGTAATGGATTGTTAAACATACATGGAGAATGGACATTGATAGTATTAATATGAATGTTTATACATAGCGTTTGATTAATGGAGATTGTTAATTCATATATTAAGAAGGGGAATGGACACAGATTGTTTATACATACATGAAGAATGGGCATTCTGGTAATATTAACAAGAAGAATGAAATAGGTTGTTTATACAGTATGAAGAATGGACAAGGTATGGAGTTCATAATAACAAAAAGAATGGACATAGATTTTTTCTATAGACCCAGAGTTACTGTGAGGTTCAGATATATAATTGTCTCTTTAATAGAATAAAATTGTCAATAAATTATTGTTCCTTCTTGAACTCAATTGTAATCTAGAATATTGTTCTGTTTTTTATGTCAATACCACATTTATCAGCAATCAGCATCTGTAACAACCCTTACACTTTTGTTACCATTTGTTTTTCTTCAAACTTGTTCCATTCAAAGCATAACAAAATTGCCTTTTCTGTTGGTACATTGCGTTATAGTAGAGTCCCTCGTTTTATCAGCGTTTTGGTCCCCAGCTGTGAGAAGCCCTTCTCACAGTTATGGACCCAAATGCCGCTGAAAGTAGAGACTCTGTATAACAGAAAGGCAATTTTGTTATGCTTTGAATGGAACAAGTTGCAGTGCAGTATGAGACTCGTAATCCTTGATTTTCAAACATCTGGTGGTATGTCAAAAATTCAAATGAACAGCCAAAGTTAGTGGTGCGCGAGGACAGTGAAAGGGAATAAAAGTCAACAGGTGTAAATTTAAATTTTGGTTTGATAACATAAGTTCCTTTTTGTCATAGAAACATCATCTTTTATAAGACATGATGTACATCCCTCATCAATTATGGCTTTCATTTATTCCTGGTAGTTAGTGATTATCCAGCTTCTGTAACAATAATTGAACTTTTATAGCCACTTGTAGTAACTTTATGTTTATGACCTCCGCAGGTACCACACAAAATTAACAAAGCCATCCTGTAATTTTCAATTTGTTAAAGTCATTTCATCACATTTTATTTCATTTCTTCTAAAATGTACAATTAAGTTTCCATGGTTTGGTTATGACAAGTTGCTCAAAATGCTGTATTCAAGTATGTAGTGAGCTGTCACTATGGCAACAGATAGTGCAGCTCCCTGAATTCACTGAATCTAAAAGATGGTTTTATAACAACTGTATACATTCCATATAACAACCTACTAATATTGTAAATGCCATTTGGCTCTATGGTCCATGCTATGTCATGGGCCAGGGGTAAGGAAGAACTTACAGAATGACCAAAATAAAGCAGAGGAAAACATGGACCCATGACATTTACAAATCTTCCAAGAAATCATTATCTTCCTAACTGGGAATGAAATCAATGATTGAGCTGAGCTCATTGAGCTGTATAGACCTGCAGATCCCAGAAATCATCTCCACATAGGTGCTAGGCCAATAGATGACACGGTAATATGTTTGTTTACTAAGAAAAGATCTCGTATATAAACCAAACACTAATTGGCCAGTCACCTATGTATTATGATCATATACAGTACAGTTCAGATCTTAACGCATCTATGTGTGCCCCTGTTGCATTCATATTTGTAGTAACAAATGAAAATTCCTCATTTGTGCTTTGTAAGAAAACTTTGTAAAACCAACAAATCAACCACAAGAAGTTTCCTTAAGTCAGAATACTACATTTGAAAAGTATAACTTTGATGACAAAATTCTCTATAGCCCATCTACTTCAAGTGTTGAGCTGTGACGCTGTGAAGGGTGAGGGGTTGAAGCAAGACTTAAATACAGTGTAAAAGTCACATACTTGTGTCATATCTAAAAACAGCACATTTTCACATATTAACATACAGCATTCTGATTTTGTGGAAACTCTGGTAAATGATTGAATGATGACTAATATTACAAAGCAGGTATTACACATACATTATCCAATTTTTGGTATGCCATGACAAAATGTCCATCAAGACCTGTACTGTATTAACATGACCATCTGATGTGATAATAATGTATATAACGGAACATAAATGTGATACCCAGTCAGATTAGGCCCTATTATACCATTGTCTGACATATATAGATGTTAATTTGAAATATACATATATATTGGTATTATGAATGATACATTTTGTTTCAAGATAATGTGATGTATGTACAATTGTATTGTGAACTGTATGGTTGTCTCTATTTACACATGTACGGATCATGTACAATTGTTCATTGTACATGTACATTAATCATGTACAATAACTACTGATTGAACAATGAGTCTCAATCTTTTCAACATATTTCATTCTACTTTATTCTTTTGGAGAAGAAGTCCTGAAGGTTTCTAAGTTATACCAGACTCCCCCAAAATTCTTCACAATTACCTCGACATTCTTGACTATTTCAAAATTCACAATAATTGTGTGAGGCAAATTATTTCTATTCATGAACATCCTTGTGTCCTACTGACTTCTCGAAGAGAATAACTGCACAATAATATTTTGTCATAATTCAAATGAACAAACAATAAAAAATGATTACATTTTGCTAGAATAGAAAACTACTGAGTACCAACTATCTTCTCTGTACTACTTAACAGACAATTGCACAGCCTCAAGCCTTTGGATGAATGAGGTCATTTTTAAAGAGGGCCACAATATTATCCGGGTCTGTGCAGAAGACTGTTCTACTTTGGCAATGTTGAAATCCTTGCAATAATTTCATGGTGGCCATGTTTGCAATGAAAATATCGAGGGGCAGATAAATAAATCTATCTAAATATACCTTATGATTTTGAATGATATCATTTTTATCTAGATCTATGCAGGATACCAGTGGAATATTTTCACAATTACAAATATCTGTTTTTACACTTTCGAAAAATATCATAAGGAAACATGTTATCATGACTTAAAAACAAGGAATCTCCATAGAAACAAGGAATTGGACATGTCTGGTATGAAACTATCAGGATGGGAAAATCCAGCTACAAAACTGTAAGAAACATGCATTGTATGAAAATAATTTATGTGAATTGTAAACTAGAAAATGTTCTATGTATAAATACAAGCTCATATGTTACATTTGGTGAGTGTATGGGATATCTACAAGTATGCTCAAGGAGAGGATAAATCGAGTTCATGAGAAATAAGAAATGCATCACAAAAACGTACACCAGTATTAACAGATTTGCATTCTATAGACTCTATCTAAGTCTATGATACCTTATAAACAACTGTAAAGCCATCTATTTTATAGCCATAAATGCATGACATATTTTCATGCTTAAAGATGAGATGAACTGCATGAAATGTGAATGGTTGGTTGGTATCAATACTTTGAATTCTTATTTTAATTTCATTTGACATCAAGTCCATCTATCATCGCTGCCCATGGTTGACAGTAACAGTAAAAATCATTAACATGCAAAAATTGAGCTTTAAAAGCCAGATTATCACAGTAAGTGGGTTCTGAAATGATCAAAATAGTATTTGTTCTGATTAAGTACAACACAATTTATGTACTCTTAATAGACAAGAAGTATAGAAAGATAGTCAATCATAAAGATGTTTTACACATGAGTTGAACTGTACTACTGAACAAACAAGAATTGGCATATGATGGGTGAACAGTGAACCTCATTAGATGAACTGTTAATGTCAATGAGCCAATGATGAATGTGACTGGGTGAATGTCATTCTGCAAACAATGAACTAGAACATGACAGAAGTTGGACATCTTGGATGTGTTGTCATATTAATCCTTAACACCAGTCAGCCATGTACGTAAAATCTTTAAACAGATCCTGATCAGACATGGAAATGGGACGTCCCTCCTTTGGTGGGGTGAGGATTGCAAGCTCCTGAGTGAACTCTTCATCAAAGTTACTCACATCTTCATTACCTCGCTGGAAATACAAGCATTTCAGTGGTTAATATTGGTAATAGACGCACACTCATCAGTAAGAAAATGTTTGAACAGTTTTTTTTAAACCAGGAGTTGCTATCAATTTTAGATTCACCTCTTAGGCAATAACTATGTAAACACATGTAAACCAATGGTGGAAAATATAATCTTTGAAGAAAAGCTGAACTCAAATGAAACTGGCAAATCCATTTTATTGACATAGTGTTTTGAAACTCAATCAGACCCAGATGCCTTTTCTTACTCCATTTAGTTGTTTTATTGTTGGGTGGATTGTTCAATCACTAAGTTTCTTAGAAACACTGTGTAATGTTTACTTACTATGGTTGGAACAAATGGTGGAGGTGCTTTCCTTCTCAAAAGGTCTTCCCAGTTCACATTCTACAAACAAATCATAGATATATGACTCAATGTGGAGCAATTCTACATAAAAATGAATTTAGTAAAAAATCTGAAGTAATCAGTGACAATAAAGGTGAATTTTGATTGTCATCTTTTGTAACATAATTTATAAATAAATATTCAGAAACCATAACCATGAAATAAATGAAAAACAAATTACTTTGAACTTCTTGATTTCAGTTTCTGTATTACATGTACAATGCTAAAAAATGCATAGGAAATTTTGACTTACCCTGAAGAAAGCCTGTTTTTTCACATCTTCAGCATCCCTCTCACTAGCACCAAGACGACGCTCTGGGTTGCGACGCAGCAGCTAAAGAAAACATTGTCAAAGCATTAAGTAGGAAACAATTTAGTACAAAGGACGCTTTTACATTTGTGAAACTAGAAGGGTTAAAATAACCAATGTATGGGAAAAGGGCAGACACAAGAAACTCATACTCTGGCAACTTGCGAGTTTGTATTTTAATCTATCTTTTAATAAAAACTATTTCTTTTATTCAGATTTTTACAAATCTAGTTTCTAAAGAAGTTCAGATTCTCATAAAAATACTTTCTTCTCCAGTTTTGTTAATTAATTACCCTCCCACAACTTACCCGCCTCATAATTGCAATTGCCTCAGTGGAGAGGAACCTGGGATATCTGACCTCCTCATTCACTATACTGTCAAACACCTCTTCCTCATCATCCCCTGGGAATGGGGACTGAAACAGAATATTTAGGTCAATGTTATGTCATATATTGTAAGGCCTAATGGGACAAAGTCTCCACATATTCACATTTCAATCACTAATTTTACCAACAAGTTTAAAGATTTCAATAAGTAGATGTCACAAAGGAGGACTTTATAAATAATTGAATATTGAAAAGACAGACATTAGATGACAGAATGTCACCACATAGAAAAGTAAAACAATTTTGACAATTATCAACGTGGAGCTATTTTTGGTTGACATAAAAATGAATCTCTATGACAAAACTCACCTCTCCCACTAACATCTCAAAGATGAGCACGCCAAGCCCCCACCAATCTACTGCCCTGGTGTATGACGTCTCTGTCAGAACCTCAGGAGCAAGAAACTCTGGTGTTCCACAAAATGTGCTGGTCCTGTCCCCAAAGCCCATACCCTCCTTGCAGAGTCCAAAATCAGCAATTTTGAGGTAACCTTCCGAGTCCAAAAGCAGATTATCCAGTTTAAGATCCCTGTAATTGGGATGTAATTATTAAAAAAAATTAAGGAGTGGGGGCAAATTACTTTTAGGCAATCAATTCACTTACTATTTATATGTGAGCATTTATTTCTAAGCTCTTATATGTATAATAAGAAGTATACATAGTATGTGTATGAAAAGAAGGTTTATAACAAAGTCAATTGAAAGTGCAAGTCGCAGGTTATTTTATAAATAAATTCATTTCAATTTTTATTTATTTTAGGAGATAATCGAATTGAATAAATATTAACCTTGCAAAAAATGAACATAAATACAAATAAACATCATACCTGTATACTATACTGTTAGTATGTAGATATTGCAGCCCAAGCACGACACATCCTGCGTAGAAAACTGATCTTGGTTCTGAGAAGACGTCATTGTGAATGTGCATCATTAGATCTCCACCACATGCATATTCCATCACAAAACACACATGATCCTAGAAACATGGTAACATCATTAACAATAGGCAATGTAAAGAATGTGCATCATTAGATCTCCACCACATGCATATTCCATCACAAAACATACATGATCCTAGAAACATGGTAACATCATTTACAATAGGAAATGTAAAGAATGTGCATCATTAGATCTCCACCACACGCATATTCCATCACAAAACATACATGATCCTAGAAACATGGTAACATCATTTACAATAGGAAATGTAAAGAATAATTCATGAATTGAGTTTTCATTGTATGTAAGTCTCAGATTGGTGGTTTCACATAACCTAAGGTCTGCTAAGACTGATTTATCATATTGAAACTAATAAATTAGATACAAGTGGTTTTGGCCATGAATGAGCTTATTACAGTATCTTATATTTACTATATCTATATTCCAGATCACAATTGTTCAAATTCCTCAAAACCTTTGGCAACTTGTTCAACAAAATATGAAAATAGATATGCCTTTAAGCTCAAGTCTTAATTCTCTGTAAATACTTACTTGGGTTTGGAAGCAGGCAAAAAGGTTCACAAGGAAGGGGTGTCGGATTGAGTTAGCGACCTCAAATATGCGTTTCTCTGACATAAGACTTTCTACTTCATCTCTGGCAACAATATCTCCTTTCTTTAGAGCCTTGATTGCAAACATTTCCCCTGTGTTGCGGTATTCCGCAAGTAAAACCTGCAAATTATAAAAACAATATGCAAACAAAGTCCAGGTTGTGTCAGTTTACAAAAATAATTCTTTTATTTTGTAGAATGACTAACAACTGAATAAACATTTCCAATAAATCCTGACTCCTGGGAATTTCTGAAGATTTTGCCACAACTAAATCCTATTTCTGCCCTCAAAATGTAAGAATGACATAGCCAATAGGTGGCATGAATTATTGGATTTACTCGAAACTTACTTTTCCAAAGTGTCCTCTTCCCAGCACAGCGATACACCTGAATTGATCCATCGTGATATATGAAGACAAACTGAAATAGAATTCCCATATATGGTTTTTAAATATGCAACTATATTAACAACAATACCATATATGGTTTTTGAATATACAATTATGTTGACAAAGTATCATTGGAAGTTATTTTGACTTGCAGAGTCAACTTTGATGCAATGATAATTCTGGTACTGGTTGGTATCTTTTTAACAGTCACCGTGCTTACTGATTTCGTACCACAATTTTTCCTCTGTTGAGCAATAATACCAGAATAAATGCATTGAACCTTGGACACATTTTACTCCTAATCTAGGATTTAATCACTTTTTAATTGACATGCCACTTTAACCAACTCTACGATTAATGAAATTAATTTTTTGAAGAATTTAGAACAAAACATTAGACACCTTATAGATGGCACTTACTATTCAGGTTCTGCAGGTGCTTTGTAAAGTAATTCCTGAGGGGGTGGGGGCATTGAGGGGGGTGGGGGTCGGGGTGGCAGTGCTGGTGTGTCCTCGGTTTCCATAGTATCTAAGTCTACAGTTTGAGTAGGGTCTGGTGATCCCTCTGGTAGGAAGTCAAACGCAGATAAAGCATTCTAAAAATACATACCACACAATTCCTTAATATACAACTTAGGTCAATAAATCATGAAAAATACATTTATCCCCCATCGTACAAACTAAAAAAAAAAAAAAAATTTGATTTACCAATAGACCCTTGGAAAGAATACTTTACAGGTGGATGCCATCACAAAATGAAATGGATTTTTAGCCTGACCCACCAAAGATTACAGTTTCGACAGGTATCGATATTTTTACATTGCTAAAATCATAGATCACTTCTAGTGTGGTATTTTCCAGTGCTATTTGTGAAAATCTAAAGATACCTAAAGTTATATTTCCTTAAATGGAGATGAAACTAAGATTATATACAATATACTTGAACAATGTGTCTTATCATCCTACATATAGTTGGAACTATTGTGGCTGTCTTACAAAAAATTTTGGATGTACACAATGTATCATATTTACCATATATGAAAAAATTTGATTTACCTGTTCCTCAGCTTCCCGTTGTAGAGGAGGTGTGGGCTCTTTACTAGGTGGGACCCTGGGGGGTGTTTTTTCAATATCAGGACTCATAGGTTCATATTTCAGTTCATGCACAGGGGGGCCTCGATCAGATGACATGATACCTACAATTTAGGATATGATATTAAAGACTTTTGCTTTAATTTATTACGTATTGTTTATTTTGTATAATCTAAATATTAAGTTGTTTTAAAAACATAAATGAATAATTTTTGTAAAATTAGTTTTCAACTTATAGCTTTAACTTATTCATGTACTTTTATGTTTAATTTTGTTTATTATATTGTCTTAAAAATCAGTATACCTGGAGAGGTGATTTGTGTCTGGGGGCTGAGTGTCTTGGGTTCAGAGCAATCTGGTGGTAGCGCCCTCTTCATGAGGCGCCCCCATGTGGCCACATTGATATTCATTTGCTGTGGTCGGAATATATTTTTACCTGAAATAGGACCAATGAGCATAAGTATTCTAATAACAATATGACTTCCCATAATTTTTGATACGTTTCACAACAAATGTTTATACAGGGTGTCAAATAAGTCCCGTCCCCTCTGCTACAGCTAAAACCTTAATAGATGGTACCAAGTGTGATATACCATTGGAAAGATCATCCAGTTATGTTAGCTCACCAACGCTCAAGTATTTTGGATGAAATTTACCTATATTTTTATGATGTAATTTAAGGCTAGCGTACCCTCCTGCAGCTTTTTTGCGTCAAAATGACAAGGATATGACTTCAGAAATACGTTAAAAAGTTAATCTTTTTTGCATTCCACTTGTTACAAAAAGGTTTTCACCACTTTCCTTGCACCTCTATTTTTTTACATATCTAACCCTATCCAGAATTTGGTTAAATTCATTGCCATATACATGTTTAATCAACTTTTGGGTCCTAGCCCTTTCTTATATCTGATTCTTAAAATCCTGCCAAGTACGCCAAATTGCCATGTTTCTAGGCCTATGGTCTCCTCAATTGATACAATGTAAAAATTTGTGAGATTGATTGACATGTGTCAGATATATGCCAATCAACGTAACTTTGGAGGACCTTTCCAATGGTATATTACACTTGGTACCAAATATCTTGGTTTTGGCTGTAGAGGGGGGGACAGGACTTATTTGACACCCTGTACAGGGGTTTCATTAGCAGCAGACAACAGGCAATTTTCACTGGTTGTTTTCACAAAATTGCCTGTTGTTTTTAGGGACTTCAATTTTTCCATGTTAAATTCATGATTCCCATTAATTTTGTCTGTTGTTTTCATTTATTTAGCCTGTTCTGAGAAATTCTAGAGAAACCCCTGTTATAGCTCAATAGACTTTTAATCCTTCCTCCAAAATAAACTGCTCTAACATAAAATGAGACATTATCCTTTAACTCACCCCCTGATTGATGTTCAATTACTGTAAAACACTTTAAATTCGCGGGAGCAATTTTCGCGGATTTGTACATTTGATTCTTTTCGCGTATTCATGTTTTCGCGATTTACCACCACAATACGCGAATAATAAATCAATTCTGCGTTGTAAAATAAATGTTAACAAAGTTAATTGTCAAATATTGCATTGAAATGTGAAAAGGAATAAAACCTGTTTTGTGTAAGATATGATTGTTTGGATTAATATTCTAATTGGTTGTATCTTGGGGTATTATCTTATTAATTAACACGATACGATTGCCACCTGTTGTTTTTCGAATGAAAATAAAACTCATGATAGGTTAATTATAAATATAATCCTAGGAATAAACATACAAACTTTCTTGTCATGAGTTAATACCCGTTGATTGGAATGTGTGAATGGAAGTCCCAGGGGAAAGAATAATTTCAACATTTTACCTTAACTTATATTATTACAATGACGATTTCTTAACCCATTACTTTATAGTTTTACCTGAACACAATTATGACAGTTTAATGATTTATGATGGTATTTTGAAAGAAATAACGCTGTTTTTAACTTACTTCATAAATTACAATTGTTTTATTGTTTAAAACATAGCATGCAATAGACAAATATAATTCAACATGACTTCTAAGTTTGTTTTTACGTTTGTTTTATAATTGCATACAACACTTGAATAAGATGAATAAAAAACATATTTAGAAATATTGTATATTAGTATATTTTATTCTTAATTCACGTTACCCAGGAAAAATGTGATGTCCAATTTTGAATTTGCGGGATCCTGAATTCGCGATTTTACACTGACGCGAATATACGCGAATTCAAGATGCTCGCGAATTTAACATGTTTTACAGTACATGTTCATACATTATCAAAACTGTTCACAAAATTTCAACTGACCTTTGTTTCTAGTGAATATTTTACGCTGCCTTTGAAGTTTTGGCTTTCTTGATATTGTAGGGTTCAAGAACGTGATCTAAAATTGAAAACAAAGCATGAAATATTGCAATGAAATCAATAAAGCATAGAGACAGGTCTCACAAGATCAATCTTGCATTCTATACGACTATAAAGATGAGTTTTATGCCAATCAACTATTTTTTTAGACATGTTTTGAAAAGATTTCAATTTTGTTAATTTTTTTTGAGGACCTTAAATTTTAACTACAACACTCTACCTCTGCAAATATGATGCCTTGGGGTTCCAAATGGATTGCCATCCCATGACGTTCATTGTCCAGGAAATCCTCAAGACGTAAAAATTTTACTGCACACATCTGACGATAGTCTCGCCAATAAACTGTGATTTCTAATTCTCTGGCCTGAAACAAACAGCAAAATGCTTAGAAGCTTTTGGTTTTATACTATTATATCGTCCCACCATTTAGTGGCAATATCAGGGTATGTAGAAAGAATTTCTATGTTAAATTCTATGTTAAATTCTCATACCATATAAAACACGTTCAAACATTGTAGCATTATTCCATCAACTAATTTCTTTGGGCAAATTTGGGCATATAAAAGAAATGGAAGCGGACTTTTGATATAAACATCATAAACATACACACATATAGCAGCTTAAAGTATTTGTAAACTGGATGTATAAATATTAGACTATATGCCACACTCCAAATTCTGCATGTGAAATCAAATTGATTTTACAAATCATAGTCAATATTCAATACATTAGCAGGAAGGAGCAATATCAGATGAAGCTCGTTTCTGTATAAGCTAATATTCTTCCGTAGATTGTACAGTTTGATTAATTAATGCCTGACACGACAAATGAAACTAATTTTACCTCACCTGCCAGTCAACTGATTAGAAACAGTACTGATTCAAGATTTACTGAAAAGCTTCCTCAATGAGCAAAGTGGACTGCAAAGGGGGTCAGATGTCGAACTTACCCTATCAAGGTCAAAGGTCATCCTAGTGTCCCAGCATTGCTGTGTGCATGGTTTCCATGGGGTCTGCCCAACAAGCTGACTGTCTAACTTTAACATGGCCATTATTTCATCTGAAACAAGAAAAGCAAAAATGTAACCACAAGGAGATATTATTGCACAGTTTTGATCACTTTAACATTATCAAATGTGTCTCGACTTGTATACATGTAAAAAACATGATTTTTTTACAAAAGCGAATCCACAAAAGTCTGGAATTCCTTTTTAATTTACAAGTACAAAAGAATATTTTTTTCAAAAGAAAATCGTCCCCATTTTTTATCATGTAAAATCATGTATGTTTCTCTTTAATCTCACTTTCTGATTTTAAGATATGGACATGCAATATTCTCATTAAACTCTTACTTGAAGTGTCCTCTTTGAGTACATAGGTTTTAGCACTGCCGATCCCATGGAAGCTTTTAGAACTTTTCTTGAATCCTTTACTGTCCCCAGGACTTCCTGTTGTCATAATGAGGCTATCACGTCGGTCACGTCCAGGAATATTTTCTAAAAGACCCTGACAACCGAGCACCCTGAAATACATTAGGATTTCATATGATTTATCTATTAATCTCAGTATTCACAGGAAAGTCTACAAGTGATGATTACAAGGATAAACCGAGCCTCCTTCAATCTGCTTCATGATGTAGTAAAATTTCTAAACAATACACTCCTAGAAGTTTTTTATCCGTTTTACAAAAATGCATGAAAAAATTGTATGCAATATTCTGTAGAAGTACGAGATAAAGTAATCAGTTTTAGTGTATTACACTGATGTTTGGCATTTCTACCTGACATTGAGTTTCCCTGTGAGTGCAGCAGGCTTGGCAAGGCTGGAGTATTGTTGTTGAGCTTTCGTCAAAATAGACGAAGCTGGTTTCTGACTAAATCTGCTAGGGCTAAATGTTTCAAGTTCCGCTTGCAAGATGGTCAACTGCGTAGACTCTGGAGACAGTTCTTTCAGGTTTTTCTCGAATGATAGACGAAGGAGGTCAAGTTTTTGAGAGGATTCAGCTAAACTACTTTGTGCCTAAAATACAATTTTAAAAAAAATTAAAGCCTACTATATATCATCGCTAGTAAGAGTCAAACATATGGAGATAGTAAAGTTCCATGTTGTGAGGTTTATTAGATATTTAGACTGCTGACATATTTTCAATATTTTCAAGCTCCGCTTACTTTCATAGAAAGTCATCTTGACATACCACCAATCGATAACTTGGCTCATATTCATGTTCAATTGGACTATGTCATACCATTTGCTTTAGATTGACTTCAACTATCTTCTCAAATTAGAAATAATTCTTTGATCTAGTTTATAATCAATCATATAAGCAGTCAGAAAATCACTACTGTCACTACATTTTCTGCCTATAAGTAGCAGACATTTATTTCACATCATAAGTTCCATAAAGGGCAATTTTACATTTGAAAATAGCAGCATCAAAACTGTGGGATCATTTGAAGAAGGCAGAAGCTGAGAAGCTGATGTTTCCAACTTCAAATAAAATGAAAATTAACTCTTAATTAATACTTAAGTTTTTTGTAAATATAACTGACATACTACTTACTTCCTGCAATGCTTTTTTGTCCTGTGATTTGACACTAGTTAATAATTTTATAACATTTTTTGCACCGTCCATTATAGCAGACTCTATTCTCATATGGTGTCGTAGTTCTTCAACTCGGAGATCAAGGGGAGTAGCATGTGTCTTTACACTGGTTGCACCTAAAATAAGGTTGTATGATCAGATTGAAGGATTTTTCTGTATATTTTATATATCATTAATTAATCATAGATTATATCATTAGGGAGAATCACAATCACATGTTCAGCAAATGAAAGATCCGATAGTGCATTTTGTATATTTCAAGGTTTAACATCTAATATTGAAACTAAAAATGTTCCTTCTGAAAATAATGTCTCAAAGTACTTCGTTTTCACTATGAACATTAATGAAGAAACAAAATATTGAATTTTAGAATACAGACATTTTTTCAAGACTCCGAAGACTGTCTTTCATTGTGATCTTTTCAACTGCCGGAGTCTGCTCTGGACTGAGTCACAAATAGGACACTGGGTTTATTACTGTATTTAATTGGTGGACGACAGCCTAACTGATTGACTATTATTACTCAACCTGACTGGACCAGTGGCCAAAATTATTCCAAACCACCCAAGGGACATCTATTTAAGAACTTGCCGCAATGATCCAAAGCCTAAACTTACTCTCCATTCCATCACTATTGGAATCACCATCTCCTGAACCTTGGTTAGCTTTCAATATCTGCATTCGAATTATATCAATCTTGGTTTTGGCATCTATCAACATTTGTTGAGCTTCTGCTAAGAGTTTTTTATCCCTAGAGGAGCCATGGGAATACATCTGTATCATATTCTCAGCTCCACTTTTTACCTGGAAAACATGGGAGGTTATTATCACCATTTGCAATAGCTTGATTTTGTCTTAACTCTTTAAATTTCGAAAATCACCGTTCTTTATTTTCTGCCTATGAGTAAATAATATGAGTAAAGTAGCTAATGTTATTTTTATGTTCAAATTCCGATTAATTTTGCCAGTGACCTGCCATATAAGTTATTGGTGGAAGCCTAGTATTCTTGTACCAGGCTATAGGCACTACTGATAAGACATCAGCTTATGAGATCTATAGTCAGAGGCAGTGAGTTGCAGAAATGACAAAAAACTTACTTTTAGTTCTATATCTAGCTGTTTTTGTAATGAGGCCAACATTTCATTGATGGGAGATAGGTTTCCTTCTCTCTCTGGTGACCGCCCCATGTCTGGAAAACATAAAAATAAGATGCAATGCATTGTGAAATGACCTGATTCATTTCAGGCATTGTTTCCTAAAATCAACACTCGATGTAGAGCATCTCGTGCAAATTTTGGAAAGCAACACCTTCAAGGCATGGTCATTCCACATTGCAATGAGCACTACCTGTCATTTGATACAGATGCCGATTACCTCAAACCAACCACTAACCACCAAACACCATCCACAAAAAAGTTGGAGACCATAACTATAACTGTCACCACTTGAGATGGTGACATAAAAAAAACTCAATTCTTCGGGGTATGTTTATCAAAATAGATTGAAATAAATAAATTATTTTGTTCAAACAATTTATAAAATGGATTCCAAAATCTTACGAACCATGAAAAGATCGACAAATTTATGGGGAAAGTGACTGAAAAATAAGACAGACTGACTGGTTATTGAAACTTGTTATATGTTTTATTATTCATCTTGTCTGAATGGACTTTTGATTAAGGAATAACATTCGAATTATATCAATCTTGGTTTTGGCATCTATCAACATTTGTTGAGCTTCTGCTAAGAGTTTTTTATCCCTAGAGGAGCCATGGGAATACATCTGTATCATATTCTCAGCTCCACTTTTTACCTGGAAAACATGGGAGGTTATTATCACCATTTGCAATAGCTTGATTTTGTCTTAACTCTTTAAATTTCGAAAATCACCGTTCTTTATTTTCTGCCTAGATTTTATGAATTATGGCGTGATATATGACCGAAAATTTTATTCTGTTCATTGTTAAAAGACCGAAATCGCGTAGCGATTGAGGTCTTTGGCAATGACCAGAATAAAATTTGAGGTCATATATTTGACATAAATCATAAAATCGAGGTCTTTGTTACGATTCTTATATGATAAACAGACAAGAAACACAACTATTTGCATTTATGAATTTTATCAGTCATATATGCTCCAATATAGACCAGAAAATTAATTGTTCTAGCTAGTGTGACGTCACATATCATATTAGAATATGAAATATACAGGCTATTTTCAGTCAAAATTAAGACAGTGTATTTTTTCAATCTGATCTTCATTTCTATATTATTTATTTTTTGTTAAATATCTATTTTTCTTCAGATTTATATTTCACTCTAAAATTTGAGAGTATACTCTGAGACATATGTAGTTACACCACCACTTTATAGAATATAACATCAATATGCAGCAGAGCTATATTGTTCACCTTTCTATACGGAAATCTATATATGATTATGTAATAGCTTGTAAATGGCATCGCCAGGTTACAATTTAATGAAACAAAATTCCCTGACATTTTCTTTATTTCAAAATTCCTGATGTTTTACTCCATTTAACTTTCAAAATCCCCTTAAATTTTCTGTTGCCTAAAATCATTACATAGGGATAAGGAACCCTGTGACATGATAGACCTCCTAAGTCTAGACTAACAGTTATCTATGCAAATGTCAGATCATCTCATTTTCCCTATTTACCTAAAACATGTTCAACTAATGTTTAGTGATAAACCTATTGTGATGGATGGACCTAAAATTGCTCCAGAGGGAACATTCAACACTTAACAATCAATGCTTTTTATAACAAGACATTTATACTTGATCTATAGCTAGGCACTATGGAATATAGCAATTTCCAAGTGAATATAGAATCCTTTTTAGGACTTCAGGTTATTAGGAGAGTCTAGCAGAGGATACTTCAATGACAAAACTAGTCTCCTGCAATTCTCCCGAGGTCTATAAAATACCCCCCCCCCCCAACCTGTCTGTATATTGGTAGCAGTGGTAACAATGGCATTTCCATTCTCTACTCAATTCAAGGACACTTAGGACAGTGGTAGAAAAACCAGCCATGAATATCTATGCCTTTAAATTAAGAATACTAAAAAGCCTTTCTGGTCTTGTAAGATAATTATCTTCAATTTGTCCTCAAAAAACATTATGACATGAGAAAAAAACTTATAACATTGATCAAATAGGAAAAGATATATGATAATTGTGATAAATGTGCTGTTAATGTAAACCTTGTGTCCTGAGTCTTCATTAATTGAAAACAGACACCAACACTAAAACATAAGTTCCTGTGTGTTTTCCAGATCCTAGAGAAAAACTTCCGAGAGCAACACCCTGCCAAAAGATATGGGGCTGATAAAACAAGAAAATTCCCTAACCAAAGTGATACTTTTTAGACCTGCTATACCTACAAAGACAGACATTGTTACAATTTTATTTTGAACTTTGAATGTATGTAGAAAATGGAATCTTTAGAAGGGTCTACCTTATACTAAACCCCATGAATGCTCTCTAATCTATCTACACCCCAAAGGGAGTCAAGATTGGTTACTATGAAGTAGTAACTTCTTGTATTTTATGGGCAACCTTGCTGATTCATCTTTCACCAAATAAATTTTGAGTCAAAGTGTGCAGTTCCTATTTCCTCATGCTAGATGCTTAAAGTCTAAGTACAGGGTTGGTAAACTTTTTAACCATACAGAGGATATATATAAGTTACAAGGGTGGTGTGCATGTATCAATTTGTACCATGACCTTTTATCATTCTATACAATGGTTCTAGGGCTCTCTATATACTATTGAAATCTCTGTGGAACTGCTTCTCCAGCTAATTCACAAAACAGATTCGCCTCCAATAATTCAATGGCCATCTTACTTTCAAAACTACTAAAATTCTGTATACTAAAAAACTCTGACAATAATTGCTCTACTCCAATAATTACAATATAACATAAAATCTGTTATCATAAAACATAAAAACATTCAGCGTATGAAGTTTATTATAAATACACGTACCTCAATACAAATACCATAGTCAATTTTAATTTGTCAAAGAGTCAACAAAAGATTACCCAGCATTTCCCTAAAAATGATGTCATGATGATGTAATGAGGAATCAGAAAGATACAACATATGAAATCAAATATGTTTTAATTGTTTTCACAATATCAGGAAACCATACATATCAATTCACCTAACTTTGGTCTCACTTTAAAGTATCTTAACTGTCATCCTTTGGAGACTCAAAATTTATCTTATCAAATCAACACGAATTTTTGACATTTTTTATATGTCTCCATGACTAACAAGGAATTATTTTTGAGAAAATGAGTCATTTTGCATTTGTACGTACAAACAATTGGATGCACTGAACTACCAATTACATCATGCTGGAATGAGGAACTCAATGTTAAATGCTTGACTTTGCAATCTGAAGTAATCAACAGAGGAAATATTTAACAGTTTTTGATAGATAAATGCCTTCTCTGATTATTTTTATCATTGAGGCATGATTCATCAAACTCATAAATTCATCTTTTGTGACAGTTTTATACTGATACATTAGATGATTACTGTTAAACCTGTACGTATAGAACAAACTCTAATATAGTCACGATGCCCATGTCAAGCAGCGTGCCTACTAGGCACGCAGTTTGAAACTCTGACAAACTGCGCGCATATTCCAAAATGGAAGACAGGGAGGACACGACTCCCAAAAAGAGCCAAAATACGAAAAATACAAGGTTAGTCTCGTTCTAAAGATAGTGCCATTCTGTGAAGATGAACTTAATTTACTCATAGTACCCAATGTTTTTCCCGATGTAAACCTAGTTATCTCAATATAAGGGTCTTAAGTAACTTCTGTGTTCAAAATTTACAGTGTAAAGTTATATCTATGTCTTTTTATCGTCATTTGCCGTTTATTCAGCCATTGTGTCTGTGTATGCTAGAATATATAGGATCACTCTATCTGATTAAAGCAGCATAGTTTGTGTTCAAAACGATAATACGCCATAAACGTGATTTAAACATTTTTCTTGTCAAACTGCGCGCCTATATTCACATGTATTTCCCAAACTGCGTGCCTATTATTTCCAAACTTGCCTATCCAAGCTTGTTTTGTATGATTAGAAAACGTAAGCGCCATATGTAAGGTACATATGTGTCTAATAGTAGAACCCCAAAATTGAAACACTATGACAGTCCATCCACCAAGATTGTGATCTGAAAATAAAAGATTCTTTCGTTCCCAACTTAATTGTCACTTCTATTATACATTTTGACTTTCAATATGGAAATGTCATAAAATCTGACGATAAAACAAAATTTCCAAAGCTATATGAAAAACACCTACACGTGCCTCTGTAGAAATTCCAATGATAATATGTAGTTTTAATAGTGTATGCGCACAATTTCTGGCTAAAATAGGCGCGCAGTTTGTGGTTTATTTCTTTTTAATCTCCTGATTATCTGTTTTATCTCGAAATATTTTGAATTATACATGATAAATGCGTAAGGAATTAAATATAAAACGAGTCTAAAGTATTTGTCATTTATGTTTAAAGTGCTAGATCGATTTACGTATAAATTCCCGTTAAATCAGTGACGAAAATGCCATTAATCTGCTTATGTTTTAAAACTTAGATTCATTTGCACATAGTTTTTGCTAGTATTTGCAAGATTCGTACATTCGCCACAGAATGAACGCATTGAACAAGAAAACAATGCAGGATAAATGTCTTTTAACCTTTAGCGTGCTGCCGGCGGACGAGTCCGCCGAGACTAAAATGTCTCTCACAACTGCCGGCGGACCCGTACGCCCGATTTCAAACTTTTAAAAACTTTACTTTTTCGCGCCATTCGGATTGTCCAATTAGATTGCCCGATTTATTCAGTGCCTAACATGACTTCCTGTTGACCTAGAAATGGCGATATTTCGAAAAATAATTCTCAATTCAACAATTTAAACAGTGTTTTAGCCGTTTTTAGTTAACGAATCGTACAAAATGGTGGACAAATACGATCACAACGAAAATGTGGAGGAAATTGATTACGATTTCGAGCTCTTTAGGCTCTTGGAAGCCGATAACGGTCATCGAAAATAGAAACTAGAATATTTTCTGAATTGAAAAATTGAACATTCGATCGCTGCAAATTCAGATTTGGATTCTGACCAGACGAAGAGGCGGAGCGGCG